ATCTTTATTTTTTTTTTTTTTTTTTTTTTTTAATTAAAAAAAAAAAAAGTTCTAATTAATTTCAGAATTCTTTTAAGCATTAGTTCCTTTATTATATAATCATACGTTTTTTTTTTTTTTCTTACATATGGTGAAATATTAAAAATATTAAAAAAAAAATTAATTATAACTTTTCATTTTTTCTCTTTTAAATTTTATATTCAAGATATTTTTATAATTTTTTTTTGTAATATATTTTTAGTATTCTTTTTAATTATATAATTTTAAATTAAAAAAAATTATATCTTTATTTTATATATATCTATAATTATAATAAGACGAACATGTATTTTCAAGAATTTTCCAGATAATATAAACATATAATTAGAATAATATATAACATTATTTAGCTTTTTTTATAAGATATTTATAAAAATCTTTTAAAAATTATAGAAGCAAAAAAATTTAATAAAAAAGCCTATACTCTTTTCAAATAAGTATATTTTTTTTTTTTTTTTTTTTTTTTGAGATAATTAAACAATATATTCTTATGTAAAATATTATTAGAATTCATTTCTTTTTAATTTATTTTTATTATATTAAAAAATACATTAATTGTATATCAAATCATAAATTTTATCTAAATCTAATTAACTTTTTTAAATAATAATATTCTATTATATAGTTAGTATAAAGATTAAATATATAATAACTTATATTTGTTAGATTATAAGAAAATTAAATAAAGTATATAATTATTAATATTTCTTAATATATAATTGAAATCATAAAATTAGAATATATATATATATATTATTTTTAATAATTTGCTATAATTTTTAATTATATTTTTATATCTTTTCTATTATTAAAAGGTTTAGAAATATATAAGGAAGTAGTTTATTTATAATTAGATTTAAAAAGGAAAATATATGTTAAAAATAAATGAAAGTAAATTCGTTATAGTTTTAAATTTTTTATTTATAAAATATAACACATTATTTAAACTTTATTTTTTCATGACTAAAGATTAACACAACATTGTTTATTTCAATGAACCATGAACAAAAAAAAAAAAAAAAATTTGAAAAAACCTATAGATCTAAAAGTATTAGAGAATAAATTAAATATAATAAATTTTATAAAAAATGACTTTGATAAAAATCTAGAAAAAGAAAATGAAAAATACTTTAAAGTTTCTAATAAACATAATTCTAAAGTAGAAAATACATTAAATGAAAAAGAAAGAATAAATATAATTTTAGAAGAATTAATACTATCTTGTGATGAAAATAAAAATAATTTAGATAATTATGTTAAAGTTGTGAAGGAAATAATTAATATGAATAATGATATAATTGAAAAGGAAAAATTAGAGATAGAAAAAATGCATTCGGAAAAAAATAAAGAAATTTGTGTAATTCAAGAAAAAATTGATTACGTTAAAAAATCTCATGATGATTTAAATTCTTCAATAATGCATATTTTTAATAATTTGAATTTATTTTTGATGAATAAGATTAATGTTAAATTAAATATTGATCAATTGAATGAAAGTAATACACCAAAAAAAGATATAAACATTGGAATAGAAGATATAAAAAAAGAAGAAATAAAGAATATAAAAGGACAAGAAATATATGATGAATATAAGAAAGAATTATATGAATCTATGAGTGAATACAATCGAAAATTATACAATGTTAAATTGTTCATAAAAGAAAATAAGTTAGATGAGTTACAAGAATCTTCATATTTAAAAAAATATGAAGTTATGTTAAGTAGGGAAGATCAGAAAGATAACACATCAGCAATAAGGAATAATAATTATTATGATAATTGTAGTAAAACATGTAATAATAATAATATGAATAACAAGAATACATATGTTAAAGAAATAGAAAAAAATGAAATTAACAAAAAAAGAGAAACAAATGCATTTATTGAGAGATTAATTTCTGAAGATAATAAAATATATGAAAACTACTTTGCTAAAGAAAAAAATAGTGAAACAATAAGGGATAATGAAGGAAATGAAAATAAAAAAAATGAAGAAGAGATGGTAGATAAAAGGAGTGAAAATCTGGAAAATGAAGAAGAAAATGGAGACAAAGAAAGGGAAGAAAAAAATGATGAAGAAATTGAAAAAGAAAAAAGTGATGTAGAAAGAGAAGAAGAGGAGAAGGAAGAAGAAAATGCAGACAAAGAAAGGGAAGAAAAAAATGATCAAGAAGTTGAAAAAGAAAAAAGTGATGAAGAAAGAGAAGAAGAGGAAAAGGAAGATGAAAATGGAGACAAAGAAAGGGAAGAAAAAAATGAACAAGAAAAAAATGATGAAGAAATTGAAAAAGAAAAAAATGATGAAGAAATTGAAAAAGAAAAAAGTGAAGAAGAAAGAGAAGAAGAAGAGGAAGAGGAAGAGGAAGAGGAAGAGGAAGAAGAGGAAGAGGAAGAGGAAGAGGATGAAGAGGAAAAGGAAGAGGAAGAGGAAGAAGAAGAGGAAGAGAAGGCGAAAGAGGAAAAAGAAAATGAAGATGAAGAAGAAGATGAAGATGAAGATGAAGAAGATGAAGAAGATGAAGATGAAGAAGATGAAGAAGAAGTAGAAGATGAAGAAGAAGTAGAAGATGAAGAAGAAGAAGAAGAAGAAGTAGAAGAAGAAGAAGAAGTAGAAGAAATTGGAGAAAGAGAAAAGAAAGTATCCATGTATAATAAAATTAAATATAATTCAAGGGAAATCGACAAATATGAAAAGGAAGTAATTGAAAACAAAACAAAGAATTATAATTACAAGAGTCAAAAAAAAGCAGAAAATGGAAATTATAAAACCAATGAAGTGTTCATTTTAAATGAAAAGGAAGATATAAATAATTTCTCTTCACAAACACACAAAATAATATCGAATGATAATATGAATGTTCTCATTGATAAAATAAAAAAAATAGATTTTGATTATATATCTTATTTTAAACAAAAATTAAGAAATTAATAATAAAGCTTGTTTAATAATTTTTAAAATTAAAATTTATTCTCTTTTCTATCATATTACATAATTTTTTTATTTATTTTTCAAAATGTTCGTTTAAAAAAATAATATATAAATAAAAATATATATTTGTCAACATATTCTATTAAAAAAATATATATATCATTAAAATAAAAAAAAAAATAAAATTTAATTTAAATATAATTTTGTTTTCAAATATGAATAATGTTAAGATTTTTTATAAAACATTTATTCCACAAAAACTATTTAAAATAATTATTTTTTTCTATTCAAGAAAAATTAAAAATTGTATAACTTTTTATAAAATGTGAATTTAAAAAAAAAAAAAAAATAAAAGCAAATAACTTTTTTTTTTTTTTTTTTTTACACGTATTTCAAAGATATTTTTTAAATTTTTATTTCTTTTTTTTTTAATTTAGCAAAATCTGAAAAGTCTAGTATATCTGTAGATTCGTTTTTTTTTGTAGTATGCTGCTTTTTATGAAAATTTCTAGAATTCTTATATTTGGAATTATTTTCTTCATTCATTTTTCTTTTTTTCTTTTTACAATTATTTTTCATATTATCGTACAAGATATCCTCATCTAAATCTTTATCTATATCAAAATTTTTAGTAATAAATTCATCCAAATATGCATCTTCTTCCTGTTCTTCATCAATGGATGACGATATTTCCTCATCATTCGGTTTACTTTTTTTAATTTGATATTTATCTTTAAATTTCTTAAAAATATTATTATTATAATAATATAGAATATCATAAAAATATTTCTGATATGTATTATTCATTAATTTTGATTTTTGTTTAATTGTCTCATTTACTCCATCACCCTTTTCATTAATACATGAATCATGCAAAAAATTATTAAAAATATTTAAAATATTTACCTGATCTTTGGCATTTTTATATTCTATTGTTAATTTCTCCATAATATTAATAACTGTATTGGTTTCATAAGTATAATTATTAAATTCATTACATGCTTCATTTTTATTTGTAAAACCTAAAGAATTACCATCTTTAAAATCCTTAATGGCATAATTCATTCTATCTTTTTTTTTATTACCATTCTCCTTTATATTGATAATTATATCATCATCATTTTTTTTTTCATTTTGGTCTTTATTATTATTAATTTCTTTATTGCTCTCTTTGTTTATCATATCTTGAGTATTATCTCCATTTAAAATTAAATCATTTTTATTTTTTTGATCTGGAGAATTCGAAATATTAATATATTTATTATTACAACTGTTTTTAATTAGATTAAATCTTTTTCTTTGAAACGGATTATAATTAAAAATTGTTATATTTCTAAATTCAAGTAAAATATTTTTAAAATTATCATTGAGCATAGATGATAAATTATAAAATTCATAAAAATGTGTTAATATAGAATTGGAATCTACAGGATTATTTACAGACTTATTATATACAAACATTTTATCGTTCATTTTTATATTTTCCTCTTTATGATATTTATTAAATTTCAATATATATGAGTTTTTTACGTAATCAAAATTTTGATCATATAATTTATTTTCATCATTATATAAAAATTTTATTAAAAAGCTCTTTTTTAAAATTAAGTATCGTATCATCATTAAAGAAAATAAATGAGCACAAGATTCATTTGAATGAATACTATATTGAAAAATTCTTTTTATAAAGCTGACATTCCTAATTAAATTATTATCTGTTAAAATTATAACTGTTAATAAGCCATAGAAATTGTATGTATATTCGCTTTCATAATAATTTATATTTTTTAAAATACTATAAAAATAACAATATATATTATCATCTATTTGATTTGAAGAATATAATAAAAGAAACATAATAATGAGAAAATTTATTTTAATTTTATATGAATCAACACTGTTTATAACTTTCAGAAAAGAAAGAAAATTCAAACTGTGTAAATATTTTTTTTCTGATGATCTATTTATGTAAGTATTATTCTGATTTTTTAATAATAAGCATTTATTATAAATTATGAAGTATATATTTTTGAATAAAATACTAGATAATAATTTAAGAACTTTTTTACTTAAGTAATAATACAAACAATTTTTATGAAAAATATTTTTTTCTATTTTTTTTTTTTCTTTTTTTCCTTTTTTTAAATCTACAACAAACTTGGAATTATTCTCTTTATTTTTACTAATGTCTATATTTTTTATATCATTACATTCATTATTCAAATTTTTATCATTTTTTATATTAGTTACCTCTTCTGTTTTATATATTTCTTCATCGTTTCCTTTCATATATATTTCCCCATTTTTGCTAGTATCTGTTTTTTTATCATTAACTGAAATTTCATCATTTCCATTTATAGATGCATTATAAAACATACATGAAGACTGGTGGGATTCATTAACAAAATTATTAAGGTTGTAATCTACTTCACCATTAATACACATATTAACATCATCATCACAATTATTATTTGCATTAATAGAAGAAGAATCTCCATTTATGTTTGATATTTTTTCTTCATTTATTTTTTTTTTATTATCCTCTTTAACAATTTGTTCATTATCATTAATTAATTTGTCACTATCTTTCATATTATCTGCTTCATTATTATACCTTATGTAACTCATTTTCTCTATATTCCATTCATTTAAAAATACATTTTTATTATCAAATAGTTCATAAACATTTTTTGAAAACATTTCAAAAAGATATGTTGAAAAATAAATTATATTTTCAGTTATATCATTAAATGAATTGCATTTAATTTTATATAAAAGATATAAACATCTATTTATACTTAAGATATCACTTTTTAATTTATCATTTATATTTTTATGTTTTTCTATATTTTTTAATGAAAAAACAATATTATCAACACAAAACCTCAAATTTGACAAAATTTTTTCGAACAAAAAAAAAGTAATATATCTTCTCAAATTATCAATTGTTATAATATGTTTTAAAAAATTTAAAAGTAATGGATTTCCTTTTTTAAGAGCTAAGTATCCTTCTAATATTATATTTAAATTCGCATATTTGTTTTCTTTTTTCTTTAAACAAAACTCATTTATATTTTTTGCAGAAATATAAAACACACTTGGTATCAAACTGTATAAACCGTTTTTTAAAATAAAAATATATTTCAAAAATAATTTCTTCGTAAAATTTTCAAATGCATAAAGATAAATTAAAGCATTAAAAAAGAAATAAAATGAAGAAAAATTATATTCTTTAAAATTAAATCTATTAAATAATATATTTAAAATATAATTTATAATGTCTTTATTATTTTCATGAATATCTTGTAAATTATCATTTGGTAAAACAAACAAAAATATATGCTTTAAACATTCTAAAATAGATTTTTTTATAAATACATCTTCTTTTTTTTGATAATAATCAATTAAAATTTGTACATAAACAATATATACTAGTGGATTTTTTTTAATTAATACAACAATATTATTAATTCTATCACTAAAAATATTATTCTTATTGTGAATTATTTCCAAATGTATTTTTTCATCGTCTTCTGAAAATTTTTCCATAAAAATTTTATAATTAGAATAAATCATATTTAAACCAATATCATAAAGTAAATTAAATATATCTTTCATATTTACTTTTTTTTTTAATAATAATTTTAAATTTATGTTATTTATTGGTTTATCCCTTTCATCATTTATATTATAAATTTGTTTTAAATATATTGGTATATTATTGTATTCAATATTTTTTTCTATAAAGTTTTTTTCTTTATTATTTTCATCTTTTACTGAATGTAGTATTTTACTTTTTAATAACAATTTTATTTTATTTTTCCATTGTTTGAAATTTAATACAATTTGATTTTTTTCATTATCAAACTCAAAAAGTGTATCATCTTTTTCTATAAAAAATAATTTTTGCTGAAAAGCATTTTTTCTATCATTATCTTCTTCTTTTCTTAAATTTTCTTTTACTTCTTTTGTTTTATTAAACTCTTTTTTTTGTAATTTTTTTATATAGAAATTTATATTATCGTATTGTAACTTATCTTTTTTTTTTTTTAAAACATATTTTAAAACTATATGTTCTATATTTTTTTTTAAATTAAACCATAAACTATTTATATCATAAATTCTTTTTAAATTAATTATAAAATTTTCATCTATTTTTTTTAAATGTATTTTATTTTCAATTATACCGTTTAGCATATATTCAATATCATAGATATTTTTTCTATTATTATCTGTTGTATTACTGTTAAGTCTCTTATTGTTTTCTTTTTTTATATATATGTTATTACTTTTATTCTTACATTTTTTAATTATAGGAAATTTCTTTTTTAATTTGGACTTTTTATATTTAAAACTCTTACTCTTTTTATTGAAATCATATCTTCTAATGTCATTTTTCTTACCTCTCTTTTTTTTTTGGTTGTCATTGAAATTTTTATTCATAGTATTCCAATTACAAATGAAAATATAATATTGTATATTTTTTTTTTAAAATATATTACAAAAATAAAATAAACAAATCTTTTTTTTTTTTCTTTATTATAATACTTTTTTTTTTTTTTTATTTTTTTTTTTTTTTTTTTTTTTTTTTTTTTTTTTTNNTTTTTTTTTTGGTTGTCATTGAAATTTTTATTCATAGTATTCCAATTACAAATGAAAATATAATATTGTATATTTTTTTTTTAAAATATATTACAAAAATAAAATAAACAAATTTTTTTTTTTTTTTTTTATTTTTTTTTTTTTTTTTTTTTTTTTTTTTTTTTTTTTTCTTTGCTTTTTATTTCTCTTAAATATTAAGAAAGAATTAACAGATTAAAAAATATATATATATTTATAATGTTTTATGTATATTCCTTTTTAAAAGTGATGTTTTTTTTTTTTTTTTAAATGAGAAAATGAGATAAAAAACATCATTTTACTTTTTTTTAATTAGAAAAACATTTTAATTTTTTTAAAATAAAAATTTTTTTTTTTGTAAATCATAAAGCTGTGATAAAAAATGTTTTTATAGGTAAGTTGTTTATGAAAAAAGAAAAAAAAAACATAATTTTAAGATAAATATGAACTTTTAATGCACAAATTTAGTAATAAAAGTTATACAATAACTATTTTTTTAATTAATGCATATAATTCTATATATTGTTATTCTTATGTTTTTTTAAGCTTTTTTATTTCTTGTTGCTCTTTAAAAAGAAAAATGTTTATATTTGGTTGCATTTTTATTTTTTTTTTATTTCTAGTCTCAAAAAAGTGTTATAAAAAAAAAATTAAAAATTGAAAAATATTGAAAACATATAATTAGTCTTAAGAGAAATATTTTACAAATAATATAGAGTAGTAAATTGAAATAATACAATAAAATTAACAAAAAAATAAATAATTTTTTAGTAACTATTTTTATTTTAACTTATTTTATCTTTTTTTCTGAAATTCCAAACAAATTTGAATAAAACAAAATTTTTCATTATTCATATTTTAACTTCAAAAAAACAAAAAAAAAAAAAAAAGAATACAAAATATATTTTTTATTATATAATTTAAATAATAAAATCAGTTTAAACTGTTTTTTTTTTTTTTTCTTTTTTAATAATTATTATTTTTATACTTCATTATATACAGAGTAATAACTTTTAATTATTTATATAATTTTTTAAATTGTATCATCTCGTAGTTTTTATAGTTATGTATGTTTCAAAAATATAATGTATAATTTTTAGTTTAACAAAATTTTATAATAATTAAAATAAAATGATATAACATTCAAAAATGTTTCAACATGGCTTAAAAATTTATTAAAATCAATATATGTAATAAGCTTCATATTATATAGTTATTATTTTTTTTTTTAGGAAAAAATGAAAGAGTATATTATATAGACAAGAAAAAAAAAAAAAAAAAAAAAAAAAAAAAATNCAACATGGCTTAAAAATTTATTAAAATCAATATATGTAATAAGCTTCATATTATATAGTTATTATTTTTTTTTTTAGGAAAAAATGAAAGAGTATATTATATAGACAAGAAAAAAAAAAAAAAAGAAAAAAAAAAAAAGATAAAATAAAACATAAAAAATTTTAATTTATGAAGCTTTTGATGCTTTACTTAATTTTAAAATAGAATCATGAATAATATAAAGAGACTTTTCGCAAATCTTTTTTATTTGAATATTTATATCTTGCATTCTTTTCGTTGTTTGTATAATGAAATCCCTAAAAAAAAATAAAAATAAAAAAATATATATATATAGAATAAATAAATAAAATAAAAGTTTGAATATGAATATAATTACTTTGGAGAATCAAAATATTTAATAGCATTTTTGGTAGTTAAATATAAATCTTTTGAAAAATCAAAAATATTTTTTTTTGCATTATAATAAAATTGGGAATCTTTTAAATGGCTCAATTTTTCGAAATGGATACTTTTTAAATAATTCTTCAAGGAGTTATTTATAATTTTTATGTTCTTATATGGATAATAAATTGGTTTAAAAATTATTTGATGCTTATCATATGGAAAATCAAAATATAAATTTTCTAAATTTTTATTAACAGTTGTATTATCATCATGCGGTTGATCAATATTATACACATTTTGTTCAATTAATAATCCAAAACATTTTTTAACTGCCCTTTCTTTTGAATATATATGCGTTCCAATACATACACTTGATTTTAAATTTTTTTCATATGGTGATAGATATAAGTCATTATATAATGTTTTTTTTTTCTTATCTTTAAAAAAGTAATTTTTAAGAATATTGTAATAATTTAAAAAATAATTTTTATGATCAATGTTTGAATTAATATTTTTAATATCGCTTTGTCTTATATCTTCCTTTTTTGAAACTACTTTTTTTTTACTTAGTATTTTATTAATGGCATCTTTTGAATAAATTTTATTAAACGGTATCATCTTATAAAAATAAAATGCATTGTCATCTTTTGATCCTATACAATTAATATTAATATTTTTACCAATGTATAAAAAAGAAACGCCTTTACACACTCCTATAGATTCAAAAATAAGATTGTTATCAATATTTTTTTTTACAAATTCATCGTTATATGAGTCAAGGAATTCAATAACGAACTTTTTTTCTTTATTTTTTTCTTTTTTTTTTTTTTTCCCAAATAAATTAATGGGGAAATCATTATAATTAAAAATATCTAATAAATGTAATTTTTTATCATCTTCATACTCCTTATCGTGTTCAATATTTTTATAAAAATTATTATTATAATAATCATTCTTAGTATTTCTTCTTTGTATAGGTATTTCAAATTCTTCATTATTCAAATTAATATTTTCTTCTACATAATTTTTTTTTTGACGAGGATTCTTCTCAATTTCTTTTTTTTTCATATATTCATTTTTATCATTTAGTTCTTTTTGAAAACTATTAAGAATAGAAAATTCCTTTTTATCATATTTTTCGGAAATTTTTTTATTTATTTTTTCTTTTTGTAGTTCATATTTATCCTTACTATAATTAATAGGAACATTTGTTTCTTCACTGTCAAAGTAAATATCTATACTTCTTATTTTTTCTTCATTATTACTCTTTTTTTTATTATTCTCATTCATTTTAATGAATAAATTACTAAAAAAAAGATGAAATTTAGTTCATATAAATAGCCAAAAAAGAAGCATATATATCAAATTTAATTACATATTTTTTTTATTCCTTTATTCTTTATTTTTATCTAATCAAACGAAGTTTTTTTTCAAATATTTGGTCACTTAAAAAAGAAATTTACTAATTTTTCTTTATTAATTGTTTTTTAATTTTCCTTGATTTTCTGTTTTTTTTTTTTTTTTTTTTTTTTTTTTTTATTTTTTTTTTTTTTTTTTTTTTTTTTTTTTTTTTTTAGTTTATTATACTCAATTTTTTTTATAGAAAAATGTTTGCTCATATTTTTATTAAATGAAATCAATAAATTTTACATTAAAATGTTACATTCTTTTTTTACATATTTAATATGTATATTTTCTATAAACAACGCTTTTTTATTATTTTGTTTTTTTTTTTTTTATTAATTATTTTTTTTCTTAACAAAAACAATTTAACTTTATTTACTAATTAAAATTTTTTTTTTTTGTTTATTAGAACATTTTTTTTTTTTTTTTTTTGGAGATATAAAAATAACTCAGTTACAAAATGTTAAACGAAACATTTAAGGAAATGCTTAAATTGCACAAACAAAAATAAAAAGAAAACATAAACAGAGTAATATATATATATATATATATATTAAAATAATATTTGTATGATTGCTTTAATATACTTTTAATGTAAATTTTATTCTTTGTAATTTTTGAATATATGTATATTTATTTGACAAATATATATTTTAATACAAACAAAATTTTAGATAAAATATAATAAAAAAAAGTTTTTTTTAACTTTAATAAATATAAGAAAAGGTTGTATGCATATTATAAAATATATTAATTGTAAAATAAATAAGACAAATACTTTATAAATATGTAAGTAAAATATTTTTATGTATTTTATATATTTTAGAGTTTTCCTAATATAGTTGTATAATTAATTAAAGCTATTTTATTTTATTTATTTTTAATTTTTTATACCGATTCTTTTAAATATATATATTTATTTAGTGACTAAATTGTTTATAATATTTATAATTTGTAAAAAATATTTTTGATTTTTTTTTTTTTTTTTTTAATTCTTTGAAAATATTTTATTGAAGGCAAATTGTTACGTATAATAATTTATTTGATTTTATTAATTTATTTCGTTATATATTCATATAATCTGTTTTATTTTTTAGTTAATATGGACTCGGAAGAAACGATAAATTTGGCAGTGAAATATGCAAAGGATGCAGTTATAGAAGATGAGAAAAAAAATTATAAAGAAGCTTTAAATTTATATATACAAAGTTTGCAATACTTTCATTTTTTTTGTAAGTATGAAAAAAATGCAAATATAAGAGAATTAATATTAAAAAAAATGGAAATATATATGGCTCGAGCTGAAAGTTTAAAAAAAATAATTAATAAAAAAGAAGTGATAGAAACTAAAGAAAAAGTAGGAAATTCTGAAGAAACTAAAGAAAATATGAAAAAGCAAGTAAAAGAATTTATTATGAATAAAAATAATAATGTAAAATGGTCAGATGTCTGTGGTTTAGAATTAGCCAAAGAGGTTTTAAAAGAAGCAATTATATTTCCATTAAAATTTCCAAAATTATTTAATTCTTCTTCATTACCATATAAAGGGATCTTATTATATGGTCCTCCTGGGACAGGTAAAACTTTTTTAGCATTAGCATGCGCAAATGAATGCAGTATGAACTTTTTTAATGTATCATCTTCAGATTTAATAAGTAAATATCAAGGTGAAAGTGAAAAATATATAAAATGCTTATTTGAAACAGCAAAAGAGAATTCTCCATCAATTATTTTTATTGATGAAATTGATTCCTTATGTGGATCAAGAACAGATGGAGAAAATGAATCAACAAGAAGAATAAAAACAGAATTTTTAATAAATATGAGTGGATTACAAAATTATGAAAATAATATTATTGTTATGGGTGCTACCAATACACCTTGGTCTTTAGATAGTGGATTCCGAAGGAGATTTGAAAAAAGGATTTATATTCCACTTCCAAATTTATATGCAAGAATGAAAATATTTGAAAAATATATAAAAAATAGTGAAAGTAGTGATATTCAAAAAGAGGATATAAAATATTTTGCTACTCTAACTGAAAATTATACAGGTGCTGACATTGATATTATATGCAGAGATGCTGTATATATGCCAATAAAGAAATGCCTTCTTTCCAAATTTTTTAAGAAAGTTAATAAAAATAATAAAATATATTATACACCATGTTCTCCTGGTGATACTGATAAAACAAAAGTAGAAAAGAATGTAATGAATATAAATGAAAACGAATTATTGTTACCAACATTAAGTGTGCAAGATTTTAAAACAGCTATAACTAATGCAAAACCATCCTTATCTTTAGATGATTTAAAAAGATATGAAGAATGGACAAAACAGTACGGAATGAGTGGTACATAAAAAGTAAACATAAATGAAAAAGATCCTTTTTTTTTTTTTTCTGTTTTTTTTTTTTTTAAAATATTAAATATCTTTGAAAATTAGGTTTTAATAATACATTTGATCATTTTTCATTTTTTTAATATTTTTTACAAGAAATATATAAAAAAAAAAAAAAAAAAAAAAATACCTTTGTTTTTTTTGTTTTTATGTAACAATTTATTATATAACAGTTATACTTTTTTTTTTTTTTTTTTTTTTTTTTAAATATAGTATAATTACTATAAGTATTTCTTTTTTAATACTCTAATTTGCTTTCTATTAACAAAAAGTCTATTCTAATTTTATTAATTTTTGGAATATTATTTCTAATTTTTTTTAATAAAAACAAAAAGTAAAATGTCTTAATGAAAAACTAAAAGAATAGTATAATTAAAAGGTAAATAAATACATGATATACTAAAACAGTTATTTACTAGATTCCAATATTTAATAGTAATTATGAAAAAAAGCAATAGCTATTGATTACAATAGATTTATTAAAAAATTTAAGTCTTAAAAAAAAAGAAAAGAAAATGAATATATATATATATATTTATATAAAAAATGACATAAAAACTATTTATAAAACTAAAAACTTTTTCATTAAAATAAAAATTACTTTTGTCTAAATACAAAAAGATAAAAATTGAAAAAGTTATATACTTTTTCTTATATAAGACAATTTTTTTTTTAAAAAAATTAGATTATTCAAACAATCACATGACATATAATGGTCATACAAATTGTTGGTTTTATTATTAATTTTTTTTTTATAAATTATTTCTAATATTTTAATGGAAAAAGGAATTATATTTTTTTTTTTATAATGTAAAATTGAATAATAACAATATTCACAAAATTTTTTATTGAATTCTTCGTTTATTAAAATAAAATTGTATTTTTTATTCTCTTCAGAATCAATATAAGTATTTTTTGCCTTTTCATTGTCCATTTTTCTATAGGAGAAATGAGCATTATTCATGTTTAAAACATAATTAAAAATATGATGTAAATATGGAAATACATTTATTAAAATATTTAACAATATATAATTTTTACAATACAAAATTAAAGCTAAAGCATGTAATGGTAATTTCAATAAAATGAAAATTCTTAATAAAAACCATATTATATCATTTTTATCTATTGAACATAATTCATTGATTGAGATTGTACTCTTTTTTTTGCATTTATTACTATCTTTAATTTTTTTTTTTAAGTCTATTATATTGTTATAAATAAAATCATATATTCTTCTTTTAATTTTGTGCTTTAAATATTTTTTTGGAATTGTACTATTATTTTTATTACATATATTAAAAAAGTAAAACAAATATTTTATTGTATTATATAAAGGTATATATTTATAGGCAGAAGGTGCAAAATATGTCTCTAAGAATATATATTCTGTATGTTTATTGTAAATATTAAATGAAAGGATATTTTCACGGTATTTTTTCTTTTTATTTTCTAATTCTGTTTTACTTACATAATTTTTTTTTTGTTTATTAACATTTAATACATCTTCCTTTCTTTTATCTGTTTTTTTACAACAATTTACATCAAAATGATTTTTAAAAGATTTATAAATGTCAATGAGGAAAATGTTTTTTTGTTCATTTTGCAAAAATGTTTTATTTATAATTTCATTTTCTTTTTCTACTTTATCAAAAATACGTTTTAATTTTTTCATATATTTTATGTATTTTATATAATTGGAATCATCAATTAAGATGTTTTTTGTAAAATCAACATTGTTCCCAAGTGATATATGGTTTGTTGGTTCATTAATATTACCATTATTTCCATAATTATCAGTATAATTACAATTAATATATGATTTTCCCTTAAAATTGTTCTTTTTTAAATCATAATTTTGACTATATTCACTGTCACAATTATTGTCATTATTACTACTCTTATTATATTTATCATCAGTTTTATTATTAAAATACTTATTATCTATTGTATTTTCATGTTGTTCACATATTTTATCATTGAATTTAATCAAGTTATTTATTTCATAAAGTTTTTTTGCATTACTTTTACCATTCATTGAATTATTGTTATTTACATAATAGTTATATTTGTTATTTATATCAATGTATTTATCTTGGGTTGATTTTTCTTTATAATTCAAATTTAAAAAATAAAAATTCGAACAATTAATAGAATATTGAGCAACATCAATTGGACATATTCCCCAAAAAATATTCTGAAATATGTTTGATTTAAAAAAATATGAATAAGAAAAAAAGGACAATATATCAATTTTAAGATAAGTTATAAAATAATATAATTCAAACCAAAGCATATTATGTATATAATAACATACAATACTTTGAATTAAAATAATAAATTTAATATAAATATTTTTTATTTCGTCATATTTGAAATTTTGTTCATCATCTGATTTTATATTACCCCTTTTTTTTATTGGAGAGTAACAGTCAAATATATTGTTATTACATGTGTGTAAATTACAAAATGTATTTATATTTTTATTGGAAATATGTATTATATCATAGTTATAAAAAAATTCATATATAATTTTATTCATTGTAAACTTTTTATAACAGAAACTTCTAATCTTAAAACTGAATCTCTTTTTCTTTTCATTTATATCCCATTTTCTATTACAAATGTAATCATTAGTTAAATTATGAGTTTCATCTTCTAATATTTCTTGATGTATGGAATCATTTATAGTCTTTATATTTGTTTGATTTTTATTTATTAATGTATCACTTTTAAAAGAATCTTGAAAAAAAAATTGAAAATTATTTATATCAGTAACTTCTCTTAATTTCATATTATTTATATTATATGCACTTTGAAGAAAAAATAAAAAATTATCTGAATTATTGCATTCTCTTTTTAATGATTTCATATATTGTGGTTTTAATCCATAATAATTCCAGTGAAAAATATGATAGTTTCTCTTGTTTTTAAATAAAACATAAAATAAAATAGAGAGATAATTAATTAAACTTTTAGCGTATTTTATATTATATCTTAAACTCATAGAAAGAAAATATATACAATAAAATTTGCGAACATTATATATTCCTATATAGTTCTGCACATTAATAATATATAAAGAAGATATATTAAATCTCTGATTTTTTAAACAAAGCCTCATAAAATCATGAGGAATAAATCTACCAATAGAATAAATTAATATAGCAATAACATATGGGTCCATTTTTCTTATAGTATTTATCACCACTTCTGACACATAAAATTTACAATATTTTCTTAAAATTTTTAATAAAGTATATAAATTAAATACATATTTTTTTTTTAATATGCACAGAATATACAACACGATATAATAAATATTACAGTTTATTTTATATGCATAATCACTTTTTATTTCAAATGTACCTTTTTCTTCTTTAATTGTTGTAGAATATTCGTCTTTTAATTTTAATAAATATAAAATCATATAATGTATATATTCATTCTTTGCATTACTTTTTAAAAAATTTATTTTAGATTCATCATTAGAAAATTCAATAACATTTTTTTCATTAAAACAGATAAATGTTTTTTCCTTTAATATTTTATTTGTATCTTTGTTTTCAGAAAAAAAAACTGTTTTATCTTTAGATATATTTAATATATTACAAAAAATGGAATTTTTTAATATTTCGACATTTTTTTTTTTATAATTTTTGCTCAGAAAAAAGGTATATAACACAATTATAGATATATTCAAAATGCTTTCCACTCTATTTTTTGTTATCAATTTATTATAATAATGTGTTTCACTCAAGTTATTTAAATAATTGTATACAAATTTATACGCTATAATATATGAATCATTTAATTTAATAAGGGATTTATATAAAATTATATCTAATATATTTACTACAAATAAATTTTGCTTAATATATTTTAATATTATGTTAATGATTAAATAACGTATTTCTTTTCTTTTAGAATCATAGCCAAAAATATGTTCATATTTATTTTCTCTATATGAATGAACATCACTATATAATTTCAAAAATTTAAAAATAATTATGTCAATAAAACTATTTACTTGAAAAACAATTTTATCATAAACAGAACCACATGAATAATTTACTTTGTTCATATTTTCTTCTGATATATCTTTAGGATATATGTATTTTCTTATGTTCTCTTTTTTTTTTAATATATCTTTTATATTTGCTCTCGATATCTGATTGCAAATAATATTTAAAAATAATCCCAGATTGTGCATAGTGTGATGTAAATGAAAGTTATGTTCACTTGAATATTTTTTTAATTTCATATATCTATAAATAAATAAGTCACAATTGTTATACTTATTTTTTTGAAAAAATATTTTTTTTTTTAGCTCTTTCATTAACAAGAATTTCTTTGAACATTTGCTAATACTTATAACACTAATATAATTATTACGACTAACATATAGGTAACAAGTATCTTCTTTATTTTCTAATTCTTCTATAATATGGTAAAAACTTTGTTTAAATATTTTGTTCATTTTATTTACAAACTCCTTGTGGCTACGTATTATAATATGAAATATAAAATAGAAAAATTCTTTTAGAACAATATCTTGTCTTTCATATTTTTTATTTTTATAATTAATTTCTTCATTTCCTTTTTTTTTTTTTTTTTTTTCTTTATTATCATTACATATAAACAAACTTTCAAAAAAATTATTTAATTTATTCATATAAATCATTACTTCCTCTTTAGTATGTAACCAATCGTTACATTTTTTGTTATTAACCTTTTTTAACTTAATTAAACTTTGATAATTAGATGAATGCTTATTTAACTTATCCTTAAAAACATATTCGAATCTTTTATAATTGCTATTTTTTTTATTATTATTATATGAATTTAAACCAAAGAAATCAAAAGAAGTTTTTGCTGAACTAATTCTTGATTTATATTTAAATTTTTGTCTCGTATTATCATTATTATTAAAAATTCTTGTTGTTCTTTTTAAATTCATTTTATTGTTGTCATTATGTAATAATTTATTAACTGTTAAGGGAAAGTTACTTTTTTCTATAGATTCTTTATTTTTTTCTTCTCTATTTGTTTCATCCTTTTTATCTATGTATATTTTATTTTCTTCCTTTAAGCTTAACTCATTTCCTACTAACATTTGTATATTTCCCAATACTTTACTGTTGATTTTCTTATTTTTTTTATTTGAAAAAGGTGCAAAAAGAAATTTACAAACATTTGATTTTTTATCTATTTTAATAATTTTGTATATTATATATATGACGTAATAATAAAACAAATATATATAATATATATAATTTGGCCATATGTACTTTATAGGAGATGGTAAAGAATAATAAAAAATATTTTCGTAATCTTTTACAATTTCTATATAATCTAACTTACAGTCAAATATATGTGTAAATTGAAAATCATAACAATTACTATGGTCTCTATATATATGAAGAAAGTATATTGAATTATCATAATTTACAAATACGTAGTTATATATATCAAATAGAGAATAAAAGCAAGATGGTTCTATAAATTTTTTATCTTTATTTAAGGGCAATATAAAAATGTTTTCTGAATTTAAGTATTGTGATTTGTTTTCGTTATTTTTTATTTCAGTAATTTTAAAACACAATAAATTATAAAACGCGTCTAAAACAATTAAAAATCTTTCATTTAAATTATTAGTTTTTTTTTCTTCTTTTATCGATTTATCGTAATAAACATGAGTTAATATTGGTCTATATAATAATCTTATAGAACATATATAATTAGTAAATTTCAAGGAATTGTTTAAATTGTAAAAATATATAACATAATAAAAATTATTTTTATTTAGAATTTCTTCATAGTTAATAGTATTTTCATTTACGTCCTTTTCATTTTTCTTTTCTATGTTGTTTCTTATTTTTGAAAATTTTGTATCACCTGAATAACCACAATAATTATTTATTTTTTTAAAGAATTTATTCTTTTCATTTCTGCAAGTATTTTCACTATTTGAGGAGGTACTACTTTCACTTAAAGCATACATATATTCATTATTTACAATATTATTTAAACAAGTATCATTTAAATTTTCATTTTTTATATTATCTAATTTATTATTTAACTCTTTATTATTGATAATTTTATTGTTCCATATACTTGAATAACATTTAAAATTTTTATCACTTTCCTCATTACTTATAATTTCTTCGAAAAATTCTTCTTCCTCATAATTTGTTGATATTTTCTTCTTCCTTTGTTCTAAAAATTGTTTTAAAAATATATTATTGTCTTTTTTTAAAAAAAAATGATCATAAAATAAAGAAAAAGGTTTTGTATACATATTACATTTATTAATATTAAAATATTCTTCAAAAAATTTAAAATGAGTATCACTTTCATTATGATTAAAATTAAATAAATAATTTAGTGTTATTAATTCTTCTAAATCACGTTTTTTTTCATCATTTTGAACATTTGATTTGTTTTCATAATTTTCTTTAATATTTTTATTATTCTCTTCATCATTTTCATCTTCATCCTCACTTTCATCTTCACTTTCGCTCTTATTTTCACTTTCATCTTCACTTTCACTTTCATCTTCACTTTCACTTTCATATTCACTTTCATCTTCACTTTCATTTTCATTTTCACTTTCATCTTCACTTTCACTCTTATTTTCATCTTCACATCTATCCTCTTTTTCACAATGCTCTACATTTTCATCATTTTCATTTTCAATAGATTGTTCGTATTCTTCATTAGTTACTTCTGTGTCTTCATAATTTATATTATACAATTTAAAATTCACAATTTCTTTTTTCCTTATCTTTCTATAAGAGTAATCATTATTTTTAGAAATATTAAAATCGTTTTTTTTTTTGAAATATTTAAAATTATGCTCATCATATTTATTATGCAAACATGTGACGAAAAAAACATCCTCAAATATCCATCCTGATGGATAATTATGAAAAAAATATTTTAAATAATCATCCAAAAAATAAGAAAATGTTTTTTTTTGTACATTATATATACATATATCCTTAAAAATAATTAAAATATATGTGTTATCAAAATTTAAATAAGACTTTTTAATAAATTTAAATGGGGTTATTACTTCTTTAATATTTATATTATTTTTTTCATAATCATTTACATTATAATTATTTAGATTAGTGTCAAACATAACTATGTTATTTACACCAATATATATTTTTTTACAAGATTGATTAGTGTAATAATTACTATTATAATGAAAAGCTTTGTTGTTGCTATATATATCATTTAAATAAAGAATTTTTTTTACATTAATATAATAATAATTTTCATCCATACTTTTTATGTAAAATAATTTAAAATCATTAAAAACAAAAGATATATTAATAACACTATTTGTTATTTTAACAGTTTTTGAATGATTAAGTAAAAAATTGTCAGAATGATCTTCTATTAGACTACTTCTGATATTATTATCTCTATATGAATTATTACTTGAATAGTTTTCTGAATTAATTATAAATGAACTATTTTTGTCTTGTATGATACTTGGATTATCGATGTTAAAATGCATTGAATGTTCCGTTTGAAACCTTTTTAATTCATTATTGCTCTCATTCTTTTCTTCGTGTGCATAGTAATCATTCTTCGTACAATAATATAAAGTTCCATTCGTATTAAAAATGTAATAATTGTTTTCATTAAATGATAAAAGAAAAAAATTACATTGTTTATTCCATATTAAGAAATTATAATAGTAAATATTATCATTATTACTATTAAAGATATTTATACTAAATAAACATGTTTCAAATGTGTGTTTACATATATATGGATATGTGCTGTATGCTTTAATAGTTAAATCACAATTTATTATTAAAATAATTTTTCTAAAAATATTTAAACTTATATCTATTATGGGAGAACCTACATATAAGCCAATCACATTCGTTTTTTTCTGAATTCCTACTTTCATGATTTTTTTTTTTTTTTTTTCTCTTCCCTGAAATTTTAATTCAGTTTCATGTCTTATTTTTTCATTAAAATTTTTATAATAATAGTTGTTTTTATGAACATTTTTGCCAGAATAATAGCAACACTTTTTTTTTGAAAAATTAAAAAAATTATGAAAAAAGGAAAATATATATAAATCATTACTTTTGCTTAATAATAATAAATAATCATTATGCATATTAAACTCCACTTTTATAATTCCTTTTATATTAATACTATTTTTACATTTTTTTCTTGCAATATCAGAATTTTTATTTTTAATAAAAGAATATAAATTGTTTTCTTTATTAACACTATACAGGTACAAAGGATAAAAATCTTTTTTTTTCTTTTTTTTTTTGCATTTTCTTGCTATATTATATTTTATGTTATTATAATACTTAATCATATTTTGATAAATGGAATTACTACATATAAATCTTCTAATTTTACTTTTTTTTAATGAATAATAAATATGGCGATTTTTTACTCTAAATTTTTTATTTGCATTTTTAATATGATTAGAAAAAAACTTAAATTCTTTACTTACTTTATTATTATTACCGTAAGAACTTTTCTTTTTTCCTTCATATTTTATATATTTAAAACTAACTATTTTTGTATTAATAACAACTTTATTAACATTTTCATCTTTTTTTAAAAGAGAACTCCTAGCTAATATGTTTTGAACATTATCTGAAATAAATATTTCATCTGTTTCATTTGAAAAAAATAAAATGTTATTTTTTGTAATTATCAAACAATTTGATGAAATAGGTAAATACAACATAGTTATAAGTTTAATACTTACATTTTTATATACTTTTTTTTTTTTATAAATTTTTTTTATATAGGTAATATATTCATAATATTCATTTTCATTTTCGCTTGAGTAATTATCCGAATGTTCACTAATATTAAAAGAATGTGCATTCTTATCATAATCTAATATTACAACATCATTTTTATTAACAATATAATATGCATAAACATATTTTAAATTTTTACTTAGGATATATATTGTATTATCTATTGGAGACAAAAATACTTTATTATGATAACCGTAATTATTTATATGATCATATCTTAAAGAATATAAATTAACAAAAGAAAAGTCATAGTTATCAAAAATGTAGAAACAATATTTTGTTATTACATAGATAAATGAGTTACATGTACTTGTGTTCGTGTATATTACTTCATCTCCTATATCTACATCAACTATATTTTTTTTACTTTTTAAATAACCATCATTTTGGTTGTTACTTCCATGCTTTAAATAATCATTATTTTTAAAATTTTCATCATTTGAATTATTATTTTTCAATTTTTTCTTATTTTCATAATTATATAAATTAAATTTTTTATATATCTTTAACTCATCTTCTTTATCCAAACATAGCATTTTTTTCTTTTTCTTTTATATATATTTCACTTAAATATACCATTTACAGTAATATGGGTAAATATTTTACATATGAAAAAAATTTTTATTTTACGATATTTCTTTTTAACATAAAAAATTTTCTAAAAGTAACTTTAAGTAATTCTTTATTAAATAATGAATATAAAGATTTTTAATTTTCTTATTCTCTTTTAATTTTATAATAAAAAGAAAAAAGGATATCAATTTCTTAATTTTCTATATTTTTTTTCATTGTTTTTTTACTGAAATACTTTTACATTGAAAAAAAAAAAAAAAATTCAAAATACATAAAAATAAATGTTTAAAATTATTTGGATATTTGAAAGGAATATAGAAAGAAATATATGTAATTTTTTTTTTTTTTTTCTTTAGAATAATGTATGACGATTAATATCATTAATTTAGTTTTTTTTCTTATGTATTCTATTATTGATATAAAGAAAAATATATTGATTGAAAAGAGAATAGATAATAATGTGTATTTATTAAAATTGCATAAAATAATTTTCATTTTTTAAATGCAGATCTTATTAATGTATTTGTATGTTTTTTATCATAGAATTTGCGTTATCTATAATTTAAAAAAAAAAAATAAAATAAAAAAGTTCAAAGTGATATAAAATTCTTTCTTTTCATTTGAAAATATCATTAATCAACAAGCAAAAGTTGTAAATCAGATGATTATGCGGCAATTAAAATTATGTCATTGAAAAAAAAAAAAAAAAAAAAAAAAAAAAAATACTAAATATAGTGTATTATATATAGAAAATGCATATAGATACAATAATGCATCCGATGCATTTGTATTTTTTTTTTTTTTTTTAATTTTTCTTTAAATATAACATTAAATATTAATTTTACTTTATAATTAAACGAATATTTTAATGTTTTCATTATTTTATTTTTTTAAATAAAATTTTAATAAATTATTTTTTAATTATCTTATGCATACTGTTCTGTTTTGTATTTATACTTTTTTTTTGTTTTATTGATCATTTTTACAATTTTTTTTTTATATATATATATATATATAATTTATTTTTCCGTTAATTTATATATTTATCTTTTGTAAAGAAAAAATGGCTTCTAATAAAAGGAAGAGTAAAAAGGTTAATCTGCTGAAAGATCAAATGTTTTTAACAAAAAAATATGTTGATATGAAGGATCCTATTTATGATAGTGAAATAGAAGATGAAAATTGTTTTTATACAGTTGTGAATGCTGAAGAAATTGAGTATTCACAAAAAGTATCTGAGATGAAAAATAAAATGTTTGAAGATGTGAATATTTTATGTTTTGAAGAATTTCAAAAAAAATGTGACTTACTAATTGATAATTTTTTTTTAAGCAGCAACATTCAAGAATTCATTGAAGATATAAAAGAATTAACTGTGAAGAAGTATAATGATTATTTAGTTTTACAACTTATAAAAAAGTCATTTGATCGTGATGACGAATGTCAAATAAATGTATCATGTTTACTAAATATTTTAAGTATCACAAAATTAATAACAACTGAACAAGTATATAGAGCTTTTGAAAAAATTTTGTTAAGCTTAGAAGATATAAAATTAGATTGTCCATTGTGTTATGAGGTTTTTTTAAAATATCTGAGATTCAGTATATTAGATAATGTAATTGATAAAAATTATATTTTTAAATTACCTACGTTTTTTTTTGATAATTTAGGTTTATTAGAATTAAATGAGGAAGATTTAAGATTAAAAGATTCGAATGAAAATGAACAAGAAAGTGAACAAGTATATGAAGAAAAAAATGATAAAATATATGATAATGAAAAGAATAATTCTGAAAACAAGAATTATGATATGAATATACAAAATTTTGAAAGTTCTGTTGAAAAAAAAAAAATGAAAGATGAAATATGGAGAGATACTTTATTATGGGTATTAGAGTTAGATATAAAAAATGTAGAAAAAGAAAAAAAAGAATATAAAAAAAAAGTAAGAGAATTTTTAGTTGATTTTTTTAATGATGGAGATACAAATGAAGTGATTGAATTTTTAAATAATACAAATAGTTTATTTCATCATGAATTTGTTAGAATAAGCATAATAGAAACATTTAGTAAAAATAATATATGTAGAAAATTTATATCTTATTTGTTAGATAGTTTATGTGAGAAATATATTTTAAAAAGTGATATCATAATAGCCTTTATAAGAATTATTGGTGACATTGACGATTATGAAATTGATTTTCCACAAGCAAAAGAAATGGTTTGCAAATTTTTACTTCGATGCATATATGATGATGTATTATATCCAGCTTTCTTAAGTGATATTTATAAATTGCATATAGGTGGTGTAACTGGAATGATGATTTGTAACAAAACACAACAAAGAATTAATGATAAAAAAAAATTAAATTTAAATAATATAAATTACATATGGGATGAAGATGATACTTATGAAAAAATGAAGTTAAAAATAAAAATAAACAACACTCTCTTAGAATATTTTTATTCATATATAGATGAAGAAGAATGTTATTTATATTTTGATGAGTTTTTACCATTATATCATGATTTATGTAATTACGTTGTTAAGAAAATATTTATTCATAATGTAGATATAAACAATGATTTAACTTTGTCATTCAAGCTTATTGAATGTTTATTAAAGAAAAATTTTATTAATGAAAAAAATATAGAAGGAGGGATTTTAGAAGTTGTTAATGTCTTAAAAGATATAGTTTTAGATATACCCAAGTATCCATGTGAATTAAGAAATATTATTAATTATCTTTTGCAAAAAGAATATATATCTAAAGAAATATTTGATCAGGCTTCTAATGCAATAAATGAATTTAATATGTAGTTCAAAGTCTCTTGTGCAAATTATGCTAAACATTTTCTTTATCACATATATATGTACAAATATAGTAAATTAAAAAAATTATTTACATAAAAAAGAGTAATGAAATATACAATAAATTAAAAATTTAATTAAATAATAAATCTTAAAAAAAGAAAAAATGTATATAAATTATAACATTTAAAATATTTATATACAATAATACATCTTTTTTATTTTGAAACATGTATTTATTATATTAATTTTTCATTTTTTTATTAATTCTTTTATATTTTTTCCCCTTTAAATTAAACAAAATTAGAAAAAGTTGATACCTTTATGCATAATATATATATATATATGTGTATATATATATTTTAATATAAAATTAACAAGCAAATTAGTTGAAATTAATGAAACAAATTTTAAATAAGAAAGAAGTAACCTAATTAATATAATATGTAAATTATAGATATAAAATTATATTTTGTCTTTTATTTAAATACTATGTTAAAGAGGTAAATTCATATTAAAATAAATATTCACTTAGTATTTATTTTTATTTTTTTTCCCTTCCTGCTCTTCTAAAATGTTTTGAAACATAAATTATGAAATTACACTTTTAGTAGTAGTAATTAAGAAATGTAATTTTTTATAATATAAACAATTTATTTAAAATTTTCGTGTAAAAAAAAAAAAAAAAAAAGGCAATTACAGTGAAATGAAAAATGTATGTAAACATTTCAAATATCTTAAATTTGTTGAATAATTTATTTTCTATTTTTATATAATTCATAAACTTATAGTTCTTATTGTTTATAATACTATATATTTTATAATATTTAATATATTTAACTTTACAAAAGATATAAAGTTTTATCACTTCAAAAAATTATTAAAATGAAAATAAAATAATATATAAAATTTTTTTTTTAATATCTTAGAACTCATTTTCTTTTTAATCAATAGATTTTATCTTTTTCCTATTTTATTATTTAATAAGAACAGTTGTCTTTATTACTCTTTAAAAATTTTTTTTTTTTTTTTTGTATATATTTTGTTTCTTAAATAATAATATAAAAATATATTTATGTTTACATATAAAAAACTTAATATTATTTATTTTACTTTTTTTTTTAATTATTTTTGTGTGTGTAATTATTAATTAGAATAAGCATAATATTTTAAGAAACCTTCATTTATTTCTTTTTATATTTTCTTCTTAATTTCATTTATTAAAGTTATTTTTTTTTTTTTTTTTTTTGTAAAAATACTTTTAAAAATGTACTTAATAAAAAATTAGTGAAAATAACAAAAGATAAAGAAAAATACCCTTTACTCTCCGATATTATTTTTTTAGAAAATTTATCCTCTACACACATATAAAGAGTATATATAAAAATAAAAAAAAATATTTCCAGAAAGTTTTATGAGATTTATTATTTCATTAAAATTTATTATATAAAATAAAAGTAAAAAATTAATAATATTGTAAAATATATAATCAATCCTACCTTTTAATTAGAAATTTTAATTTTTTACTGTAATTTAAAATATATTTCAATTGTATTTTTTTTTATTTTGAATAGTGAAAATGGTAAAAATTATAAGTAGCCAAGCAGGTTAGATTTATATATAGAATATGAAAATAATTGAGTATTATTGAAATTTTTATCTTTTAATTTATATAAAAAGAAAAAGAAAATTCTTTTAAATAAAATATATGAATTATAATGGAAAATACATTAGAAATTGAGATACAAAAATAAAAAAAAAAAAAAAAACTGAAATTGAAATAAGAGTTATATCTTTATAAATTAAAAATATAATAAATATTCTTTAATAAATCCTTTTAAATTTTTAGATTTTGAAGATATAATTTCTCAAAACGATGTAGTTATTGTTGATTTTTTTGCTGAATGGTGTGGACCCTGTAAAAGAATAGCTCCTTTTTACGAGGAATGTTCAGAAAAATATAAAAATATTGTTTTTATAAAAGTAGATGTAGATGAAGCATCAGAAGTAACTGAAAAAGAAAATATAACATCAATGCCAACATTTAAAGTTTATAAAAAAGGAGTTTCTGTAGAAACTTTATTAGGAGCAAATGATACAGCTTTAAAACAGCTAATTGAAAAATATGCAGCTTAAGAGAAACAAAAAAAGTTATATATATATATATATATATTTGTACAACATTTTGTTAAAATGATAAACATATTACAAACAGTTTTTTATTAATAATCATGCATTTTTTTTTCATTTTTAATTAACACGTTAAAATCAACAAAAAGAAGCATTTATATATATATATATATATAAATTTTGGAAAACTAAAAAATAAATATAAATGTCAGGTTTTGGCTTTTTCTATTTCAATTTAAACCATATATATGATAAAAAGAATAATTATAGTATTTCTGAAATTTCAAGAAAAATGTTGAATTTTTTTTAATTTCTAAAAAGTGAAAAAGTTGCTTAAATTACTTATATATTATATACACATATGTAAAATAAATATGCATAAAAAGACAATAGGCAAATTTTCATAATAATTGAATAAATAAAAAAAAAAAAAAAATTAAAAAAAAAAAAAAAAAAAAAACGAGAATTGTATTAATTAAAAAATATGCATATATGTTAATTAGTAAATATGCATAAATTAATAAATTAAAATGAATATATATATATATATATATTAAAAATATTTAAATGAAAATAATTTTTCTCTTTGTAAGAAAAATAATTTAATTAATTTATCATATATAATGATTAAATAAATTTACATTAAAGTAATCTTTCATTTTAACTGATATAAAGTCTTTTATTCTGTGTTTTAATAAATAATCACCACATAAGGCTAAATTTTGTTTTTTAACCATAGTTTTTTTCTTAGTTATTTTCTCATTTTTGCTATTATGATCATTATTTTCATTTTTGTTGAATGTTATTATATCTTCTACGGCATCTTTTAGATTATTTTTTTCGAATTCATTTTCATTTTGTTGACAATTTCGAGGTATATTATAATAACTGGGATAAGCGTGCAAAGTGTCTTTATAGTTGTGAACTTTACTCATATTATTTTCATTTTCATCATAAACTGGATTTATTACTAGTTTTCCTGTTAATGAGTTAAAATTACTATTCATGAGCATTTTTTTTGTATCTTCATTTTTTTTAGCTAAATATTTATGAAATGCTTCTGCTGATTCTTCTACTGATTTAAAGTTGTCATTTTGATTTATAGCAAACGTTTTTCCATGAACTAATCTCCATTTATTATCATATTCTATAATAGTATCATGATTACACTCTGATACAATTCCGTTATTATGTTTTGTCGTTAATCCTTGGATAATCTGTGGAACATCAAAATTTTCTTTTATATATAAAGTTGGTTCAGGTATACAATTTTTTATTTCATCCATTTTATATTGATTGTCTAAATATTTACTTAGATATTGTTTTCCACTTAGATATTTTTGATTATTCTGAAAGTTGGAATTATTATTATTAATATTCTGAAGCATAGTTGAAGAATTTTCTAGCTCATTCGTAATGATATTATTCATAGTGTTCATTTTATAGGGAACTTTTTTTTCATAAAAAGAAGCATTCATATTCCTTAAACTATTTATTTTCATAATATAATTGTTGTTATTTTTAAAATTTTTCATATTATTATTATTATGCATATTTGTTTTTGAAGAAACAGATTTAGTAATGCATATATCACTCAATCCTTTCAATTGTTTTTCTTTCATTTTTTTATTATTAGAATTGATATTTAATGTTCTTATTGTCATAAACCCATTACTTGATTCATTATTTTGCTCATTTAAACCTTGTTTCATGATACCATTAGAGACAAATGACTTTTGAACATCATTTGGTAATTTAATTTTTGGTAAAAAAGAATTATTTTGTTGAATATTTCCATATCTATTATAATAACTTCTTTCGTTTGATTGATTTAAATTTAATTCATCATTATTATATATATTTGTTATTTGATTATTATATATATGATTTTTATTTATATCTCTTAAATTTATTCTTTTTATGTCTGTTAAATTTTGTCCATATGAATTCAAAGAATTTTGTTGATATTGCTCCCCCCAATTTTGTTCATAAGAATTATGAATATTATTCAGGAATTTCTCATTCAGTATTTTCTCATATGCATTAAATGTATTTTGTTTACAAAAATTAGGATTATAATTCTCTTTTTGATTATCTATATTTTGTTCATTTATATTTTTTAAAAATTCGCCATCTTTATTTTTTATATTGTATTCTTGTTCATCAAAAATATTATCCTCATTTTCATTTTCTAAGTTTTGGTCATTTTGATCTTTCACATTCTGAATATTTTCATTTCTCATAATATTTTCTTCATTTTTTATATCTGAAATTTGATGATTTTCACTTATTAAATTCTGTTCATATTTATTAAATGTGTTCATATTATAAGGATAATTCAACTGTTTTGAATTATTATTTAACGGAACTCGTTGACATTCATTATTTTCTGATTCACATACTAACGTTGGTTTAGGAATAGTGTATAAATTATTTTGAAAAAAATCAAATAAGTTTTGCTCTGAATCATATTTTAATGTTTGCTGTGAATTTACATGAAAATTATTTTGATTCATATCTAATAAATTCTGCTGTGAATCACACATTATTGTTTGTTGTGAATGTGTTTGCATGTTATTTTGACAAGTATCTGATAAATAAATGTTAGATTTTTTCAATACATCATTTTTAGAATTAATATGAGATAAATACTGATCATTTAGAATTTTTTCATTTTTTTCTAATGCAACTTTTTCTTTTTTTTCTTCTTCATCTATTTTTAAATGTGACTTTTTATTTAAGTAAAAATTTCTGTTTATGAATTTCTCAGAATCATTATTTTTATTAGATATATTACTTTGGAAAAACTTACTATTATTTTCATAATTTTTATTATAATTTAAATTTACTCTTTTATTTTGCTCTATTTCTACAGGTATAATATTCTTTTCATTTTTTATATCTTCATATTTTTCATCAAAATAGTTTTTCATTTTATTATTTTCTAAGGATATATTAGCTGTATTTTCATTAAATTTCTCTATGTTTTTATCTAATGAATCAACGTTGTATTCCGTATCAGTAGACAAACTTTCATTACACTTTTTATTATAAAAATCAAAATTGTTATTTTTATTAATTATTTCCTGTTTTAATTGACTACTATGGTTACAAATATTAAATATTTCCATTTTATGTAAATTTAAAAAATATGAATTTTATTTTATGTATATATATATATATATATATTTAATTTTTTTTTAGAAGATAAAATAGAAAAAAAGAATTTCTCTGTACATCAAAACAACAAATATACAAATGATTATTAAAACAAATATACTTTTTCTTTTTTAAATTAAAACACTTTTAATAAATAAAATACTTTAATTACTTTTTTTTTTTTTTTTTTTTTTTTTTAAAAAACAAATAAAATTATTTAATAAATTAAATAAAAAATTGAATTCAAGATTCATAATATTTTTAAATTAAAAAAAAACATAATTATAAATGTTCAAGCATTATATCAATATAATAGTAACAATTATACTAAAAATAAGACAAAAAAAAAACAAAAAAAAATAAAAAAAAACAAAAAAAGGATAAAATAAAATACTATAAAATATCAATAATAAAAATTTACAATGTTCTTTTTTCACTGTCTTTTGTGTTAGGTAACAAAAAAACAAAATATACATATATATATATATATATATATATATATATATATATATATATATATATATATATATATATATATGATGAAATTAAAAATTTTTTTCGCAAATGGAAAAAAAAGAAAAAAGAAACATTATTATGATAATAAATTATCATGTAACTTTTCTATAAAAATATTTCTACATATTCTTAAATATTAAATTGTGTTATAAATCATTTTATAAATACATATATGAAATATTTAAATTGTATTTTCAGTTGTATTTTTTTTTTTTTTTTTTTTTTTTTTTTTTTTTTTTTTTTTTTTTTATTAACGCAACAAATTTTGTTTTTATTAAATTATTAAAATACAAACGAGTTTACAAAAATAAAAAAAAAAAAAAGTGCACATAATATGTCTATAAGTTGTAATTTGCGTAACAAAGATATAAATTACATAATTTTTTTACTAACAAATAATTAAAATTTTAAAACATTGTTATATGAAAAGTTATTTGATTTTTTTTTTTTTTTTTTTTTTTTGGTTTATCAAGTATTTTATAATATGTTCGACCGCAGTGCTATTGTATAATTTAAAAAAAAAAAAATTATGCTAAAAATCTTAGTAAAATTTCATTATATTTTATAATTTATGGAAAAATTAAAGTGAAAAGTTTTATTGTGTACATAATTATTTTTTTTGAGTTATATATATATATGTATATATGAATAATACATATATATAAAATTTAAGTAAAATTTTGTATTAAAAAATTGTCAAATATTTATTATTAATATAAAGAGTATTCCATGTAATAAAGTAATTAATTTATAAATAATAAAAAAAATAAAATAATATTATAAAAAATTTTTATTAGTATTTTGTGAAGAATTATTAAGTATATAATTTTATATTATCATAAAATATTAAAGTTTTTTAAAATTTAAAAGTATATTAAAATAAATGGGAAAAATTAACAAAATGAGGAATGTTAAAATGAGTAATTCAATAATTTATCATTCATGCTATATAATTATAGGTAAAAGAATTAATATTTTATAAAAAAATATATTTTCCTATTTATTATATTTATACATATATATATATATATATATATATATATATATATATTTATGTAAATGTATATGTTTTTCTACAATATGTTTTTATTTTAATGTTCAGTTTTAACTATAATAATGTCTAGGTTTATTGTAATTCCTTTAATTGCACAAATGTTCTTGTATACATTTATAACAATATATATTGGAAGCCATGATAGTTTGAAGCAACTAGAAGTTAAAAAATAATATAACATACCCATTTAAGAAGATTATATTTTTTATTTATTAAGTATTTTGTTATATATTGTTCTTTTTAGATCGATGATAGAAAAAAAAATGCTGATAACATAACAGCTTATGATGCTATTATGTTTCCTATTATTGGATCAGGAGCTCTGCTAACATTGTAATAAAAAAAAAAAAAAAAAAAAAAAAAAAAAAGATATATTCGAATTATATAAAATTACAAAAAATAAAAATAAAATAATAAAAATTTTTTTTTTTTTTCTTTTAGATATTTTGCATATAAGTTCTTAGATCCATATTATGTCAATTTATTATTAACTGTATATTTGACATTAGCTGGTGTTTTTTCATTACAAGGAGTTTTTTCTAATATTCTAGTAATAATATATATATTTATAAATAATGATACATAATGTATACAATCATTAAAAAATATAGATTTTAATAATACATATTTAATTTCATTCATTAAAAAAATGCAATTACAAATATTAGTCAGAACTAATATTATATAAAGGAAAATTTAATAATTAGTAGAATTAAGAAAAGAAATAATTTATGCTTTAATTAAATTTATTAAAAAAAAAAGTATTTATTATATTTGAAGGATTAATATATTAGAATAAAATACAGCAATTATATTTATTATTTTGTTTAAGAATATTTTTAAAAATAACTATTTAAATATAAATCTATAAAAGGATATTAATTTATATATATATATATAATTTTTATAGGAACCAATATTTCCAAATTTTTTTAAAAGAGATGAATACGTTAAAACTATAAATTTACCAAGTTTTATATATAAAGGTATTTAATATAAAAATAAAATTAATAATTATTTAGAAAAGAATGATAGTTATCATAAATGTTTTAATTTTTTTTTTTTAGAACCTGTTATTTTTAATACAAATAAAGGAGAAATATTATGCTTTATACTTTGTTTTTTAATTGGATTACGTTGGATTTTTTATAAAGATTTTATAACGCATAATGTATTAGCTGTTTCTTTTTGTTTTCAAGTATTAATTTTTTAAAAAAAATATTATATATATATATATATGTGCACATATACAATTCATTTTTGTTTTTTTTTTTTTTTTTCAAAAGGCTATATCATTAGTTATTCTTAGCAATTTTTTAATCGGATTACTATTACTAGTATGTATTAAAAATATGAAAATAAAATTTTTTTTATATATTTCTTATTAATAATTAATTTTTCTTGATATATTAACAGTCAGGATTATTCGTTTATGATATATTTTGGGTTTTTGGAAATGATGTTATGGTTACTGTTGCAAAGGTTAATTATAAAAAAAAAAAAAAAATAATAAAATAAAGATGATTTTATAAATATATATATATTTTAGACCTTTATTTTTAAATAAATTTTTTTTTTTATTGTTTTATTTATATTTTTTTTTTTTTTTTTATGATATCATTTTATAAAATATATAATTTTATATATGAACATTTCAATATTATTTATAGTCATTTGAAGCTCCTGTAAAATTATTATTTCCTGTATCTAGAGATCCTTTACATTATAGTATGTTGGGTTTAGGTGATATTATAATACCAGGAATTGTTATATCATTATGTTTACGCTTTGATTATTATTTATATAAAAACAAAATACATAATGGAAATATAAAAAAAATGTTTAATGATATAAATATTCATGAATCATTTAAAAAATATTATTTTTATAGTATAATAATATTATATCAAATTGGTTTAATAGTAACATATTGTATGCTATTTTATTTTGAACATCCTCAACCAGCTTTATTATATCTCGTCCCTGCTTGTATAATTGCTATATTAGGATGCTCTTTATGCAAAGGAGAATTTAAATTAATGATAAAATATCAAGAAATAACTGATAAAACAACTAAAACAAAGGTAGATGAAAAAAACAAACAAAATTCTGATAAAGAGGAAATTATTAAAAATGAAGAACCTGTTGCATCAAATACTAAAAAAAGAGTTACCAACAAATAAAAATAATAAAGAAAAATATATACATATATTTTAAACATAAAAGAGTTTATAACATAAATAATATGTTTTTAAAAATAAAAAGACAAATAATACAAAAAAAAAATATTTTGAAATAGAACAGTAATAAGAGTATGTATTTTTTAAAGGAAAAAAAAAATGTTAATAAAAAAAAATATAGGAATTAAATAATGTTCATAAAAATATTGTAAAATTTTATCTATATTTCATAATAATATGGAAAAACATTAAAAGTAAATTTATAAATATTATAAAAAAAAATAAAAGCTTTAAGACTTAATACTTAAATTGTTTTATATATTTATATACACATATGCCTAAAATTTTTTTTTTTTTTTTTTAAATTTTTTTTTTTTTTTTTTTTTTTTAAATTTTTTTTTTTTTTTTTTTTTTTTTTTTTTTTTTTTTTTTGCAATCATAGAATTATTTATAAAAAAGTTCCACTTTTTCAAATATGCATTTTTCTATTGACTAGATTTAATAAATATTTTTAAGATAATTGCTTTTAGATGTAAATATTAAAACAAATTTGATTAAAAAAAAATTTATTTGATCTTAGTTTTAAAGGATTTTTTTAATAACTTTTTATAATATATTTAATGAAACATAATGTTCTTTTTAAATATTTTTTTTCCTAGAAATTTTTAAAAATAGATTTTTATTTCGGTATTTTCATAATATGAAATATTTATATGCACATATGTAATCTTTAATAAATATAAAAATTAGTAATGTATAATACAAACATATATTTTTTATAAATCAATGTTTAAATTTTCCAAATAACTAATATAGGAAATTAGTAAGTAATTATATATATATATTCTTTTATATAAAGATAAAATGAACTTATTCAATATTTTCTGAAATTTTATTATTTAAGTCTTCTAATGAAATATTTGAAACCATTAAGACCTATATTTAAAAATATTATTAAAAAATATATTGTTATACAAGATGATGAAAAAAACTCATTTCATTTCAAAAAAATTATTCATAATTACCTTATCTCTTGATTTTAATCCTGAAACAATAGATATATCCCTTTTTTTCAGTTGTACTAAAAATATTTTCAAAAAATAATTCAAGAAGTGTTTAAAAAAAAAAAAAAAAAGAAAAATATCATTTATAATTATTTTACTAACATATGTCTGAAAAATAATTTATTATTGCTAAATTTGATTGATTATTAATTGGTTGCTCTTGTATGTTTATGTTTAATACTTCTTTATCTGAGTTAAAATCTGAAATTAAAGAACAACGTTTTTAAATTATAATAATTTATAACTTTCAATTAAAAAAAAAATTAGTAAAATTTCAATAATACTATTATAATATATTACATATAGATGTGGTCTTAGAGTTGGGCTTAACACGTAGACTCAATAAAAAACTTTCGTTTTTCTTTTTTATATAATTAGGAATAGTTTCAATAAAATTTTTTGCCTGATTATTCAGAAAAATAGAAATTTAATATATATATATATATAATAAGAATTATTATATTTTTATGAAAATATTTAAGTTCTTTTTTTTCTTACTGTTTCTTTTGACATGTTTTTCGACATATTTTTTCTTAAATGTTTTAATAAAATATTTCCTTTATACATGTATACATATATCTTTAGATTAAATATTATTACGATTTTTAAAATAAAAAAGCTTCTACAGATTTATACATGATTTTCCTATATAAAATTTTTAATAAAATAAATTTAGTCTATATTTTTTTAATCAAAATAATGAATATTTTTTATTTTTAATATAAAAACCTTATTTAAAAAAAAAAAAAAATTTTAACTAATGAAATTATTAATTACAATTCACATATTATTAATTTATATATTTTTAGAAAAAACATTAAAAAATAAATAAAAAAAAAAGAACTATAAATAGGACTATTTATTGTAAATCTTATAATAAAATAGAAGATAATTTATTTTTTTTATAGATGATTTAATAAAATACTACACATTCAATCTGTATTGTTTCTAAACCTTATAAAATTACAATAAATGAACATAATTTAATGTTTCATAAATTCCTGAAGAAATTTTTTTTCTCTAAAAAATATATGAATTTTTGGAAAACAAGTTATTAAAAATAAAAATTAGTTTTTTTTTTTTCTTTTTTTTTTTTTTTTTATTTAACTTTAAATTGTAATTAAAAATAATATATACAGAAATATCAATATATTATTCAGTTTTTTTTAGTATTAATTTTTATAATATTATTAATTATTAATCGTTTTTGATATTAAAGTGTATTCTTTTAATTATACCTTGTATTTTAACATTCTCTTAAAGTAAGCATATTTAATTATTCTTTGTTCCTTTAATAATTAATTTTTCAATAAAATATATTATATATTTTAAGAAAAAAAATAAAAATGCAAATAAAATGACTTTTGTTCCGTTCAATTTTAAATAAATTTAACACTTAATTTATTTCTACATACTATATTTTATTTGTTATAAGATTTTTATATTTTTGTGCATTAAAAAAAAAAAAAATAATGTATTATTATATGGTTTTATAAAATTTTATATTTTAAAAATATAATATTTTTAAAATAACATTTTACAATTTTTTTTTAAAGAATGGTTTATTAAAAAAATGAAATTTTTATTAAATTAAAATATATGCAACTTATATATCATTTTACAATTATTTTTTTAAATATTTAAAAAAAAAAAAATTTAATTAAAAAGTGAATATTTTAATCTACGCTTTTTTCTTTATATTAAATAAAAAAAAAAAAAAAAAAAAAAAAAGTGTTGTTAAAACCTTTTTATATAATTTTTTTTTTTAAATATAGTTTTTTATTTAATTTAAAATTTTTTTTTAAATATATAAACTATTGCATTTACTAGTTATTTGCTTAATTTCAAGTGTATTCTTTATTAACATAAAAAATAAATAATATTATATTTAAATATTTTTATCTCTTATATACCAAAACTAAGCATTATTTTAATATAATTTATTGCTTTGATTCGTAATACTATATATTTAACGAAATTCTTAAATTTTTTTTTTCTTATATTTATATACATAGATGAGTATTTGCTACATTCTGTTATTTATTCCACCTATTATTGGATTAATATTTTCTATATTAGAATGTTTATGGGTTAGTAAAATAAACATAAATGGACCAGAGGATAGATCTAATAATTTAGAAGATGGATTAACACAAGTAGATAAAATGAAAGAAATAGCTTCCTATATTGCTGAAGGAGCAAATGCTTTCTTGAAAAAAGAATACCAGTATTTAACTGTTTTTATTTTAATATTTTCTGCAATACTAATACTTTTTGTTAATTTCTATACGGCAATAAGTTTTATTCTTGGATGTTTGACATCTATCTTATGTGGTTATATAGGAATGAAAATAGCTGTTTATGCAAATGTAAGAACTACCAATGAAACATGGAAAAGCTTAAATAAAGGATATGAAGTTACTATAAATGCAGGAACTGTTATGGGATTTTCCTTAGTTTCTTTGAGTATGATTGCTTTAGGATTATTAATATATGTATATAAAACTTTTGTTTTTAGTGAATATTTCTTAGAGTCTTCCATATATAAAATAGTTGCTGGTTTTGGACTTGGTGGTTCTTCCATTGCTTTATTTTCAAGAGTTGGTGGTGGAATATATACCAAAGCTGCTGATGTAGGTGCTGACTTATCAGGAAAAAATGAATACGGAATTCCAGAAGATGATATAAGGAATCCTGCTTGTATAGCAGATAATGTAGGAGATAATGTTGGTGATATGGCAGGAATGGGTGCAGATTTGTTTGGATCATTAGCAGAAAGTTTGTGTGCAGCATTAGTTATTGGATCTTCTGCAATAACTATAACGGATAATGCTACTTCTGATTTATTTTCATGCATTATGTTTCCATTATTATTTATAAGTTTTAGTATCATTGTTGGTATAATAACCTTTTATATAGTAACTTTAACTGTTAAAATTAAAAGTAAAAGCGATGTAGAAAGATCCTTAAAGTATTTGTTATTTTTATCAACAATATTACAGACCCTTGTAATAATTGGAATAGGATATATTGTTATTCCAACCACTGTGCAATATAAAGTTACAAGAGAAATTGAAAAATGGAAAATTATATTTCCATCATTAGTTGGTTTATGGTCAGGCTTAATAATTGGATTTACAACTGAATTTTATACCTCTTATTCATTTAGTCCAGTTAGAGAAATAGCAAATACACAGAAAGTTTCAGCAGCAACAGGAATTATTTATGGGTTATCATTAGGTTATAAAAGTACTTTAATACCAATTATATGCTTAAGTTGTGCTCTTGGTATTTCTTATGCATTTTGTGACATATATGGAATAGCTTTAGCAGCTGTTGGAATGCTAAGCACATTATGCATTTGTTTAACTATTGATGCATATGGTCCTATATCAGATAATGCTGGTGGAATAGCTGAAATGTCTGGTTTACCTTCAGAAGTCAGAGAAAGAACAGATATACTTGATGCAGCAGGAAACACAACAGCAGCAATTGGTAAGGGATTCGCTATTGGATCAGCCGCTTTAGTTGCCTTTGCATTATTTGGTGCATATGCCAGTAGTGCGAATTTACATCATGTTAATATATTAAATCCATGGGTTATTATTGGTTTACTTATTGGTGCAATGTTACCTTATCTATTTTCCTCTTTAACAATGAAATCAGTAGCTATTGCTGCTAATAGTGTTTTAAATGAATGTTTAGAACAGTTTCCATTAATTATGTCTGAAAAACAAAAACCAGATTATGCAAAATGTATAAAAATATCTACAGACGCATCATTAAGACAAATGATTATTCCAGGTCTTATTTCCGTATTTTCTCCTTTATTAATTGGTATTTTAATGGGTAAATATGCAACCGCTGGATTATTGATAGGAATTATTTTATCTGGTGTTCAATTAGCTTTTTCATCAACTAATTCAGGTGGAGCATGGGATAATGCAAAAAAATATATAGAATCAGGTGCTTTAGGAACAGAGCATAGCAAAGGGTCTAATGCACATAAAAATTCAGTAATTGGGGATACTGTTGGAGATCCACTAAAGGATACATCAGGTCCTTCATTGAATATTTTAATAAAATTATCAGCTATAACTTCACTTGTTTTCGCTAATGTAATTGCTGAAAACTTTACCTCATATACTGGTGGCCCAATTTGGTTAAAATAAAGTCAAAATGATGAAAAAAAAAAAAATCAAATTTCCTACATGATGTACTTATGTCTTTAAGTAATTTAATCAAATTCTAAACATTTTTAAAAATTACTTAAAAAAAAAAAAAATCAAAAATATATGTTTTTAAAATTAATTACTTATAAAATATAAAAGAAAAAAAAATATATTTTTTAAAAAATATAATTTCAAATATTGATGATTCTAAGAAAAGTATATGTTTCCGTATTAACTTTTTAAAATAAAAAAAATAACACCAAATAATAATTATATTTTTTTTTAATTTAAAATACATATTTTTGTAAAATATGAAGAAAACATAAAGCTGTTTTTATGCACTGATGAAAAAAGAAAATAGGGTACATACAAGCATTGCAGCAATCCAATTTTATGAGCATTATTCTATATATATTAATTTTTATTATATACATATTATTGATTTTTTTTTTTTTCTTTTAAATATAATTTTATTTTATTGATTAAAATTTTAAGATTTTTTTTTTTTTAATTTTCTTTACATTTAATATAAAATTTTGTTATAAACTGATAAATTACATAAATTCAATTTTTTATTTTACTTTTAAAATGTTCTGAAGACGGAACATAACTTGTTATGTGTATCATATTAGAAAGTACTTTTTAAATTATGTATTGAAATATAAAGTAATTTACTTAACATGCACAAATTAAATAGAAATATTACAAAAAAAAAAAAAAAAAAAAAAATAGTTGTACTACTATATTAAGTAATTATTCCCATTAAAGGAGAAAAATTCTTAATAACTTCTTAAGAATATTTTGACAATTTTTACTGTTTATTGAAGTTTTAATTTATAAATGATCTATATTTAGAAGAATCTTTACATATTTTATATGTTGATTCTTATAGAAAAAAATTAATAGTTTCTCTTTTATTTTATTTTATTTTATTTTTTTTTTTTTATTATTTCCTTAAAACAATTTTAAATAATTGGATATTTACTATTTTATATTCCCGCATATTATATAAATTAATAAATTTGTTAATTCTATAATGAAAATAAGTATAGATACATAAAATTTCCTATTTAGATTTTTAAAAAAAAAGAATATATCTATAAATGCATTTACATATATTTAAAAAAAAAAAAAAAACTTGCAAAGAATATCGAGAATAATGTTCGATAAAAAAATATTTTATATTTTAAAAAATTTTGTAATTTTTTATCATGAATAAAATAATGTGTTAGAACAATTTATACCTTTTAATTTTGTTATTCTTTTTTTCAACTAAAAAAATCAAAATACATAATGATACTAATCTCAGAAAACATAATATAAATTTTAAATTATATATAGTGATGATTTAATATAAAAACATAAATACTATAAATATATATATATTTTTTTTAAAAAAGGAATAAAGAAATAATTTATTAAAATAAAATAAACAAAGAAAATGTGTTATAACAAAAATATTCAGAAAAACTAAAAAAGTAAATAATATACTTTTAAGTATCTTTAGAGAAACTTCAAGATCTTCACTCATAACCAAAAATATAATAATTAACTCTCATTTTATTCGCTTCATAAACAAAAAACATAGCAAAAAAATAAGATATATATTATTTACTAATTCAAAATGAAAAAAAAAAAATATGCAAATATATAATTTATATATATATATTTTTTTTAAATGTTTATTAAATATAATTATGATACTACAAGAATAAAGAAATTTTGTTTTATTTATCTTAATTTCTTAATTTTTGTATTCTACCTTTTTATTTTCATTTTATTCTTAATATTATTTATTTTATTTTATTTTTTTTTTTTTACAGTATAATATTTAAATATCTTCTCTATCAATTTTTAAATATATATATTCAAAAAATAATAATAGGTATAATGATATATTAATAATGTATAAATAATTACTAAATAAATTGTTTTAAAAAATTTAAAATAAACATAAAAAACATTTCTATTGTATTCTATAAATAAAAATAAGTAAACACATTATGTTAAAATAAATAAATAAAATATTAAAAACTAATATTGTTTTTCATTTTTACATAAAAAATGTATGTATATATTTAAAGTTCGATTTTAAGGTAAATATCAATATAAATATGTGAATAACAAATTACACAGATCTTTAAATGATAATAAAAAAAAATAAAAAAAAAGAATATTCTTCCTAATGTGAAGTATAAAAAGAAAAGTAACAATCAAATATGTCTCTGTATAAATTTTTTTAATTTAAAAAAAAAAAAAATAAAATAATATTTATTGTTGTCTTTAAAATAATTAATTATAGAAAAAAATATTTAAAATCTTTATGAATATAATTATTCATGATCTTTTTAAATTAATGTTTATTATTTTTACAAATTCCAAGTTTAACTTAATATATTTTTATTATTTTAATTTTTTTCATTTTATTTTAAAAAAAATATAAAAATAACAGCAGTAATATAAAAAAAAAAAACACATGTAAATTTTTTTTTTTAGTAATTTGTTAACTTTTTTTATTTTATTTTATTTTTTTATATATACGTATATTTATATTTATATAAAAATTTAATTTTCTTATTTTACGCTTTTCTTTTTCCATTTCTTTTTCTTTCTTATATTATTTCTTAATGCTTTATATTTTTGTTTTGTTTAAGTTTGCAGTGTAATGATTTATTCCTTCAAACAATTTTTTTTCTTTTTTTTTTTTTTTTTTTTTTTTTTTTTTATGTTTCAAATTTTATGTTCAAAAAGTTAAAAAATTTTGATATGTATACAAGTTATCAGAGTTGAATTAAACTAATAGCATTTGACTTATATATTTTTATACATTTTATTTTTTTAATATTTTTTTCACTTGGAATGTTTAATTCATAGTATTCTTCATAAAAATTCCTTTAAATATTATTTTATTTGCATTTATAAAATATAAAAAATAAAAAATAAATATATATTTTAAATATAAATTATTAAACAAATAAACACATTTAAATTTTGAATTCTAATTTGATTTTTTTTTTTTTTTTTTTTTTCTTTATATATATGTTCCCTATGAATATATATATATATATATATAAATATATTAAATAAATTTATTTAAAACAAAATATTCACCATATGCAATAATATATAAAACTGTTGAATATTATGCACATTAATGAATATATATTCATATAAATATATAAGGCAATATATATTTTATTTTCATAATTGTTATTTATTAAGATAAATTTAAACCTTATTTGATTTATACTTAAAATTTTTTTTTATTTTTGTTATAATTTTACTTATTTAATATCACTTTTCTTTTTCTCTTCTATTTTTTTTTTAAACTTTTTTTTTTTTGGTGAATATTTAATAAAACATTTTATAAATATATAAAAAAAAATATGTATAAATTAAAATGTTATAAAAATGGATAATCCAAATTTTACTAATTCTTCTGTTAATATGTCCTACTTTTTAAATAATAATAATAATAATACAAGTTTAGATAAAAATATGAATAATGTAAATATGCTAAATAATAATAATAATTGTGCTTCTTTTATGAATAATGTTGATGGGCAGAATAATGATAGTTTTAACAATTTAAATAAAAATGAGGAATCTATTGATATACTAGTGAATCAGATGGAAAACTCGTTTTCTATAAGCACAAATATTATAAAAAATGTTAGTAATTTACTTGAAAGCACAAAAATTGATGATAAAATAAAAGGAATTCGATTAGTATATGCTTCATTACATTTTAAATATAAAAGTAATATCGATTATAAAAAAAATTTGTTAAATAGGGGTTGCGTGGTGTTAAACACACAAGAAAAAAATGAAAATGAGCAATTTGAAACAGAAGGGAATACTAATGACCATAATAATTATAATAATTTTTTTCCTCATAATTATAATGATAATATAAATATATTTTCTAATAAAAATGAAGATAGAAATGGACTAAATCATAATATGATAAATAGTTACTCAGGAGATAATCAAATAAATTTTAAAGTATTAAATTCTATGATATTTGCCAATTATAAAAGCATATCAAATGTTGATGAATATTTTGATTTATTGGATAAATGTTTGACAAGGGAAAGTGTTATTGATATAAATTTAAGTGATATATTTGAAATGAATATAATAAATTTAATAAAATCCTTATTATATAATTACATTTTTCATAATGATGAAATAATAGTAGAAGCTTTAACTTTATTAATAATTATTTTTGGCTGTTGTGGAACAAATGAAAAAATTAAACAAGAAGTTGTGGATGAATTATATACATGTGCTGTATACATGTTAAAAAATATATGCCAGAAGTCCTGTGATAAGGTTTACACACCTTTAATTGTACAATTAATAGTAGCATTATTAAGAACAATAATGACATATGATATAACAAAATTAAAAAATGATTTAATAGAAAATAAAGGAGTAGTTGAAGTATTATTAAAATCAATAGAAAATGTTCCTAATTTAAATGGAGTTCGAGTGTGTTATACATTAGTAGTTTATGGCTTGAAGATGTTTTATGTGTCAACATGCCAAATATATGAGAAATCTTTTTTGAGAGAACTTGAAATAATAACTAATTATTTATCAACATGCATCAAAATGAATGATGAAAAAGTTTTATTTTTAACTAGTTCAACATGTATAACTATATGTGAAAATCAAATTGGAATAGATGTTTTATTGAAAACAGACATACTGCATAATGCTGTATTATTATGTGAATCCTCTAACCCTGACTTAGCGTTTGAAGCATTATCAATTATATCAAAAATAGCATATGCTGCTAATCATCAACAAATATGTATACTTATATCTTGCAATGTTATAAAAGCTTTGAAAAAAATTTTGAATAATTCAAAAATAAAACCAGGAGCAAGAGCGAGGGCTTGTAATGCTTTAGGAAATATTGGTTGTGAAACAGCATCTGAAGTAGAATTATTAATAAAAAATGATGTATTTCCATTATTAGTTGATATTTTTCAAACAGATAATGATTTTAATACAAAAATTGAAGCAGCATATGCTGTGTGTGCTTGCTTATCAAAGGCAAATCAAAAACAAGTTGGATATATTATTTCATGTACAGCTACTACAAATCGATTAGGTCAGAATATTTGTATGCAATTAATAGCAGATATGTTAGAATTAGTTAGTGAATCAGATCCAATGAATAATGGAAGTGTCAAGTTATGCAAAAGTATTTTAAGAGGTTTAGAAAATATTTTAGATAAAGGAGATGATGAAACAAGAGATTTATCTCTATGGGAAAATCCATATGTTTTTATGTTTAAAGAAGTACAAGGAGATATTAAACTTTTACAAATGCAATTTTTTCCTGAATATTATGTAGTTAATAAAACATATGATATACTAGCTAAATATTTTTCCTTAACTTCTACGTGGAATAATAGAAAATAAAACATATATATATATATATATATATATTATATTTATTTATTTTTTTTTTTTTTTATCTTTTTTTCTTTTTATTTTTTTATTTTTTCTCATTATATTATTTTTTAACTTTTCTTTTTATTATTGTTTATGTATGTTCAACTTCTTACTTAAGGACGTATATATTCATAAAGTTCCTTTACATTAATAAATATACGCATATACAAATATATATTAGTATGAAGGTTAATAAGTAAAAAGAAAAAAAAAAAAACGTATACATACGTAATTAACAATTCACAGAAAAAAAGTAAATATAAAATTCATCTTAACTATTACATATATCTAAAAGCTTTTTCCTAGAGATGTTCATATATAAAATCATTGTAAATATAATAATATAAAAATTTCGTAAAAATATTATATAAAATGGTAAAAGGTTTAACCGAATTTATTTTATTTAATTTATATATATATATATATAAAATGATTTAAAAAATATAAAATTGAAAATAATAAGAAAAATTCTGTGATATTAGTTATTAATGTTTAATTTTTTATGTTTTACATTTATCAAATTTAAGGATATTGAAAAAAAAAAATATATTATGGAAAATAACAGATATAATTTAAAAGAAAGTATATTAGTATTGTGCATCTTACATTATATAATTATATATATATATATTTTTTTTTTTTTTGACTTTTTTATGTGTTGTTAATGTTATATAAACATTATTTTTATATTTATATAAACAAAAAAAAAGGAACTTTTATAAAAAAATAATATTCGAAAGTCTATAGCATATATTTTTTATTCTTTCAAAAAATGAGAGTATTAATATTTTAAGTTTTATTATTTTTTATTTTAATTTTTTTTTTTTTTTTTTTTTTTGTACAATTCAAATTAAAATTTATATTGAATTATTTTATATCTAATATTTTTAACATTAATTTCTATGAACTTTTATTTTGATATATTATTATTTTTAAATGAAAGTTTCATGAATATATGAAATATATACACATATAATACATAAAGTATAAAATACCGTTTGTTTGAAAATATGTAAAATTTTTTATTTAAAAGATATAATTTTTTATCAAATATACTAAAAAAAAAGAAAAAAAATATGCATATTTGTTGTTTTTTTTTAGAAAAGTACAAAATAAATGTTCATGAAGCATTTTGAAGAAAAATGTATTATAAAGAATTAAAGGTTTTATATATATATATACACACATATATATAAATTAAAAAAAAAAATAATAAATTAATTATAAGATGTAATTAAAAAAAAAAAAAAAAAAAAAAAAAAAATGAAATTATATAGAATAAAAAGAAAAATAACTTAAACGGAACATCAAATTACTATAAATTACGATTTAAAAATAAAGTAAATATGCCTAAAAATTTAAATTTATTCGGAAAATATTTAAGAAGACTTGGTAAAAGTCACAAAAAAGGTTTTAAAAAAAAACAGATAATTCATCCAATTCCTGTTAAGGCATATGGTAGAGTACCTTCAGCTGCTTCACAGACAGGTTTATATCATGATGAAGATTTTAATTATTATACAAAAGTCTCATATTCTTTAAAAAAAACAAGAATTAAACTTAAGCCAAATGTTTTTAAAAAGCATATTGTTAGTAATATATTAAATACAATTATACCAAATGTTCGAATAACAACCAGTGCATTACATGCTATAGATGATGCAGGTGGATTTGATAATTATATTTTAAGAACATCTCCTGAAGAACTTAGATCAAATTTTGGAGAAAAACTTAGAAATGTTATGTATTTTTATATGTCTCACCCAAATATTCGATCCTTATCTTTACCATGGAAAACCTTTATGAATAAATCTCAACAATGTGACTATTATTATGCAATATATCAACATTTAAGAAAAAAAAGGTTAAATGAATTATACAAAAAAAAAGAATCAGGAAAATATTCTCCTTATTACTTACCTAATGATAAAAATTTACATCCACAAAGACAACCATTTTCTTTAAACACGGAAATTAATCATTTAAATTTGTGGTACAATAATAATAAATTATTAAAAAAAGCCTTTATTGAAAAATTAAAAGAAGCTAAATCATTTGATCAAGCTTATACAGATCACCACTTTTTAGATAGTTACAAAAAAGGAAGAGGAAGAGGAGGAGGTGGAAAACATGGAAGAACTCCACGAAAGAGATCAAAAACTTATAAATATTTTGAAATTAGACCATATTAGTCATTTATAAAAAAAAAAAGAAAATATATATATTATTAAAATGAATTATGATATATTTCTTAATTTAAAATATGTATTTCATAAATATAACGATAAGTCAATTGAAAAATCATATAATATACACAAAAAAAAAAAAAAAAAAAAATAACATTGTTTTTACGTGTTATTAATATATTTAATTACGAAAAATTATTAAATATAAACATAATATATATATATATATATATATATATATATATATTTTATCTTTAAATTTGAAACTTTTATATATTAGAATTTTATTTTTTTCATTGAATAAAATTTGCAATTATTTAAAAATTAAAAATATAATTTTTTTTTTTTTTTTTAACATTTGATACAAATGTAAAAAAAAAAAAAAAAAAAATTGGAAGTATTTGTTATTTAAAAATTCATTAAATCATCTGCGTATGAAATGGGAGTTGATAATTCACTTTTTTTTTTTTCTTTCATTTTAATAGGTGACATCCCAGGTATAATATCTGAATTAGAATCATCATCATTATCTACAAAATAATTTATTTTATTCTTTCTTTCTGATATAATAGATATTTCATCATTATCTTTTTCGCTAACATTATTCAAGGAACTATTTAAAGAATTGTCTACAGAATTTTTTGTATCAATTTTTAATGATTTATTTAATGGATCACTACTGTTTACATCTAATTCCTTTTTAGTAATTAAACGTAGCTTCGTAGATTTCTTTGATCTTATAGGTTTCGGGCTAGAATTAATACCATAAATAGATTTATTATTACTTTCAGTTATATTATTATCATATTTCATTTCATCAATAAGATTTACATTATCGTCATTTTCATTTAAACTAATAAAATTACTTAAGGTAGAATTGGAAGGAGTTTCATATTCAGATAAATCTTTTTTATTTTCATTTTCTTCATCAATTATTATATTTTCTTTATTATTGTTTTCATTTTCTATTTTTTTATTATTATTTTTAATATCATTATATTTCTGCTCTATAATATTCTCTTCTTCGTCATCATTTATAATTTCTTTCTTAACATTATAATTACTTTGATTTTTATTATTTTTTGAATTTTCATTAATATTTTGATATTTTCCCTCTGTATAATTTTTGTTATTTTGTGTACTATTTTTTTTTTGAAAGAAATTTATTTGTTCTTCCTCCTCAATATCATTTATTTCTTCACTATTTGTAACATTTTTATTCATTTCTATTACACTTTTCCTTGTCTTAATAGTAACTTCTTCTGAATTTTTATTCATATTGGATATATTTTTACTTATATTCATGTGTATACTCTCGTTTAAGTTCATGTAAGAATTTTCGTAATTAGAATCCTTAAATTCATCATTTAATTTTCTTTTTTTACATATGATTAGTATCATGTGTTCAAATATGCTATTTTCATATTTGATTGATGTCTTATTGGAAATATTATATGATTCAATTAAGTTTAAGATTTGTTTTTTTAAATAATTAAGTTGATAATCAGAAAGGTTTAATTTCTGAGCATATGGTAATATATATTTTAAAAAAGAATTTTGATTTTTTAAATTCAAAGCACAATTTACACATGAATGAATAAATTTGCATAGTGGTAACTTTTGCTTCTCTACTATTTTTATTCCTAATCTACTGGCTATAGAAGTACTAAATAATAATAAATCTTTTTCTTCTAAAGCGTTATTTATGTAAGCTGTATATAAACCTATTAATGCACATAAAAGTACTTCATAAAAAATATCGATGTTATATTTTTTTAATTTATTATGGAAATTTAAAGCAATAGAGGATAATCCTTTATTTTTAACATTAAGATGTATTAACAATAATACCCCTAAACAGCTATTAAAAATATTTATATTGTTACAATTTAATATAAATTGAGCTATTATTAAAGTCATATGCATATATTGCATTTCTAAAATTTTTTTATTTTCACTTAATTCATCTTTATTATATATTTTACACATATCAGCAATGTAAGTATAAGTATTTATTGGGAAAAATACACTAATATCAATAGATAAAAAGGAATTAACAAAATTATAATTATCGTTATTTATATTTTCTACATTTTTGAATAATTCTGTAACAAAATTAAAAAGAACATTATCTTCTTTATATACATATCTAGCTACACTTTTATACTTATTAATTTCTTCATTAACATCTAAGTACTTTTCTATAATTTTTTCTAAGTCTTCTGTATTATCTTCTTCATCACATTTATTTAAAAACAATTCTAATGTTCTATATGTTTTTAATTCATCTAATGAAAATAAAACTACATTTTCCAATTGTGCTACATTCATTAAATTTAAAAATGTACCATATTTTAATATAGTGTTATTAGAAACTTTAATTAAAAATATAAGAATATCATTAAAATCATCTCTTAATGTTATAATATTTTGATACAAATAATTTAATTCCAAAAATAAATTTTTTAGTATACTTTTTTTTTTGCTATTTAAATTATGTAAATTTTTTAAATCTTCTAAATTTATATTCTTATTATTATTATTATTATTATTATTATTATTATTATTATTATTATTTTTTTCTTCATCTTCTTTAGTTTGATTATCTTTATTACCTTTTTCTTCTTTTCCTTTTTTATTCTTTTCATCTGTATCATTTTTTTCGTTTATATCTTTTTCTATATTTTCATTATCTATTACAACACTTAAATTGAATTTTTCATTTTCTTTAGAACAATTTTTTAAAAAAAAATCAAAAATATAATTAATAAAATTTCTTTTCCTACATAAATGGTAAATATAATTTTCATAAATTATGTATATTTGATCAATGCATAATAAAATTAACCTTGATGATGGAGTATTAAGAGATTCTCCATAGTAATAAATGGAGTTAATTTTAGCTTTAATTATATATAAACACAAATGTATTAGTATATTAGCATGTATACAGGCATCTGAAGAATAATATAAATTATGACTATTGTTTTGTTTATAATGCATATTTTCATTTTTATTTACTTTATTACTTAATTTTTTGTATATATTTTCATCATCTTTATTAACTACATTATTTTTTTTTTTTTTTTTCAATTTTTTATTTTTTATTTTATTATTATTTTCTTTTTCATTCTCATCTTCATTTTCATCTTCATATTCATCTTCATGTTCATCTTCATATTCATTTTCATTCTCTTCATTTTCTTCTTCATCTTGTTCATCGTTTTCTTCTTTTTTATCACTATCTTCACCATTATTTTGCAAATAATATTGATCATAATAAGGAACATTGTTTTCATCAAAAAATTTACTTAAATAAATATTATCTTTAAAGAATAATTGGTACTTTTCATTAACAATAAACTTAAAATAATCTTGTTCAATATATTTTTTAATACTTTTATCTATTTTTATTTCATTTTTTTTACTATAATTAGATAAATCGTTATTAATATAATTAAAACACAATGTATATATGTGAATTAAAAAAGTAACATTCTTAATTAAATCATCTTCAATTGAATCTATTACATTTTTGTCTTTATTAACTAAATTATCATTTATAATAATTACTTTGTTCTTTTTATTTACTATATATTCCTCTTCTTCATTAAATTCTATTTCCGTATTGTATTTCTTACAATAAAATTGAAAACTATTAAGAAAGTCATAAAAGTACGTATAATATAAATCAAAAAATAAATCGCTTGATAATCTGTTGGTACTTTTAAAAGATTCATTTAAAGATAAAAATAAAGATATGATATTCATAGTATATTTAGCTGAATAATATGGTAATTTAAAATTTTTGAGTAAATAAAATAAATATTCATATGTTTCTTTTAAATATGCATAAACATTATTAAAAAAAAAGTTAATATTACTATCTATATCATTTCTAAAATATTCCATAATTGTAGAAGAGAAATTATATATATTATTTTTTTCTTCATTTTTATATATATGTTTACATTCATGTAATGCAATTTTTAAAATATTAAAAACTAATAATAAGTGTTCTTGATTTGTTTGATACAATTTTATAAGAAGTTTGCTATTTTTTATAATTTGAAATGTATAAATGATCATTTTTTTAATTTTACTTATATCATTATTTAGTTTTGTATTATGCATATTTTTATCAGATAAGTTATTAGATAAAACATTTTTTTTATTCTTATTTTTTTCTAATTCATATATATCATTTTGAAAACTTTTATAGGATGATTCGCATATATGAAGTAAGCATTTCTTTAAATCATAACCTACATTAGATTTATCAGAATCATTATTTAAATTATATGATTTACTATAATTTTCATTTTCATTTTCATTTTCATCAGAATCTTTATCATTATTATTTGTATTTTTTTTGTTTTTTTTTTTCTTTTTTATATCTGCATCATCATTAGTATCCCTTATTTCTCCTTCATTACCATTTTTATTACTTTTATGTTTTCTTTTGAAATCATTATTTTTTTTTTCTTTGCATAAATTAAATGATATAGTATTTTCCTCACATAATAATTCAATTATAATATCAATATTATTTAATGAATCAAGTTTCTCTCTAATTCCTGTAATAAATTTATCAATCACTGTGTACAATTTCATGTTTTCATTGTAATTAGTTAAATAATCAAAATAATGAATAAAATTTTTAACGGTAGGAATATTTTTATTTAAATATTTGGTTAAATATATTATGTTATATCTAGCTATTTCATTATTCATATCATCCTGATCTATATCAAAATAATTATTTTTCTTTTTATCGTTTCTTCTAATTTTGTGCTTTATCTGAGATTCATATATTAAGGAAGTAATAATCTTAGATATTTTATTATTATTATTAAACCATATTAAATTACTAATAATTTTTTTCTCTTTTTTTGATAAAATGCTAGTAGTATCATGAGATTCTTTGTTATTATCACTATTATATGCTAAAACTAAGCTATCATTTTTTTTTTTTTCATCAGAACAAGATGTATTCATACTATCCTCGTAATCAGATGAAGAAGAATCTGATATGCTAATATCCCTATTATTCGTATTATTAGATTTCATGTTTTTTTTTAAATTTATTAACTCATTTTTTGTAATTTTCATTTTGCTCATTTCCAATATTAATTCAAATGTTTTAATTCTAACATTATAATCATTATCAAAAATTAAATTCAATAATCTTTTTTTTGATATATATAATAATTCAACAATTTTAAAATTCCTACTTGCATTTGTATTGTAATGATTACACAGATAAATTAAAACATTTAAACAGCATATCTTTACTTTACTATCTTTATCGTATAATATCCATATTAATAATTTCGTAAATTTTCTATTAGTAAAATATGATGTTAAAGAATCTAAATAAGTATAAAAATATTCTAGAGTTATTATTCTGATATCAATAAATACATCTTTTATTTTATTTTTATATAAAATGTTATAAGTACATAATAGAAAGTTATTTAATATTGTTAAATTTCTCCTATCTTCAATGATATTATCAATTAATTGACTAATTATTAAATTTCTTTGTATAATAGTGTTAATCTCTTCGTTATTAGTATTTTTAAAATAAATAATCTCTTCAAGATTAACATCTTTTGTATTTCTATTATTAACTACACTACTACTTCTTTTATTCATAATAGAGTTGTTATTTTTTATTTCTCTAACATACTCTGCTAGTAATTGCTTTCTTGATTGTTTTTCATGATTATTAATATAATTAATTTTTTTGCATAAACCTAATAATAAGGATAAACTGGCCAGTGAAGAGGTAAATCTAATTTTCCTATATTTACTTACACTTAATGCAAATATCCATATGCATATATATAATATTTCATATATATAATTTTCGTCAAAATGGAAAGAAAAATCAGAAAAAAAATTAGAGAACGCTTTATATGATTTATTATTTTCATTTTTTTTTTTTATTAATACATCATTATCTAAATCTGCTGTTAAGTATTGTTCTAGTTTTTCACATTTGAATACACACACTTTTTCAAAATTATTTTCATCTTTTATTATTTCATCTATATTAGTTATTTTGCTATTAGATTTTGCTGTTGATGGTGTTATAATTTCATTAATATCATTATCTTTTTGTATATTACTTGAAAACGACTCTCCTAATTTGTTTTTAGAAATTTCTTCAAATAAGTATATTTGTTTATCTATATAATCAATTATATCAATAGTCCATGTTAATGTATCATTACCAGAACATTCAGCTAAAAAATTTAAAAAAAAAGTAGATATTTTAACTTTTTCATTTTGCTCTTTATTAAATAAAATATAATATATTTCTTCAATTACTTCATGTAAATTTTTAGGATTTTTTTTTATTTTTTCATATAAATTAAAATCTTCAAAATTTTTATGAAATTTTGCATCTATTTTATTATTTTTCATTTTATCATTTTTTTTTAATTTTTTCGAAGGTCTAGTACTTTCGTTTATATATTCATCATCACTTTCAGTTGAATCTTCGCTATTGCTAGATTCAACATAAACACTTTTTCTTTTTTTTAATTTTATTTCTGTTTGATTATTTCTCCTATTGGCAGTAGATATTCTTTTATTTCTATCAAATTTGCTTCTTTTAAATATTTCAAAATCTTCATCATCTATATTTTCATTTAATTTATCTATATAACTTCTATTTTTCAAATTATTATTTCTATTTATGTTATTATCTTGGGAAATTTCATTTGAGTAATCGTTATTTTCATTACTTCCTGAATACTGGACAATTTTTTTATTTTTATTCTTTATTTTATTATTACTTTCTTTTCTTTTTTTTTCTTTCAATGATTCATCATAATCATCATCGTCTTGACTTTCACTTTTGCTATAATCACTATCATCTGATGAATCATTCTCATCAGTACTTATAATATGCTCATTTATACCACTAGCATTTTTTTTTTTTTTCTTATTTTTCTCTTGATTTATTGAATCATTTTCTCTAAATTTCTCTGTATATTCATAATTTACATTTTTTTGTTCATTATTATTATGAAGTAATCTTGAAGATCTTCTTAAAAGTATTTTACTATCCATTTTATATATAATTATTTAAAGCTTTAAAAAAGTAAAAACAAAAAAAAAAAAATAAAAAAAAATAAAATAAAAATATTCATATACATGTGATACTAAAAAAACTTAAACAATATATTATTAAAATATGTTACTGTTTTATTAGATTTACTAAATAAAAAATTTTTGATTCATTTTTTTAATTGCTTATTATTCATCTACTTTCTTTTAAAAAATATAAATAGTTAAAATGATATTAAATTCTATTTTCTAAATTAAGCTATGTATACTTATTTATTTTTTTATATTATAATGGAAAAGGGTTTGCATGATTATGAAAAAAAAATTAAATTAGTAGATAACAATACACTAAAACATATAAACAAATTAAAATCCTGTAAGCTCTTTTTTGTATTTCTTTTTTTATATTTTTATATATAAAAATATAATCATACCCAAATGGTTTTATATATATTAAAAAAAAAGTAAAATAATAATAATAATAATATATATATATATATATATTACTAAAATTACTATTACAATAAGAATATTACAAATAGTAAAAAAAAATACGAAAAAAATTTTAAGTAATAATTATAAAATAAATTGCACATTTCTGTTGTCAAGTTTTTTGATGATTTCATTTCATTTTTTTTTTTCATGGAAAATTTTTATTAAATATAATTTAAATGAAGAAAAGTTTTATTGTAACTAACAAAATTTTACATCTTAACATATTTTTTACATTATTTTTTTTTTTAATTATTATCGAACATATTGTTTTATAATGCATTCCTATCTTTAAAAATTGTGTATATACATTATTCAGAGATACTAAAATAGTTAAACTTTTTTTAAAAATTATTAATTTTTGCTCAAAATTTAAAGTATTTAAAAATTTAACTATAAAAACATAAAAATATTTTAAAATTAACATAATATATATTTTCCAATATACAAAAAATAGTATGTCATATATATACATTTAATAGTATTAAAAATAAAAAAAAAAAAAAAAGACACTAATAAAGAAAAAAAAAAAAAAAAGTATATATCGAAAACTTATTTTTGCTCGTCTACACAAAAAAATTATTATTCTTTTTAATAAAAATGCTTTAAATTAGCAAATTTTTATATTTATTGTAAATAATTAAAAAAAAAATGGAAATCTTTTAGTTCGCATAATAATTTAAAAAATGTCTTTTATTAATATAGTTAAAAATATAAAAAATAATTATAAATTATAAATAGGTGTTAAATATTTTTATATAATTTTTAATAATTATTTTAAATTTATTGAAAAAACAGAAAATGTTCAGTAATGATTTTAATTTAGTTATTAACTTAAAAAAAAATTTTATACAATACTTCTAGATAAAAAATTTGAAAAAAATTAACCTTATATTAGAAATTTGTTTTTGTTTTTGTTTCCGTTTTATTTGTTTTAATATTTTTTTTTTAAGTGAAAATGGAAAAAAAAAAAAATAGTAGAGTATCTTCTACTTTTAATGAAAAATTAAATTTCAATAAATCTTATTTAGATTTAAGTAATTATAGCAAAGCAAATTATAATAAGCAAAACTCAATAAATAATACAAATGAAATTTGTGAATTTTTCACTAGTATAACAATTAATCAAAAAGATTTAAGCAAAAAATATGAGCAGTTGTTTTCATTAATTAAAAAGTTTGGAAAAGAAATTAAGTATTTACTCAACAAAAATGATGAATATAATAATTTACTCATTGATACAAATGAATATATTAAAAAAATAAAAACAAAATTAAATAATTCTTCATACAATAATTTTGAAAATATTGGTAAATAGAAAAAAAGAAAAACTAAAAATTAAATATCATTAGTAAAAAATAATACATAAGTAATTTATTTAGAATATCATAGGTAATCTTACATAAATAAAATAAAATATTATTATTAAAAGTATTATATTATTAATGAACATATAGAATGACTATGTAATAGAAAATTTTAAAGGTATGCATCTCAGTATTAAATTATATATATCAATATATATATATATATATTATAATTTATGCTTATATGAAATAATAAAATATATAAAATTAAAAAGTAATTTATACTTTTTAGAAGTAGAATTATGTGAAGATACAAATAACATTGATATAATAGCAAAATTAATAACGTATCTTTTTAAAGAAGTTGGTTATTACAACAAAAATTCTTATGAATTGAATAGAAAAATAGATGATTTAAAAAGAGGTGTTGGAAACAAAGAAGATTACACTATTTTAGAAAGGAAATTAACTTTAAAAAATGAAGAATTAAAAAAAGAAATGATAAATAATATGAGTTCTTTAAAAGAACAGCAAGATTTAAAAATAAAAATTAAAGAAGATAGAAATATCTATAGAAAAGATTTACAACATATTTATCAAAAATTTCTTTATTTAATTTTGAACATTTTACTACGTGATAAAAAATATAAAATACAAAAGAATTTTTTTATTACTTGGTTAAATAATGTGAAAAATAAAAAAAAAGCAACAAAGAAAATAATTAAATCTTTATGCAAAAAAGAAGAGTATTTATTATCCTATAGTGTAAAAAAATTAAAGAATAACTGTTACGAAATACATTTGAAGGATATAATTGCCTCTATGTTAGATATTAATGCAAATGATAATAAAACAAATTATGGTTATATAGATAATATTCAAAAAAGTAAAAAGAGCAATGTATATTTAAATTTCAATAATAATAATAATAATAAAATGAAAAAAAGTAGCTTATTAATTAACTGTGACAATGCTAATAAGACCAAAAAAAGTGAAGCTTCAATTTTTTATGGTAATTTTGATAATAGTAAAATAAGACAAAGTGAAATATCCAATACTTATGATGGTTTTGAAAATATTTTATACAAAAAGAGTGATATAACAAAATTTTATGATGACAAAAATAATGAAAATAACGATTATGATAAAAATAATTCTTTTTATGAGGCAACCCGAGAATCAAATTACAACATAGAAAAAGTATATGATAGATTTCTTTATCAAATGAAAGATAAAGCTGACAAAAAAAATGTAGATATATTACATCAAACTATTAAAAAGTTAAATTATAAAATCAATGAAATTAAAAACACATTAGAAATGCAAAAAAAGATAAACGAAGAATTATTCAAAAATGTGCCATTAGAAAAAATTTCTTCAAATTACAAGAATAGTATAAATAGGAAATTGTCAGATACAGATTATAATACCTCAATTGATAATAATGATTCGTTAAATATTCTTTCAGAAAAAACCTTAAGTGAATATTTATTAAATAAAAATACGTCAAGAAATATGAGTAAAAATAATAATACAAGTAGAAAATATGTTATAAAAAAAAAAAATGAAGATGATAAAATGTTTGAGCATTATAGAAAAAAAAACTCGGATGATTTATCAAAAAAAAAAATATATGATAATATAGATAAATGGAATTTAAATAATAAATATTCCAAAAATAATTCTATGGATACAGTAAATGTCGATAAAAATTACGTAAATCAAAGAAAATTAAAAGATAATGCAGATAATATATATATAAAAAATAAAAAGAATAATATAAAAAAAGATTTCAATGATAATAATAATGATAATTATTCTCCATCTAATATTAGGCTTATCCTAAGAACAGGAGGAGGTTTTAGAAAGTTAAGCGAACACGATCAGAAAAATTATATAGAAAAAATAAATTTCTTGAATGATAATAATTTATTAGGCTATGAAACAAATTTAAATATTAAAATAAAGGGACCTCCGTTTATTCAAAATGTGCCAAATAATATTCAAAATACATTCAAAAAAGAAAAAAGACATAGATCTCTTTCTAAATTTTATAATATGCATTAAAAATGAATGAAAAAATTACAATATAGGAATTTTATTTTTTTTTTTTCTAATATTCCATTTAAAAATAAATAATTTTTATTTTTTTACTTTATTATGTGTAAGCTTTCTCCAATTGCTTTTTTTATCACTTACATTTTATTAAATATGTATTTTTAAAAATAATTTAATTTTTTTATATATTTCTTTTCTTTTTTTTTTTTTTTTTTCCAATGTGATTTATTTACATACTATTTCCAAAAAATTATAACAGATATTTTTTTATATGCTTATATTAAAATATTATTTTAATATTATTTAAAATTTTTTTCTTTTATTCATGTACATTTATTTTTATTATATATTAGTTATATGCCTCCTTTTAACTTTATATTATTATAAATCTTAATAATTCGTTAGTCCTTAAATGTAAATTATAACAAATTTGTTTACATTCATTAATGAGTATTGTTATGTAATAGATTAAAGATTATTAATTACTATTTCTGTTTTTTAAAAAAGTATTTTTAAAAAAATGTATGATATTAAAAAAATAAGAATAAAATCATTTAATATATTTAACGATGATATATGTAATATATTTAATATTATTACTGAAAATATTCATATAAGAAAATTATTTTTAAAGTATAATTTTAAACCTTTAGCTATTTTAAAAATCTTTTAATCTTTAATATTGTTTTTATGCATCATAAAATAAATGTTAAAATAAAGAAATTTTAAATTTAAAAAAAAAAATTAAAATATATGTGAATTTTAGTTACATAATATTAAATGAAGTCAACTGAAAAAGATTGAGAAAATAAATAACTCTTGAATAAGAATTGATACTACTTTTTGTTTTCTTTCTTTTTACAAATATTCGTAAGTAAAAATGAAAGAAAGAGAAGGAAAAAGTTATGGTAAAAATGAGAAAATTTATGTAATTTATGATGAAATATATGATATATATATAAAGGAAAAAAAGAAAAAAAATTGTTATTGTAAAATTTTGAGATTTTTAAATCCATCAGTATTAATATTAAAAGTATTAAGTGAAATATATAATTTAAAAGATAGAATAGAATATATCTCATGTAGTTCTTTTCAAATGGTGAAGGAACATACTTATATTAATGGAGAAAAAAAAGGTATTTATGAAACATTGCTAATTTTATATTCAATAAATAAAAGTAATTTAAAAATAAATAATAATATAAATATATTTAATGACTCCTTAATAAAAAATGTAGATACTGATATTATAGACTTAAACATGTATCATATTTTAAATGAATTTAATGACATTTATGAATACTTATTAATTATATATAAAAACTGTTATGAAAATTATACAAAAAAGTTTTTTATAAATAAAGACTACAATTTAATAAAGGGATATATCAAACTGCAAAAATTCAAAAAATATGTACTGAAGAAATATAAAAATATATCCTTCGATACAATACTAAATAAATTTATTAAATTGTTAAATTTATTCACAAAACTAAAGAACAATTATAAGCAAATAGAATGTATTATATTTTATGTATATTTCTATATCTTTTTAAATATACCTATATATTTTTATCCATGGAATAATATTAGTGATAATCTAAATAAAAAAATATTCAAAGATGGAAATGTCAATATGATTACTAATATAATTGAAAAAAACAAAAATAACTTTTTTTCTTGTATTCTAAATAGGACAGAAGGAACAAGTGACTATTTCGAAACATATGAATTTAACATAGCTTTATTCATCAATAATGAACAAGAAAAAAATAATGAAATTTCATTAAATCAAGATAAAATGATGCCTAAAGATTTATACAACAATTTATTTTGTAAAAATAATAAATATTTTATTAATTTGAGTGAATATAACATATTAAAAGAAATAGGTTATAATTCATTAAAACAATTTTATATACCACATTTTTATTATTTAATAATTTTAAAAAAATTTCTTATTTTTAATAAGAAAATGCAAATAATGCAATATTTGTTTCATATTTTAACAAAATCTTTAATTAAAATAGATGAATACTATAAAAATAACATAAAAAGGTAAAGAAAATTATTAATATATATATATATATATTTTTTTTAAATAAAAATAAAATTATCCTTTTTACAAATGTTACATTAATTTCAAAAAATAAAAAAACATTTTTACTTATTGTATATATATATTTCTTACTTTTTGTGCCGTATCAGTTTATTTTATTTTTTTTTATTATTTATTTTGTATTTTAATTAAATTAGTATCTTTTTTGTATTTAATTTGATTTCCTTTTTAAATTAAAGAAAACCGTTTATACCATTATTATGATAACAGCTATAATTAAGAAAATTCAAATTGTTATTGCTGTTAAAACTTTAATTCAAATAACATGTTTCAACTAACGATAAATTCTTTTTGATTTGTTGTGATATACTTCTTTTAATTTTTAATTATATATATTTATTATTTAAAATTTTGAATTATAAAATATTGTTACTATTTTTAAAAAGACATCAAAATATTTTTTATATATTCTCGTTTATTTTCATCATTTAAAGAATCAAAATATTTAGTATTAACACATTTTACATTATATCCATATAATTTTAAATGATTCGAAATAATCTTGAAATCCCCTAATTCCCTAGTTATTTCATTTCTAGTTGTATCTTGAGTTAACATAATAACTTGTCTATTTTTTTTTATTAAAATATCTAATACATATGGGCAATCAATTTCAACAGAAACTTCGTGACTAATTTGAAAATCATCTAATATTTTAGAAATATTATAAATGATTTTTGAAAAGGAAAACATGTTTTCTTTTCTCTTTAAATAAAAAACTTTTAAACTTTCTAAAACACAAAATTTAGGTAAATCGAAATCCAACCACTTAAACTGTATCATATGAGATAACCATAACAAAAAAATTTGACTTTTTCTTTTTTCCCAATAAGTTGTTTTTCCTATTTTTCTCCATATAAATGAAAAAAAATACGTATTAACATGAAATAAATTAGACAATATTAATGCATATGAAATGTTTATTGATGTTTCTTCATCTATATCATCAATATAATCTTCTAAATAATTTAATGCAGCTATAATACATTGATCAATAAATTTATGAGTAAAATTAAAAAAAGACAACGATTCCATTAGAACTGATACATCTTTTAATGTCAATATACTTTCCTTTCTGTTTATATACAAATAATGAAAGTATTCCCTAAATTTGTTAGCACTTAAAATAATACATTTTTCAAAAAATAAGTTCATTTTTTTAAATGCTCTTAAAATAAGAAAAATATTTTCATATGAAAATTTTTGGAAATTTTTTTCTAATATTTTAGAAATATGAAAAAAAATTCTATCATGTTCTATGGTAAAAATTCTATGTTTAGAGAATGCATCAGCTATCATGCTTAAATTGAATGGAGACAAATAAGGAGTGTAATAATAAACAACTTTTTCAGATATTTTAAAAAACTCAGGATTATATACATAAATATTTTTATATATTTCTAAACTTTTAAGAAATAATTCAAGATTTAAAAAAATAGGACAAACAAATGTGGATATTTCACTTATAGAATCTTTTTTTTTTTTTTTTATTAAATCATCTTTATTTTTCATTATATAATTTTCTTGTTTAGTAAATTCATCTTTTATTTCTATGTTTTCTATATCTTTTAGTTGTGTCTCTCTATTTTCGTTATTTTCTTCATATTTTACTAACTTACTTATAGAATAAGATATATCAGGATCTTTTGATAAAAAATTCATATAAATGAAATTTTTATCTAAATTAAAAAATCTTAATAACTCTTCTGTAGAAATTGGATAATTTACATTATAATTATAATTCATATTAGTATAATTATTTAATTGTTCATAATGTGCATATATTAAAGCTTTATTTAAACGGATAAAGTTATTTAACAAAATGGAATTTATTAATTTATTATATATATCTAAGTTATAATATCCTGCCCATATATATGTATTAAAACATTCCAGTAATAATTGCATAGTAGAGTTAATATAAGATATCTTTTGATTACTTTCAAACTGCTCCTTTATATATATATCGAAATTTTTTAAAGGATTAACAAATGAATTAAACAAAAGAAAATGTTTATGATTTAATTCTTTCAGTGATATCAAAATATGGCATATAGATACAACATCGAAATGTTTTCTATTTTTATAGATGTCTTCTATTAATAAATTATATCTTTCATCTAATACAATAATTTCTTCAATTTTTCTATTTTTTTGAAAATTATTTTCATTTTCTAATAATTTTTTATCATTTAATACATCAAAAATATGTTTATATTTTTCTATTAAATTTTTCTCTATTTTATCAATTACAGTTTCATTATTTGTTTCGCACGACATTGAATTAATATTATTTATTATTGGCATATCACTAGCGTATGTATTATTATCATTCAATTTTGTATTTATATTTTCTGTATCTGTAATATTTATATTATCTATATTTTGTTTATTTTCATCATTCATTTGATCATTTTCAACTTCCAGTTCTTCGGCTTTTACATGTTTTGTATATTCATTTGATAAATTTAATTTTTCCTTTTCTATTCTTTTTTTTTTTTCTTCAATTACAAACCCACTTAACATACGAATAGCTGTTATTAAGTTTTGTAGAAATAATGCTCCTCTATGAGTAACAAGAATTGACAAAATATCTTCATAATGTTGACATTTTAATATAACTTGATCCATTTTCAAGCAAATTTCATTTATGTATATCATTGAGTTAGTTTCATCAAGTATATTTTCTATTGAATTTATTTCATTTGTTTCATTTAAGCTTTTAACGTTTTTATCATTTTCATTATTTTCCTTTTGGGATGTGAATTTATTATTAGATTCCATATATTTATTTGATGTTAGGTATCTTTTGACAACATCAAAATTAATATTTTGGTAGTTTTTTTTTTTTCTATCTTTAATTTTTTCATTATCATTTATTTTTTTATGTTCTGTATAGGAAGAAATACTCTTCTCATTTTTAATAAAAAGTATATTCTTTTTTTTCCTACATAAGTTAAGTGATTTTTCTCTGTATACAAACACGTTAAAAAGCAATTTTTTAAACATTTAAAAATTATATTTTAGTTAAATATAAACATAATTATAATTACTATATTTTATTTATTTATTTCTTATTATGTTCTTATTATTTTTATAATTTTGAATAAATTTCCTCATAAAAATTATTTTATCAGTAGTAACTATTCTAATGCTAATAATTTTTAAATAGTCTTTATTTTTAATTCTTAACTAAAAAATTAGCTTTATTTTTTTTATTCTAAAATGATATTTGAAAGTTTATAAAAAAGTGAAATTTTTTCTATATATTATAATTTATATATTTTTTTAATTTTTTCAATTTTCATTAAGTTAAAAGCAATTTTAAATTTATTTAAAAGAATAATTTGAAACATTTAAAGTTTATTATAATATATATTGAACATAAAAAAAATTGTGTATAAAATACATATACTTCATTATACTTTTTTTTTTTAACTACAAAATTTTATTATTAGTTGTATTCATAGACTTGTTTCTTCGTAGTAATTTTTCATATCTTTTTTTTTTTATTTTTTCAAACAAATATATATATCAATACAGGATTTTTACATATTAATAGAAATAAATTGAATGTAATTAGACTTCTTTTTATATATTTTTTAAAGTATTTTTTTAACATTTTGTAACTTTAAATTTATTTTATTATCCAGTTATTTTATGATTAAGTTAATTTGCATAAAAACATCTAGCATTTTTGTTCGTATTTATTTTTTTATTATTTATTTATTTATTTATTTATTTATTTATTTATTTATTTATTTATTTTTTTTTTTTTTTGTTATTAATATGTATTAATTAGATTTTTAAATAAGGTAAAAAAAAAAAAAAAAGCTTTTTTTTTATATTTTTTCATGTTTTTTATTATATGAAAATGCTTAGAAAGAAATTTAATAATATAAAATACAATTTGAAAAGATACATCAGTTTTGATTCTTTAAGAAATAGGAGCAGCTTAAAAGATGTAGATGATGGCATTTTTAATATGCTATCATTATATAAAAATAATAATAACATAAATTTATCAGTAATTAACAATATTATTCCTTTATATTTGAAAGAATGTTTAATTAATGATATAAATAAAACTATTCAATGTAATAAAAATGTTTCTGAGATGATCGAAAATAGAGCGTTAAATTCTTTTAATTTAGAAAAAAAATATTGGGGATTCCTTATTAATAGTTATAGTAATTGTATAAATTCACACAATGATTATTTTCTTTTAAAGTTATATAATAGTTTGATAAATAATAGAAATAAAATAATGCATATTAGTTTTTCATTAGAAAAAAAAAATAATAAAAACAAGCGGAATTGCTTATTAGATACCGTTTATAATACAATTAAAATAGAAAATGAAAATAACATAAATTATAAGCAAATAAAAGATATATATGAAATTTTTAGACCAGATATAATTTATATAGATGAAACAAATAATCCTTATAATTTTGAATATGAATTTATAAAAAATTTGAAAGATATAAATAATAGTATAGTAATAGTAAACATAAGTAATAAAGCTAATTTAATTTCTCAAAATTTAATTCCGACTCCTTTTGAATATTCAGATATCGTATTTTCTTTTTTGAATGAAAATTTTCGTGCACATAATAGTTATATAGTTTTTTATAAAAAGGGTTTTAAGTACTTTAATAATGAAGGAAAATTAATATCCTACGATTTCGAAGAAAAGTTAAAAAATATATTTTCTGAAAATAATTTAAATAACATAGTATTTTCTCTAGCTACTTCGTTTAAATTAATGAAAAATACTGAATTTAAAGAATATGCGAACCAAGTACAGAAAAATGCATCTATTTTATTTAAATATATTAATAAAGAGTATTTTAACATTCATTATTCTGGAAATAATAGCTTCTTAAATTTAAATCCTTCTAATTATTCTTTTAATGTTCAAGAATTTTATACTTTATGCACTAAGTTAAACATATTTTTTGATGTCTTAAGTCCAACTAAATGTATTCAAAAATCTTTTAATATAGGCACAAGTTATTTAACTAGCTTGGGTTTATTAGAAAAAGATATGAAAATAGTGGCGGATTTTATTAATCAATCTATTTCTTTATATTTTCATATGAAACAAAAAGAAAATTTATCAAATGAGAAATTTATAGAGTATATAAATAATTCAACAACATCTGAAATTTTATCTCTTGCTAATGATGTTTTTTGTTTTATTTCATCTTTTCCATGTATGAAGAGTTTTTAAAAATCGTTATTTTTAATTTCTTTAATTCATTATATAGTTAACTAAAATAATTTGAATTACAAATTATTTAAAGTTATTTCCTTTCAAAAGTGTATTTATGCATATATATTTAATTTTTTACGCAGCAAAAAAGGGAAAAATAATATGAACCTAGACATATTTTTTAATTTTAAACAAAAAAGTCTTTTATATATATGTAATCCTTAAATAAATGTTCACCATACTTTATTAAAAAAATTAAAAAACTATACATAAAAAAAAAAGAAAAGAAAAAAAATTACGTCATGAAAAAAAATGAAATAAAAAATATCACATGAAGTGTTATATAGAAAAAGATTAAATATGAACATTAAACTTTATTAAAAGAAAGGTAAAGCAACAATAAAAGTAAATGAAATATTTTACATAATAAAAGGGAAAAAAAAAATGCAAAATAAAAAAAGAAACTTAGCAAATTGTTATTTAAATATTTTTTCTTTATATTATTATTCTTATATTAAAATCATTAATAATTATTATTTCAACGAATATTATATTTATCAAAATTTTAATCAAAACATATATAAATAAAAAAGTAAAAAAACTCGAAAAAAAATTAATGCATTCTTTCTAATGCGTTAAACAGTTTATATAATATCTTTAATTCTTTTCACTTAAAAAAACTTATTTAATGTCAATTGATACTGTAAAGAAAAAAAATGCAATATAAAAACTAAAATATAATATTAAAACATTATATATGGAAAAAAACTTATATAAACATTACATTAAAATATTATTTTAATTTTTATGGTACCTTAAATTTAAACAAATATAACTATTTAATTTCCCATATAGAAGTGCTTTTAAAAAAAGCAAAAATTTTTTATAACAAGAAAAAATTAGACATGAAAAAGTAAAAAAACATATGAAATTTCATGATATCATAATAAAAGTTCAGCTTCTTTTTTTTCTCTCCATTCAATTGCTTTTTGTCTAGCTAACTGAACGGATTTATATTCTAAAAAAAAAAAAAAAAAAAAAAAAAAAAAAAATTTGAATACATGTATATTAAGGTGAAATAATATGTAAATGAATAAATTAAGAAATATATATGTATAAATAAAAATTTATATATATTAAAAAATTTTTTTTTCTTACCATTAACTGAAAATCCTTTAGTTTGTATTTTGCCATTTTCCTTCCAGTTTGCTCTCCACAATTTTCTTGATTTATCGTAATAAACTCCTTTTCTTGCTTCAAATGATGCAATAACACCATCAATCTCAAGAGCATAATAACCTGTTCTTTTTTTTGGTCTTGAATTTATTGATGATTTTAAATTTTTTATTTTATTATTTTCTCTTTTTTTTGCATTGTCTTTTTTGACTTTTTTTGAAGTTTTGTTTATTTCAGGTTGTACATCTGTTTTTTCTATTTTTTCCGTTTTTTCTTCTTTATTTGTTCCATTGCACATCTCGAAAATATGTGAAGGTATTTCCATTGCTTGAATAATGTAAGATCTTTGTTTTTGATTTTCTAAAATATCTAATGAATTTAAAAATTTCTTGATATCCAAGGATTTATTATTATTCCTCACATACCATGGTTGCATAAATTCATTCATATTAACATAAATATCAGAACTTTTTTGAAAAGTTAAATCATAATTTTTTATATAATCTTCTGTAAATATAAAAGGATTATAATTCGGTTCATGAACTTTTCTTAATTCATCCAATTCTCCTATAATTATTTTTAAAATATAAAAATCTAGATGCTTTATAGTTTCTATACTTAATGATCTAAATATCAATATATATATTTTTAATTCTTCATTATTTAATGTCATGATCTTTCTCCAATGGAAAAAAAAGTTTGCTTCATATTCTCCCCAGAGAGGAATTCTTTTATGAATTTCTAATAACATATCGTAACAATTAATTTGGTTATGTAAGAATATTTCCATTTGAGCTCTTTTTTTTGTAAAATTATTTAATTCACTACAGTTTTCTAAACCATTTTTGTAATTTCTCATATTAGTTGAAGTAAAAAAAACTTCATCTTTAGATTCATTATTACTCTTTTTTTTACTCTTCAGATTTTCTTCTTTTTTATTTGATAAGTTTATTTTATTATATATATTATTATATCCATTAATGCTATTATTAAATTCTGTATTTTCTACACAAATACTTTCTTTTTCTTTTTTTGTATTTCTAGAATAATCACTCATGTGATGATTATCAATATTTTTATTAATTTTTTCTTTATCTATAACCTCTTCCTTATTATTATCATCCTTAATTTCTAAATAATATTTGTTAGTTTTTTTTTTATCATCCATATCATATTCGTTTGAATTCTGAGCATTTTCATCATTCTCAATATTTACATTATTTGATTCATTTACGACTGTTTTATTATCATCATTGTATTTCTCATTCATAGAGCTTAAATTTTGTATATCATTTTCTCCACTTAATTTTTTTATATTGTATAAATGATTTGAATCATTAAAATTATATAAGTTATTTATATTACTTGTATTTTTTTCTAAAAAAAGAGAAGTTTTATGATTTTTCTCTTGATTAATATCAATATTCTCTTTATTATAATAACGTGATATATCCATATTCGAATCACCTTTATTTTGATCAAAACTTATAGAACCTATGTAATTTAAATTATTATTATAATTTTCACTAGTGCTTACATTATTAATATCATTATCATCATCTTTGTTTTTGTTATTTGAATCATTTATACTATTTTTTTCTAAATAATGATTATTTAAAATAACATTATTTTCGTCTTTTTTATTTAAATCTATTTCACTATGAAAGTTATCTTTTTTAGTACTTTCTAAACATTCTATTTCTTTTTTACATATCAATTCTTTTAAATTTTCCTTACTTGTTAAATCAGAATTATTAGATTTATCATTTCTATTTAATGAATTTTCTTCTTTTATTATATTATTTTTTTCTATAATTTTACTTTCATCTATTAATTCTTCATTCAAAATCTGAATTTTTAAATCATTTTGTTCGTCCATAATTATTACAATATTTTCATAATAAAGCTTTTTTTTTTTTTTTTTTTTTTTATTTATTTATATATATATTTCTAAATAATTAATATTAATAAATCAAAAGCAAACTGTTTCTTCTTTATTTTCACAAAATTATTATTATTAAAATATATATATATATATATATATATATATATATATGATAATTATAATGTGTATAATTTTTCACTTAATGTAAATTTTAAAGATTTCTTTTTTTTTTTTTTTATAAAAAGAAACACTTTCGGAAGTTATATAATAAAAAATTAATAAGTATAATTTATTCGTTTTTATACGTGTTTAAATATAAATTAAATATATAAGTGTAATATAAAATTTTTACAAATAATATATTTAAACAAATAATATAGGATAAAATAATGAATTTATAAAACATAAAATTATGCAAAAATAAACCTTTTAAAAATATTAGGATAAAGGGAATACCTTGATATATCAAGTATTTCTTTAAAACAAAACTTAAATGCATTTCATAAAATATCTTTATCTATATACATATATTTATATAATATAGAAATAAAATTATATAAACATTTATATTTTCATTTTAATTAATACTTTATATTTTAAAATATAAAGTACTTTTCTACAATATTCATAAAAACATAAATATTTATAAATGTAAATGCATCTATAGTGTTATTTAATATATATTGTCGGAATTATTTATTACATTGTTATAAATCGCAAGTTACGAATAATTTAATTATGTAATAGAAGTTAAAATTATATTATAAAAATACTTGAATAATACTGATACTCATTTTATTCTAAAAAAAATATATCACTGAATAAATAAACATTTAAATATTAATAAATTCTGACTTTCATTCCTTATATTACTTCTTACTTCTAAAAAGAAGTTCTATTCTTATAAGTATTCTTCATTTAATCATTAGATTTAATTATTATTTTTTACATTTATATTGTCTGATTAGGGTTATTCATAAAATTTTTCCATTAGTATTTTTTTATTTTTCGTTAAAATTCTTAAAATATAATTTATAAAAGAATTATCGATATATGTAAAATTAAAAAAAAAAAATTATCATCTAATGTAAATAAAATTTTATTTAATTCATCAAATCTACACATGTAAAATTATAATTTTTTAAAAATATTAAAATTAACGAAAAAAAAGTAGATTAACGCGAAAAAAAAAAAAAAAAAAAAAGGGTTCTTAAAATAATTCTTAAATATATTTGAAAAAATCTACTATTTTTTTTTTTTTTTTTTTTTAGTTATGTTAATCATTATTCATCATACAAATACTTTTTGAAGAAAAAATAGAATCATTATAATTTATATAAGAAAATCATATTCTCAAATATATATACATTCTTTTTTATTTTTAACATACATTAAAAATTTTTTTTTTTAAATAAAAAAAAAAAATAAACAAAAAACAAAAAATACATGAAATTTTTTTTCTATATTTTTAAATTAATAGAAAGTCATTTTTTTTTTTTTCTTTTTAAATCAGTAAAACTTTATAAAAATATTTTTACACTTATTTTTTTATATTTTTATATATATATTTTTTTTTTTTTTAATTGGGAGAACCTTTTTATTATTTACTAAAACAATAAAATGAAAGTAAAATTATAGCTCCTAAAATGAGAAAAAAATATGTTTGAGAATATAATTGTTTTAAAGTTATTTTTTAATTTATTGCTGCATGTCAAATTATTAACTTGTATAAAAATATGTAATATAATGAAGTACATTAACATTTTAGGAAACCTTTGAAGAAAAACTATATATTATGAATAATAAAAAAAAAAAAAAAAAAAAAAAAACTATATTATATAAAAAGCATTGTTACTATCCATATGTGCTATTATTTAAAAAAATATATTTTTTTAGTTAAAACTTATATTTTAAAAAAACATTTAAATTTTTTTATTTTCTATTATGTATGATGTCTTTGTATATATTAAATTCAGTAAAGTCATCATTTTATAAATAGGAAATGAGAATTACAATTAAAAATCTTCTCTCAAGTTATTTATTGTAATTATATATTCATATGCTTTTTTTTGTAAATTTCCTTTATTTAATAATTATTATACTAAAAAAAATATTAATAATTTTTTTTATATACTTTTTACATAAATATTTTTTATATGTGGGACTATTAGCATTAAATAAATGAATTATGCACTACTCATCTTATAAAATAAATTTTAATACTTAACTGCACATTTTTAGTAAATTGAAAAATAATAAAATAATGCACACACATTATGCATAAACAAACATGCATATACACACACATTTATGCAAGATTTCTTAAAAAGTTATATAAAAAAAATTTAAATACAAAGAACGGAATAAAAGTTAAATATTTTTGAAAATTTATGTTTTCATTTAATAATTTTACTATAAGAATACTCAATGTATAATTTTTTTTCGTAACTTAAAATTTCCTCTTTAATTCATAAAAAATATATGATATGATTCAAAATATATTTTAGATATTAAACAAAAAAAAAATACTTGAAATAATAAATGATATACAAAAATAAAACCACTTTTATAATTAATATATTTACGGCAAGCTGTTTTAAAAAGTTATTAGAAAAAAATTTAATTTTAATTCATTTATTCCCATTTTATAAGGAAATTAAATTAATATTTTTTAGAGGAATTTGATTTTAAAAATTTAAAGAGAATGAAAACATATATATAAAAAAGGTTAAAATTAAAATCAGAAGTACGAAAATACTTTGAGTATAAAATGAAGAGTTACATCTACATTTTCAATAAAAATATATATAAAAAATTCACGTTTTGTGCAATTTGTATTCATTTGATAAAATATAAATGTTTAAGAATAAATTACTGTTATTAAATGTATATGTAAAAGTTATTATATATTATAATATGAAAATTACTAAAAAAAAATTAAAATACGAAAATAAGGCATTCATAAATTAATTTCTTGGTTCATTAAATATTAAAAAAAAATTTTGTTCTGCAATGATACACTTTTATTTTAAAAATATAGACTTTATGAAAATTCTCTTCTTTTTCTATCATGTTATAGTAATTTTTTTATTGCTTATATCTTTTTATTTCAAACCAATTAGTCAATGGGCATTACATGGAAAAAATTTATTTATAAAATTAGAAAAAGGAGAAAACGAAAACAAGTCTAAGATCTATAAATTAAAAAAAAAGATAGACAATATTATTATTCCAAAAGTATATTTTTTACATTTTTATATCATTGGTTTTGTAATAAACTCAATTTTAGTATTCCAAGTAAATAATATTTTTTACATAAACTATTTTTAAAAATCAATTCACTCATTAACTTTTTATTTTATTAAGGATTTCTATCAAAATTATATAAATGAAAGAAGAGGTAACATATTTTTTCTTTCTTCATTAATAATAACATTTAAAAAAAACTTATAATGAGAAAAACACTTTTTATATAAAGAAAAAAAGAAAAAAAAAATTTAATTTAAATATGTATACACGAATAAACCAAAGAATCATTATTTTACTTTACATTTATTTATTTCGTATATTTTAATATTGGAATATATGTATTTTTAAATTTATAGAAACTAAAAAAAATTATTATACTTACTAAAAATATAAGCTTAATATATATAATTATAAGTAATCATAATATGTATATTTTTTATTATTTTTATTAGTTTTTGATTTTATTTCATATACTAACATAATCTTTGAAATTCATTTGCTAAGAAGATTATTAGAACAATTACTTGTGGTAAGAACGACATCGAAATCTTTTATGCATATTTTTTCTTATCTTTTAGGAATAAGGTACTTAAAGAAAAAAAACTATTAAAAATATTATATTTTAACAAAATAATTAAATACATATGATCTCATATTAATATGAATATTTTAAAATATTTCAGTTTCTACATGGTAACTCCTTTTTCATTATATAATAGTGACAAAAACGAATATAGTAAATTAAATTTAATTTCTGTTATTCTTTTTTTATTTGGAAATTTAATTCAAGTAATTTTCTTTAATAAAATGTCTTTTTACAAAAATATTTAAATCTATAAGTATAAAAAAATCTTTTATTTTTTTTTTTATATTTCAGTTTGATTCTCATGTCCGCTTGGCTAAACTTCGCCCCAAAGGTTGATAATATAAAATTTAAAAAAAAAAAAAATTATTTTCTAAATCATTTTCCCTTTTTAGACATAAGAAAAAATGATGTTTTGTATAAAGTCCCATATGGTGGATTCTTTTATTATGTTAGTTGCCCTCATTATTTCGCAGAAATATTAATATATTTATCATTTTTTATGTTAAACACTAATTTTATAAGGTATTTGTAATATATTGAAATTCAAGTATATTTTACAATATGAAAAAAAATATATTTTTTTTTTTAATATAGTTTACTGAATTTTGTTATGGTTTCATTAATTTTAATTGTAAATGGTAATTTATATTTCTAAATATATTTGAAAAATATAATATTCATTAGTTTTTGATAAATAACATATATAAAATATACTTTGTTACATCAGGTTTGAAAACACATAATTGGTATATTAAAATATTAAAAGATACATATCCAAAGTAAAATTTCTTAAATAAATATAAAATTAAACTCTATTATAAATACAATTATTTCTTTTTTTTTAAATAAAATATTTTTAATTTTTTAGACAAAGAAAAGCCATCTTTCCTTTTATTCTTTAAGTTTTGTTTCATTTTTATATTTTTTTTTTAATGACTACTGATAGACATAAAATTTACGTATATAAAAATAAATTAAATTATTCTTTTTATATAAATAGGATTATTCTTATAGACTTTTATCATATATATTATATATTTAGAAATTAATATTATAATAAATGAAATAAACTAATTTATATATTTAAATTAAAACATGGTTAAAACAAAAATATGTAAATATTATATTTATACAGTTATTCATTATATTTACATAATTATCGAATATTTATCTATTTAAATAAAATATGAGTTAATATTTTTTTAAGTATTTAAAAATTTATTTATGTGTATACTTTTGAATTTTTAAACTTGTTGGATATTTTTTCCTTGTAAAAATTTTACGTGTAAAATTGTGCATTTAATTTTTCCCCTTTTTTTTTTTTTTCTACTTATTAATAAGATAAAATTAAATATTAGATTAATAGATATAGGTATTTATCTACTACCTTTTATTATTATTATGATAAATAATGGAGGAAATAAGATGTTGAATTCATATTTAAAAAAAAAAAAAAAAAAAAATTAAGTATATGTAAAATAAAGAAAAAGGTGATAAGTTAAATCTAAGATATATTAATTATGTGAAACAACTAAATAAAGTATTTTCTTATTATTATGATTGTACTCACTTTTTTTTTTTTTTATATTTTCATGCATAAGAAATATAGAATATATGAATTTATTTTTTTTTAATAGAAATTTTAAATTACTATTATTTTTTTTTTTTTTTTTTACATATATAAATTAGTAAATAATTTTCTAAAATAAGTATCAATAAATATTGAATAAAATTAAAAGAATTAATTTTTATAAATATATAAAAAAAGACTGATTTTATATTTATTAGATCACAACAATACATAAAAAGTTAATCACATATATATGACAATATATATATGCTTAAATGTATAATTAAGGGCACTAAAGTAAATAATTAAAATTATTCACATAAAGATATACACTGATTTACTATAGAATTCATATTTACATCATTAGTAATTAGATCTGGTGGTACAGTAACTGATTGACAGCACATTTGGCACATTTCTGTTAAGCACTCCTCTTTATTATTATCATTTTCGCATGAATTTTTTAATTCTTCATTAGGAGATTCAATACATGAATTTTTAAGAAAGTTAAAAATTTCGGATGTTTGAAAAACTTTATCATCCAATTTTTGACATAATTTTTCACATGTTTTCGTATTTTCATCATTTTCTGAGTCAATGTTTGCACAGCAAGTTTTGCAGAATTCATTTTGGCAGCTAGGATTTTCCTTATGATATTTATCGCAATAAGCTAATCTATCAATGATATTTTTATGAGTGGCACAGTAGTATATATCTTTTTTAATATCATTATTTGGTTCATCAAAAGAATGTCTAACAATTTCAGAATCTTTTTTTGTTTCATCAATTTCTTCCTTCTCTATATGATTTATTTCCTTTTTTGTTTCTTCATTTATTGTATCTTCTCCTATTTTTGAAAAAATAGGAACCATATTTTCGGAAGCTGACGGTGGGATAGGACTGTAGGGTTTAAAATCTAAAGGATGAAGGAAAATATTACTAAATGCTACATTTATACAATTATAAGAAGTAAAACCAACTTCATTTCCACTCTGTAAGTTTAGTCCTATTAAACTAAAAATTGGGTATGTCATTAAACCACTACCCATATTGACATTAATACTATTTGAACTAAATGATATGGTTACACGATTCCATACTTTTTCTTTATATGCGGAAATAATAGATTTAGCTAATATTTGAAATTTTCCATTGATATTTTGCCTTAAACGAGTAAAAGTAGAACCTATCTCTAATATAGTATAATTATTGGAATCTAAAAATTTAAATATGGCACCTACAATACCATTGCTACATTCAGGATAAATAGAAAATTTGAATATTCCCTCTTGACAAATTTTATTTTGTAAAATAATGAAAGAGGGTATCTCATTATGTGCACCTCCTCTAATATTAGATTTTTGTAAAATTACATGTTTTTCATTTCCTATATTATTAAAATAGCTCCAGTTTGATGGTCCACCAACACTATTTTCTGGATCAAATACTATATATGATTTGTTGAATTTTCCAACAAAGAATTCCTCATATACATTACAACTTAAAGGGGAAACATTATTATATATAGTATCTTTTGCTAAACATTCAGTAGATTCAACAACAGGTTTCGTAAATTGGGCATTATCCACTCCGTAAGTGTAAAAACCAATGGTTCCTCCTGAGTTAAAATCATCACTTACTATTATATTAGGATTAGGCAATTCATAGATTGGTTTATTTGTTTTAATGGTAGTAATTTTTATTTTAGAACCTCTGCATTCTATCCTTACTACAAACCAACTTCCTTCATCAAATCCTCCATCGTTGATAATAGCTAATTCTGTTGCTTCATTATTTTCAAATTTTAATAATCTTTTAAATCCATTTTGGCTATTGTTTAATTCAAACATATAATAATTGTATCTATCATATGCCCTGAAAATTAGTCCAACAGATCCTGTTCCTTTTGCATAAATATATGTAGAAAACACAAAATCATAAAAAGACTTATATCTTAAAAAAGCAAACGAACCAGTAAACAAATTACTTGCAAGGGATGAATTTAAAACACGTACATTTTGACTGAGTGTGGTTCCTGTTATGCCTTCATCTAAAGGATTTTCCATTATATTCCATTTCCCTCCTTGTTGTAATTGTACTGAATTTATTATTTCTAATGTATCGTATATATTTTCTGTGCTTTCTAATTTCCAAGATTCAAATTCCTTTTGTCTTAATCTTTCATCTATCAATGTTTCTAATTTATACTTTCCTTTATCTATCTCAGATTTAATTTTTGACGATAATAATTTTATCAAGTGAGATACTTTTTGAACATCTTTTAATGTCTCATTAGACAATAATTCTATATTTTTTTCAAAATGTTCTGTTGGCTTTAAATATCTTCTTGCATTAGAAACTATTTTTATAACTTGTTTGTTTATTAAAGCTAAAAATGTTGGATCAGAACTTCCAACTTGCTTATTAACAATTGTGATTAAATCGTTTATCGCATCTGCAGTAGATGGGTCTACATAAATATTTTCCTTCTCTTCCATATAATCCTTAGAGTTATCGATTTCCAGAAAAGTGAAATCACGTGTATAAGAAGGACCTGGACATTTGGGAGTAACATTAAACATTTTAAAAGCCATTTCTTGATTGTTATTTACATAACTTTCAGATATAATGCCATTTTGAAAAATTCCTTCAAATTCATTTAGAGCGTTTACGATTCTTAGATGAATTAAGAAATGCTTATCATAAGCACCTGCATGAATAGCTGACAAACAAATAGAGCTATCTTCAGAATATATACTTCCATCCCCTCCAATTACAGTTGCTTCAGTATCTCTTTCTAAACAATCATGAGGACATTTAACTAAATATTCGCTTCCAACAACTTTATCGATTTCATTAGCTTCTTTTAAAGTGGTTTTACAGTTTAAATTAATAAAGGTTTCGGGTAAATTAATTGAATTAATATTATCAGAACAAACAAATGCAGACATTTCAGAATTAGATGAATCAAAAAAAGCAACTCCTTCACTATTTACACCAAAAGTGTTTCCAGTAGGATTTCCAAATTTTGATACAATATCGTGAACATTTTCTTGAAAATCTAAAGAAAAAAAAGCTTCTGCACTTCTTCTAATGGCTAGAGGAACTGGATTTGTTATATTTATATTCATAATATGGAATAAATTTTTTAAAGAATTTATTTGATTTTCGTGATGTAAATGAATAGGATATAAACCGTATGTTGCACATACATTTTCCACATCCTTTAATTCTTTAATTAAATTAGTATCTATGGGAGGAACGTAGTATGTACCTCCTATTCTCATATCACAAAATACTCTTAAAACATTTTGAGAACATGATGGTAAAACGTAATAAAAACCAGATGGTGAACTAGGTAATGTTCTTTTTAAATGAAAACAGTTGTCAGCTGGATTTTCTGGTGTTTGACCTAATTCTTTTGTTGAAGTAGAATAATATGTACTTAACGAGTTAATATTAATTATATTCTGAGTTTGACTGATTACATCATAAATATTTCTAAGAATAGTATTTTTTATATTACTTATTTCACTATGTCTTTTTTCTTTTTCTGCTTTACATTTTTTCAGCTGAGGGCTCAATTTTTGAATTTTTAATGCCTCATTTTGTATTTTTTCTGCAAACTGTTGTAATTCTTTATCTAATCTTTTTAATTCTTTACCTTCTTGCATATGTACTTCGGAAACGAATTCAAAAAAATACTTATCTCTTGCATCATCTGCATCTTTTGCTTTGTCACAATCATCCACAATTGATTTAATTCTATTAGAGTATACTGAGAACTTTTTAATGCCATAAAATAATTCATCCTCTTCAGAAAACTCAGGATTAGGTGTTATAAGTTTCAATTTAATAAATTGAGCCTCTGTATTATGTAAATTATTTATAGTACTTCTTAAAAAATTAGCCAAGTTGCTACTTACCTCTTTATAATTTTCTCCATCAGTACTCAAAAATATAGAATATTTCGTAGCTGGATACTTCCAGTCAATTATGACTTTCTGTAATTTATATTTACTTCCTAAATTCACATCAAAGTAAACAGAATCAGGCGCTGTATCAATGTTAAAACCTTGAGAAATCCAGAATGTATCTAAGTTTCCATCTACAGCTTTATCTGGAGAAAATTTTTTATCTTGTCTAGACAGAGTGGAAGTAGCTTCTTTATGGAGTGCAACATCTAAACTACCTGATTTTGAACCATCTTGTGATAAACAAAAATTTCCGTTTCTTAAAATTTTCAATTGGTTATTCGGTAATAATTGCCAATTACTACGACCATCATTATGTTCTAAGCTGGAACTACAATCCTCAAGTATAATTTTACCTCCGTTAGCTGTTAAATTATCTTTTAAAGTTATACATAAATTATTAATTGGATTATAAATTTGATTTTTTGCATTCAATTTCCATAAGTCTCTACCATCTAAATAAGAAATAGAATTAATACATCCATCTAAAACTAATTCATTCGTTTCATCTATTTGTAAACACAGGTCTTGTGTTAAACTAGTCATTCCACTCTGTATTCTTAGAGTTGGATCTCTGGAACCCAATACATTCACGAAATTAATACCAAAATATTCATGTATTGCATGTCTCATCACCAATTTAATAGATTTTGCTCTAATTACATGGTTAAATATAATATTTTGAACAACATTTCCTTCAAAAAATAAAAATTCACATTAATAATAATACGAAGAACTTTTATGTATTTTCTTTTTACTTTTTTTTTTTATATATATTTTACCAGCCCTAGACTCAATAACTTGGTATGGTACTATTTCTTCATATGGTTCATTGCCATCGTAACTAGCTAATACAGAAACTTCCCCTGGGGAATAAGCCCAATGTATTATAATTCCATTAAGAGATCTAACATTTTTTAAATGACCTGTCCATGAAACAATATCATTAGCGTTATGTTTTCCTTCTGAACACCAATAACCTGAACCTTTTGTTATAGCATTTTCAGCTGCATATTGAGGTAATCCATTTTCTCCAATACTTGGAAATGTAGATGTTGCTTCACAATTTTCAAATTTAAAAAATGTATTGCTTATATCATCTTCACTTTTCACAAAAATAAAGAACAATAAAAATTTTATAAATACATAATTAAAAAACAATTTTGTCATAATTTTTTTTTTTTTTTATATATACTAAGAAAATGAAAAAAAAAAAGAAATTTGTACACACACAAAGAAAAAATTAGTATGTATATATTTAATAAGAAATTATATTTTTCTACATGAAACTTATAAAAATATTAATGAAAAAATTAAAAATTAAAGCTTAGAATTATAATATTTTTATTATTATAAAATAAGAATTTATACATATATATAAGTATATAAATATATATATGTAATATATTAAACAACTAATTCTGAAGATATTTAAAGCACATGTATCAATACACATAAAAAAAAAGTTTAAAAAAAAAAAAAAAATAAATAAATAATTAGAATAAGGTAACGATAATGATATAAAACAAATAAAAAGGTATAAAATTATATATATTATCCATTAAAACAATGTTACTTCAGTTGTCTATTTGTATTTAATAATATACAAAAGTTTATTTTAATATTTTTTCCCCTTATTAATGTTTATTAATTTACAAACTTTCTATATTCCCTATTAATATAAATTTTTTTTTTTTTATGCTACATAATTTTATATGTATGCACATATTGTCAGTAAATAAAAAAAATTTCGGTCTTTTTTTTTTTTTTTTTTTTTAGGTGTATAGACCGATAAAAAAAAAAAAAAAAGATACATTAATCAGTTGAATGATTTATATAGTATGAAGTTCAAATATTTTAATAATGAAAAAAAACATTTTTTAGATATTAGGAAAATATTATTAAAAAATTATATACTTTATTGAAACAAATATATTAATAAAAAAAAAAAAAAAAAAAAGGGACATAATAAATATATCTACAAAAATATTTTATACTCATATAATTAATGATTTATACACATCCTTTCATGGAAATAAAAAGAACTTTTTGCATCTGCTTTTATTCTTTCATTTAAATTTTTTTTTTTTTAATTATTTTCTCTTTTATTAATTTTTTCACAATCTTTTTTTTTATTAAAAATTTATTATATTAAAATACTTCTGTCTACCTTTCATATATTTATAATAAATTGTAATATGCAATAAAAAATTGTTGTAAAAATATTTAATTTAAAATTTCCAAAAATGTTAATGAGAATTTAAAGGCATTAAAAATGATTTTATTTATATACATTTTTGTTCATTATTATGTTCCTAGATTGTTTATGGGGAAATATAGTGGAGAAGTGTCATATTTTTAATATGTAAATGATTTTATTAGGAAATTATCATTTTATTTTTAATTTAAAAAATTTTCAATATTATGAATATATTATTTTTGCTAATTACCAAAAGAAAATATTAATAAAATTAGGAAGTCCATAAACATATTTTTTTTTTTTTTTATCTCTGTTTTTTTCTAAAACTTAAAAATTTATAGTATTACATTTTTGGTAAAAAAAATAATAAATAAAATAACATAGCTTCTTTTAATATATGAAATATTAAATTATTTTGAATTAAAGTCTTAAAAAAAAAAAAATTTAATTTTACTCAGAAAATATATTTTCGTAGAATTTACTTTGAAAAGATGAATATTTAATTTTCAGTTGCATTTAATCAAAATTTATCATCAATTTCTTTTTATGAATTCCATTTATTATTTTATTTTTTTATTTATTATTTATTTTTTTTTTTATTATATCTATTGAACTTTTTAGGAGGGAAATATTATAGACATAAAAATTTTATACAATTTATAATTTTGACCAACCTTAAAAGGAATAAAAAAGGTAAAATATCGAAACTGTATATATAAACAAACTCATAGTGTAAAAATGTGTAAGTTTTATTAATTTTTCTTTCTTTCTAAAAATGGATGCCGATATATACAAATATATATACATACATTCAGTAAAAACTATGTAATACATAAATGGTTTGAATAAACAAATACATATGTATATATATATTTATATGCAGAACATTTGTTTATATAAATTTATCTATGTAAATTTTATATATGATTATTTTATTTTATTTTTTATTTATTTTTTTTTTTTTTTTTTATAAAATATACATATAATAGTGAAATTTTAATTATAGTCATTTTAATCATTTATTTAAAAAAAATTAAAAAAAAAAAAAAAATAATAAATATGTAACAATTTTTATCGAGATATATTGATTTAAATTTTTTAATTTTCTCATTTTTCATTTAAATTCATAAAATAGTTATTTCAAATAAAAAATTTACATTTTTTTTTTAAAATAGCTAATATTTAATTTAAAAAAAAAAAAAAAAAAAAAAAAAAAAAAAAAAAAAAAAAAAATGCATCATATATATTTTATAAAAATTTAAAAACAATTATTTTTATGTACATAATAAAAAAAAAAATATTATACAATGAAAAAAGTTAATAGTGTAACATTCATATATATATGTATATAAATGTCATATATTTTATTTTTTTATTTATGGAATCTTAAACCACAAAAAACTTGATAATACTGTCAAAAAATGGATAAGAAGAATAAAACTATAGAATAATAATAATAAACATTACTATTTTAATTTTTTTATATAATAGAATATTAAAATTTTTTTATTTTATTTTTTCATTATTTATATATTTAATACATTTTAATGTATATTTAATATATATTAATTTTTCTTTTATTTAAATAAATAATATATATTTGTGTAAATATGTAATAATGGCATCATCACAAATACGCCAATTTGCTACTTTAATAGATCAGTTACCCTGTGAAGCTGATGATTTTAATTTAATGGAAAAGCTTGAAGATTACAGTAAATGCTTTGAAAGTTCTTTTCGTAATAACAATATAAAGAATTCAGATTCTTTTTTCCCATTTAATTCAAATGTGAATGATTATATAAGTAGTATATCTAACTCTCAGTTGAATCTGAACTATAATAATATAAATGAAAACAATTTTTCCAATTCTTCATTTAATGAAAATGGAAAGAAAAGTTTATATTCAGAAAATTCTAATACACAAAAAAAAAACAGTGAGCATGAAAATATAAAAAATATTAACGTAATCAATATAAATAAAAGTGAGTCTAATTTATGCACCAATAATGAACTACCTAAAAATATTAATAAAGCATCTACTTATGATGAAAATAATATAAATGTAAATAAGAATCAAAATGATACAAACAATGATAATAATTCTAATTCCTTATTTTCTCTTGTTAATAATTTACAAAACGATGAAAAAAACAATTACTTAGAAAAATTAAAAAATGAAATTGAAGGCACAACGTGCAAATACTTAGCAAATAAAAAAAGTTCTATTTATAAAAATAATCTTAGTGAAATTATTAATCATAATAATGAATACTTAGTAGATGTAAAGTATTCCAATAATAATAAAAGTAATGATAACATTTCATTATACAATTTAAATAATAATGTTAATGATGAGACAATCGAAAATAGAGGAGAAAATATCGTTTACAGATATGATAATACATTATCAAAATGTGTAAGTTATAATAATAAAAAAAATAATTTAGACAATTCAAAAATAAGTTCTTACATAAATAATGATGAAGAAAATCATGTAAATGATTTATTATTTCAGTATAAAAAGAAGATCAACTCAAGTAAACAAAAAAGAAATAAAAAAAAAAAAAAAAATTATAATATATATTAAAATTTTCTGCATAAATATTATTTATTTATTTTTTTTATTTCTTTTCATTTAATTTTATTATGGATTATATTATATATATAAATTAACTTTTATTAATTTTCTTTTTGTGTTAAAATGAAATTTAGAAAAATAATAAGATTTATAAAAAATGTTAACTTTTTTTTTATTTCATGTATATTTTTATTTTTTATTATAATTAAATGCATTAAATTTCTTATTGATACTAAATTGGTCATTTTATTGCACACCATAATTTATTTCCCTTTATTTTTCTTAAATCGTTTTTATTTTTTTATCAAATATATAATTATTATTTATATTTGTTGTTTTATTGATTGCTTAGGAGAAATAAATAAAGAAAATACATTAAACATGGTAAATATTAGTGAACAAAATGGAAATAATGATGAAAATAACATTAGCTCCAGTGACAACAATTTAAACAATGATAATATAAATAATAATAGAAAGATATTAAATAATAATGTAAATTTAAAATATTCCATTAATGAAAATTCAACTTCTGACAATAGAGAATTTTATGATATGTTAAAAAAAAATAATAATTTTAATAAAAATATCTTATTGACTAAAAAAGCAAAAGTCATCAAATTAGATTCAAATAAATCATTAATTATATTCCCCGTAAATATTCATGAATATGGAGAAAAATATATTGCTGTCAATCAAAAAGATCTTCTTGAGTATATTTCATCTTCAGTTGAGTTTGATAATGAAGACATTTCTTCATTAAAAATTAAAATTTATCAAAAAGAAAAGGAATTGCAGAATATCAAAGCTGCTTATAGTATGCAAACAACAAATATACATTATTTGATTAATAGAGTTATATTTAAGGAATGCGAATATGAGCAATTAAAACATAAAAGTTTTACATTAGAACATGAGATAAATAAATTAATTCAAGAAATCAATTCACTTATTAACCAGAGTAAGGAAGGAGTGTATATGCAGAAATTTTTTATAGATTATAAATGTAAGTGCATATTAAAATTACAAGAATTACAGCCACTATTAGGTTCGTATTACCATGATATTTTTCATTATATAACTTCATGCAGAACATTAGGACAATTAAGTATATGGATTCCAGCATTTGAAATAAAAAATGATTCATTGGAATCAATTGCTAATCATTTAATAAAAATTTTACTAAATGGATTAGGTGCACCTTTTAATACATCTCCCCAATACTTTTTATCAAACAAGTATTTACTGAAAAAATCTATATCTATGGAATCGGAAGAAGATACATTTTTAAATAATTTAGCAAAAAGAAAAATTATTGATAATTATTTAGTAAATAATTTAAATAGTTTTAATACAACAAAGGAAAATAATTCACATCTATCTAATTGTCAATCTTTATCATTAAACAGTGAATCTTCTTCTATTATGGGAACAGAAGAATTATTTTTTAACTCTTCTAAATTTCCTTCTATGCATTCGGTTATTTTAAAGAATAACAAAAATATTAAAAAAAATGAAAAACTATTTAATGAACTTAATAGATCTAACACAACACCTGAACTATTATGTATTCATAATGAGTCATATAACTTCAGTGATGTTTGCAATGGTAAAAATAATAGAGAAGCATTTATATGTAATAGTCAGAATGAACAAAAATACGATAATTTAATGGTGGATAAAGAAAATTTTAAAAAAAGAAAACAACCCATAATAGATAATGAAGAGAAAGAAAACGAAAAAATTCGATGCAGTAATAAAACAGTGAAAAAAAGAAACATAGAAAATGATGAAGAAAGAGAAAAAGAAGGAAGTATTAATGAAATGAAATACAAATTAAAAGAAATGCAACAATCAAAAGAATATTATGAAGAAATAAAGCTTAAAGAAATATTGAAGGAAAATCAAATTTCTTTTGAGAATCAAATGGAAAAAAATTTAGGCAAAGAAAAAAGTAAAAAAGATGATAAGAAGGATGAAGTAAATAATATCTTGGAAAAGGAAAATAATAAAGATGATAATATTCATGAGATATATAATAATACTGTGAAGAAAGAAAAAAAAACTAGTAAAGAAAAAGAAAAAAGAAAAAATAAAGAAAATAATGCTATAGTTGAAATGGGAACAACTGCGGAAATAAAAATTATTAACGAAAATAACGGGGAAAAAGTATTTAATGAAGAAAAAAACATAGAAAAGGAATCTAAGAAAGAAACAAATATAGAAAAAGATATGAATAGAAAAAAAAGTATAGAACATGAATTAAGAAAAAAGAAAAGTATAGAATATGAAACAGTTAAAAAAATTAAAGTAGAACAAATGGAATTAGTAAAAAAAAAAAGTATAGAACAAGACACATTTAAAAAAAGTAAAATAGAACAACAGGAATCACTTAAACAAAAAACTACCGAAGAAAAAGGTAAAGAAAAATATTATGAATCAAAAAATGCTAAGGAAAAAGAAAAACAAAATGAAAATTTAAAGGATAAATGCATAAGTAAAAATAATAAAAAAAGCAACGATATTAATAAGAAAAAAAGTTTCAGAAAAGAATTAGATAAAATAATTGAAGAAAAAAATGAATCAAAAAAGAAGAAAAAATGTAAAAATGAAAAATTCTTTAAAGCTAAATTGAAAAAAAATTAAATATATATTAATTTTTTTTTTTTTTTTACAAAAGAAAAGGCATTCTATGGAAATCTTAAAAATAATAAATAAAATTAAAAAATTTTTATAAAAAGTAAATGGAAAAATTAAAATAAAATAAAATAAAAGTATTAATATAACAAAAAAGCAAAAAAAAAAAAAAAAAAAAAAAAAAAAACAAAACAAATTGTATAGTTATACATATAATTGGACAATATTAAAAAAATTATTATTTTAAAATATCAATTTTCAATAAAAGTTAGTAGTGACATAATAAATATTATATATTACGTGAAAACAATGAAAATGACAGAATTAATAGTAGTAAATATCGAAAAAATGTAAAATTACATTTGACTTAATAGGAAACCCTTCTAATGCAAGTCATGTATAGTTAAAAGAACTCTTTTTAACAATATAAAAAACAAAATCATGTAGTTTCATTTTTATTCTTTATATTAGTAATTTGTTACTTTTGTTTTATTTAAAAGTTGTATAAATATATACAAGTATATATTAGTGAAAAAGTAAAATTTAAATTTGTAAATAAAATATTGAGTATTAAATTATTTTTATACCCATTTCCGTTTATAAATGTGATAAACACTTTAAGTTTCATACATCTTTAATAAAAAAATAATATTTTTTTAAGAAGTATACCATATAATACATTTGTCATATCATTAAAATTCTTCACCTTTTTTTTTTTTTGAGCGTAAAAATCTTTGATAAGATCATAAAGGCCAAACAGAAATACACATTTAATTTTTTTAATCATATATAAAAAAGCAATAACATATAAACATATTCATGTTTCTTTATTAAATTAAATTTTTTTTTTTTTTTTTATATGTATATTTGTTTTTTATATTTATAAAGAGAGTTATAATTAAATAATTATAAGAACACTCCTATGATTATTATAATTATTTTCATTGATATCATTTTTTCAGTAGATATATTTAATCATTTTTTATAATAAAAAATAAAATTTTACATTTACCAATATATATATTTATAATATGCATTATGTCATTAGTTTTAATATTAGTTAAAAAGAACATGAATTTTTCCCAAAAAGTTTATATTTTTATTTTTTTGTAAAATTACATTGAAATGCAATTTAAATTTAATGAAGCATACTATTATGATTTTAGTTTTTTTCAGTTTTTTTTTTTTTTTTTTTTTTTTTTTTTTTTTTTTTTTTTGTTTTTTTTTTTTTTTTTTTAAGCACATTTTTCTCTCTTGCTCATTTTTTTTATATATGAACAAATAAACGTTCACACATTTAAAATAAAAAAAAAATACGACAGATTATGTCTAGAATAAAAATATTGTTTTTAGGGTTTGACCTGCAAAAATATTTATATATTCATAATTATAACTTATACGCCTATCTACTCAATTTTTTATTTTTATTTTTTTTATAAATATTACGAAATATTAATTTAAATTTTTGTATGTAAAAAGACTTATTATATATATTTTTTCAACAAATAAACTTTTTTTTTTCTTTTAAACAGCATTTTAAAGTTTAAAAAAATCATATTTTAATTCTATAAAAACTTATAAAAACAAAAAAATTATTTATTCAAAGGAAAAATATTTAAAAAAAAATAATTTTTTTCCTACGTATATTATAATATATTTTCTATACTATTGGCTAATTTATTGCATGCATTGCACTACCTTTTGCACAGATTTTCTAAATACTTGAAATAATATATTTTATTTAATTAGTTATGTATTTTTAAAAATATAAAATAAAATAATTTAGTAAATATAAATTATATAAATATAAAAACAAGAATATGTTAATACAGTATATAGATACACTTTTTTGCTTCTTTACAACCTACATTTATGGTTAGAATAAGCAAATATATACCTAAAAATAAAGCTGTACATTGAATAATAGACTTTCAAAAAGCTGAAATATATAGTATCTTAAAAAAAATAGAAAAAAAATAATATTTATAAGTATCCATATAATTAATAATTAGACAATAATTATTATAATTCAATAATAAAAATGCATATTAATAGAATATTGCATTTCTTTTTTCTTTTTAATTATTTTATTTCGAATTTATATAAAAAAAATTGATTATTTTATATATATATATATGTATATATCTATAATGAATCTTTTTGGAATAAAGAAAATATAGAAATAAGATTATTAAAAAAAAAAAAAAAAAAAAAAAAAAAGATATAAAAGTAAATGAGAATAATATCTGTAGGTTTCACTATATACGAAGCACAAAATTTAGAATTTGATGATAAAGTTTTATTAGATCCATTAGTGATTGTTCGATGTTGTAACAATGAATATATAACAAAAAAAAAAAAAAAAAAATACAACGCTGTAAATTGGGAGGAAAGTCATATATGGGATAGAATAGTTCTATCTGAAATAGAATGGAATGTAGCAAAAATAGAGTTTGAAGTTCAGAGTGCAAATACATTTTGGAGAAATGAAACAATTGGTGTAATATCTTTTGAATTAAAATTAATTAAGAATAAAAAAAATCATCAGATTCAAGGAATATATCCAATATTATACAAAAATGGAACAGAAATAAGAGGGCAATTAAGATTAAAAGTTATGGTATGTGATGAAAAGGACTATGTAACGAATAACAATATATTTAACGATTTAGCGGAAAAGAATGATTATAATATTTCAGATAATGATGAACTATATACAGATTTAAGTAAAGCAGTAGTTGAGGAAAATATTGCTACTCTAAGAGACAAAAAGTCAAGATTTTATTATTTATATGTAAATATTCATAAAATAGAAGATATATATGTAGATATTAACAAAAAGAATTATAGAGATCTCTATATAACGTGTGAGTTCAATGGATGTCATTTAAAATCAAGTCAAGGAAGAAATTGTACCAACTATACTTTTAATGAATGCTTTAAAATTCCTATTGCTACTCCAATTTTAGAAGATTCTATTGTTATTAAAATATGGGATTGGAATTTTTTATCAAATGACGAGTTATTAGCTATTGGTGTTTTATCATTTACTCAAATAAAAAATAAGCCAATTAACCCTACATGGTTTAATTTATATGGTTTTCACAAAAATGAAATGAATTTAGAAAACGATATAAATGATAAAATATATAATGACTTTAGTGTATCTCTAGAAGGAAATTTTTATTTGGGAAGAATCTGCATTAGTTCATATGTTGAAAGATTAAATAATTTTGATAATTTAAATGTAGCTATAACACAAAGTTGTTTAGCTTATGACGAACCCTTATCTGTGCCCATTACTTTATTATGTGATGTTTATTTAGTGACAGGAATATTAGCAGAAAATATTTATGTACAGTTGTGTTGTGGTCCATATAAGAGAAAAACAGATTATGTGAATGCTAATGAAATAAATAATAATGACAGAAAAAAAAATAATAATAAAAATAAGAAAAAATATTATCCTAAAAAAGAAGAGGAATTTTTTAATTTATTCAATTTTGATAATTTATTAAATTTAGATAATTTTTTTAATAAAATTACTGAAAAACAAAACATTATAGAAGATAATGAAGAAACAGAATTTTATTTTAGTTCTAGAAAAGGTAAAATAGAAAACATGAAATTATGCGTCGTTCATGATGAATTACAACAGTGGGATATTATTATAAATGTTTATGAAAAAAAAAAAAGTTATAATAATACAAGTTTCTTTAATAATTTTTTAAGTAATAATAATAATTATGCTAATATAGCAGAAGAAGAATCCAAATTAACTGATTATCAAAAATACAAAAAAAGAAAATATGAAATAGAAGAATATGAACAACAAACAGATAATAATGATAGGAGAATTGCTTATTATAGAATGCCTTTAAAAAATGTTCTCCTACATAATGAAAAAATATCAAGATGTCCTATATGGATTCCTTTAAAAAATATTCCAAAAAATGTTAACGGAGATTTTAATTGTATGTATAATATTTTACAAAATGGTTCTATATTAATTAATTTAGAAAAATCATATGATGTCCAATTAGGAGTAAATAAAAGAAAAAATTTAATTCCTGTAAATTATGAATTAAGATGTTATATATATGCCTGTAGAAACATAATTTCTAATTTTAATGATTCTCCAAATACATTTGTTCATATATCTTGTTCTGGAAAAATGAAAATAACATCATTAGTCTTAAATAATTCTAATCCTGTATTTTTACAATGTTTAAAATTAAATATAAATATATTAACTGATTATTCTGTTGGTTTACCAACTATACCTCTTATTATAGTAACATTATATGAATTTCATAATAACACATTTTATTTTATTGGAAGATGCTTTTGTAACTATGATATTTACTTGAAGGATAACTATAAAAAGTATAACTTCATTAATAGAGGTTCTACTTACAATGTTGTTGAGCAAATAAGGCCAAGATGGGTTAAACTAAAAGGTAGAAAACATATAAAAGCAATGTATACAAATAATTTATGGCAACAGTACGGAAATGATAAAAGGATAATACAAGAATCTTTATATGAAAAACAAAAAAATATTTATAATAATAAAGAAAATACATTCCAATATAATGATTTATTATGTGGAGAAAGAGTTGGTGATATTTTATTATACTTTGAACTAGTACAATCAAAAGATGCAATTAAAATACCAATTTATCCTATGATAGCACAAATAAAAAAATGTTCCTTATCATTCTACTGCATGTCCCTAGAAAATTTAATTTTAATGAAGAAACAAAACTATTTTGAAGCTATATTAAATAAATCTGTTGAAAAAAATATTTCTCACCCTATTATTGTTTTATCTATAACTTCTTATTCTTCTTATGGTAAGAAAAAAAATGAATTATTAATTAAATATGAAAAATCTTTCAAAGCAAATACAAGAATACAATTGAAAAATTGGAAAAATTCATTTAATCAACAAAGTTTTGAAATGTTTTCTATTGAAAAAATGGATATTGATATACCATTAGATCCAATTTTTGATCCTACACTAAATATTAAAGTGTACAATAAAAAAATTAAACAAAAGTATTTTATTGGAGAAACAAATATATCTCTAGTCCCTTACATACCATGGATTAAGAATATTGATGAAGTTATACATTATTTGCAAGCACATGATGATTATTCAGAAACTATAAATTTTAAAAATATAGATAGTGCTTTTGATATATATAAAAACAAGAATGCGGCTCTAGTGATCACAGCTATATCATTAGCTGATTGTGAACACACAATTAATTTAAAAGAAGAATTAAACAAATATGAAAATGATGACGACGATATGTGGAATCAAATACCTCTTTTTAGTATGGGAAAAGAAGAACAAAATAATATAAATAACAAAAATTCCATTAAAAATGAAAATACTATTCTAAATAATAATTTTCCTAACAATATGAATAATATCCATAATAATATGATTCAAAATAACATATATGATTATAATAAAATGATAGACAACAGTATGTATAATAGTAGTTTGAATAAAAATGATGTTTATATGAATAATAAAGTTATGAAAAGTTACAATTATGAAAATATTCCAATGGATAGTATATGTAACATTAACACAATGGTAAATGATGTGGATGCACAGAAAATATATAATGATAACACAATTACTAATAATATGATTGACAGTAATATGTATTACAATAATAATATGATGGTGAATAATTTGTATAAGAATAATATTTATAATCCATCAAATTATGGTATGATTAACTACAATAATAATTATACTAATAATATACAAAGCTTTACATATAATGGTGTAAATATTGGGAACGATTTCTGCAATAATCCATCTAACATGTACAATAATAATCCATATAATAAATACCATAATTTTGATTCCTATTATAATCCATATAAAAGAGATGTTTATAATGTAAAGTTTAATGATAATGTTTATAAATTGTTTGATGATGGAGTTCCCGAAATAATTAAATTAACTTATAATATAAAAAATTATCCATATATAAAAATTTTAACTAGTAAATTTATATTAAATGTCCATATTCCACCACGATTTATTATATACGTTGAAGGAGATAAATTAAATACTGAAAAATTTATAAAAAATATCCATCGTGCATCTGTTGATGGAATATTAGAAAATTACTTAGACGATATATTAATACCATCCATTCCTTTAAAAAAGAAATGTAATGGTTTTTCATTGGATAACGAATCAGGAGAAAATAAAATACAAAAAGAAGGAATTTCTTTTGGATGCTTTGAAAAATTTCCTTTCATTGAGTTATGTGGTGGATATATAAAATGCTTTGCAAAAATAAAATATCGAAACTTAATATCTCAGAATATTCCATTAAGTTTAAAAGACATAGATAGCCAAAATGTTTTTCGAAAAAAATTTAGAGGAGTAAATAGGATACCTTTATACTTAAAAATTAGGGTGTATGTTTTAAGAGGAATAGGAATATATGGAATAAATAATGAATATACGGCTAATCCTTATTTAATTTTTTCTTTAGGTGAAAAGACATCTAATCTAAGAAACTCTTTTAAAGAATGTAATATAAATCCAGAGTTTCGTTGCTTATGGGAGAGTGAAGCTATTTTTCCTGAAGATGAAATATTAACGATAAGTGTATATAGTGCAGAAAATAGTTATGATAAGCAAATAAATGATATGTATATAGGATCTACAGAAATAAATTTATTCGACAGATGGATGAGTAAAGAATGGAGACATATGATGAAAAAAAATAAAATACCAATAGAATATAGACCATTATATAATAATTATTTAAAAGGAAAAACTGATAATATTTATAATAAAATTAATAGTTGGAATAATATTTTCTCATTTTTTGATATTTTCACACATTTGATAAAATATTCTACGAGCAAAAGTTATGTAAAAGAAGATCAAACATTTCTAAAAAATTCGGAAAGAAATAACTATGGGATATTAGAAATGTGGGTAGAAATTATGGATTATGAACAATCAAAAAAAATTCCTATACATAAAATGGTATCACCTAAAAAAACTGAAATAGAAATAAGAATAATAATATGGAGATGCACTATATTATCTAATGAAGAAAATGGGAATAGAACATTAGATTTAATAATTACCTCGGAATTAGATTGCCCAACTTATAATGGGAAAAATGCAAATATTCAATCAACAGATGTACATTATAATTGTAAATCAGGTAATGCAATATTTAATTGGAGAATTGTATATCCAAATATAACTCATCCATTAAATACTTGTTTTGTGCAATTGGCTGCTTATAATAACAACAATGTTGGGGTTAGTGAATTTTTGGGAGAAGTTAATTTGGAACTATCCAAATATGTGCATAAAGCATCACAAATAATGAATAAATTTGAACTTGATGCAGAATTAAAACTGAGAAAAAAAAATGGATATGAAATAGAAAATAATTATAATGGTTACATACAGGTAACAGTACAATTTATTCCTCAAGCAAAAGCGAATATAAAACAAGCTGGTTTAGGCAGAGATGAGCCAAATAGACATCCATATTTAAGAACACCTGATAGTGGTAGAGAATGGAATGATTTCATTAGCTCAATTGGTTTTAATGATATTTATAAACCTTTTTGGAATTGGCTAAAAATATTTTTTATTTGTCTTTTAATAATATGGGTATTTGTCTTATCATTTGTTTATCCTTCCTTATTATTATAGATAATTAAACTATGGTTAATAGCATATAATAATTTATATTTTGCCATATGTATTTTTTAATTTATGTTTTTAATTTTTTATAATTCCTAAAATTATATAAATTTTCAACGTATTTTTTAGATTTTTCTTATTTTAAATATTCTTTTTAATTTTATTTCAAGTATTTTTTTTTAAGTGCATTTAACTTTAAGGGTTATTATCCTTTTAAATTTTATTTCAACTTTAAGCTTTCCTTATATGTATTTTTTAATTTTTGGTTCATTTTTTTTTTTTTTTTTTTCATTTATTACTTATTTTCAATTATTTTGTCTTCCATAAAACTCTTTTTAATTCTTATAACTTTATGTTTTTGTTAATTTTTTTTTTCATTTAGTTCAAAATTCCAATATATGTAATTTATACAATTTTATAAGTTTTAAAAAGAGGCATAGTTACAAAAAAAAAAAAAAAAAAATAATATAATTTATATAAATTAGCGCATATGTGTATACCAGAATTATGATTGTCAATTGTAACAAAATGTAACTTTCATATGAAAAAAAAAATAAAACTCTTAAGATTTTTAATTTAAAAATCAAATAATTATTATTAAATTTTTAATGAAAAAAAATTCTGAATTGAGATAATGGGACAACAAAAGAATAAATAACTTATCTTTATTATAGAAAAATAAAATAATAAATTTAAAGACGGAAAACATTTTATATTCAAATATTTATAGCATAAGAATAATTTCTATTTTTAAAAAAAATAAAATAAAGATAAATTACAAAAAAAATATATATATATATATATAAATTAAGAAAAAAGGTTGATATATATATGTTTTTTAGGTAAATATTTTATAAAGTATCAGGAAAATTTCCTATATTTATAAAATCTTGAAATCTTTCATTATTTTTAAAATAAGATAGTCTAACTTTCATAAGAACAGGTTTTTTTTTAAATAATTTATTAACAATTTTTAGATTTTGAGTAATTTTTGTCTTTTCGAAAGGTAATAATTCGCTGGATGAAGCTGGGAATATTTCTAAATTTATATAATTAGGAACTACAGCCTATAAATAAAGAGAAATAATCATATAAATATATAAATTATATATATATATAAATATGTGAAAACATATTAATACATAAAATTAAAAGTAAAATGTAAAAATAAAAATTCAAAATAAATTATTCTTGCCTCAAAAATAAAAGAACTTATTAATGTATTTGATTTATTTGAATATGTAGCTTTAATAATAGTAATTTCTGAATCTAAGTTTTCCTTTTCAAAATTAAATATAATTTCAATATCATCTTTTTCATATATTTTCATAGGATTTATTTGAACTTGTTCTACTCTTTCATCTATCATATTCAACTACAAATAAGCAATAGATATATATATATATATATATATAAATACTGTAAGAGTAACATATATGCATATATTTAAATGAATCCAATTAAGACTATATATCACATGTAATATAGGAGAATTTATAACAAAATATATATATATATATATATATATATATATATATATATATATATATATTAAAATTTACATTTAAAATATCATTTTTCTCATCTGTTTGTATATCATCCAAAAGCAAATTTAAAGAATCGTTTTCTACAAAAATGAATTAAAAAAAAAAAATTATGATCAATGTGTAGTTGTTTATATATAAAAATATGTAATGATAAAATGTTTTACAATAATGAATGTTATTCTAAAAAATATTTGACAATCGCAATATAAATATATATATGCAAAGATAAATAATCAAACAAGAAAAATTTTACCATTTCCATTTGTAATATTTTTTAAATTATTTTTTGATTGATCTATTGAAATATTTCCAAAAAGGTCTGCCAAGATATCTTCATTTTTTTTATTTATAATCTCTAAGTCATTTTCATTTTTCGTACTAGTATTTGATAAATTATCAATAATTGTTTCTTTATTTGTTACATATTCATTTATATTTAAATTATCATTAGTATTAAAAGCATCAATAATATTAAGGTCTCCTTTTTTGTTAAAATTTTCATTTATATTGTCATTATTATTTTTAGTAAGATTATTACTTATATCCGGGTTATCTTTTCCGACAAAATTATCATTACTTTTATTGTTTGAGTTTTGTAATCCTAGTACATCATCAAGGTCCAATAAATCTACATAAGTATCATTTAAATTATCATTAATTACATAATTTTCTGTATTCTTCTTATTAGAAATATCAACAGTTTTATCATCATAATCTACACATTCTTCATTTTCTTGTAATTCTTTTTTTTTATTTATTTTTTTATTACAAGGCATACGTAATAAAACATAGTCTCTAATATCATCCCACTGAGGATTCATAAATTCATGAAATTCACACGCCCTCTGTTGTATTTCTATGCATTTATTTTTTTTATATTTTTGAATTATTTTTTCTATTTTCTTTTTTTGAGAAGGAATCCTTACTGTTAATTTACTGAGGCAAATTAAAATATATTGTAAAATAATGTTATTATCATCATTATTTATATTTTCATTTATGTTACAACATATATTAAAATTGCTACTATTAGAAGTGTCTTCCAAAATATTTAAAGATTTATTATATATAATATTATGGATAGGGTCTTTTATGTTTATGTTGTGTAATTCCCTAATGCTATTACCTTCATACGTTTTAATTATTTTTTCTAATAAATCAAAAATATCATCATATGTGACAGTTATCACTTCTTGATCTGGGCCTATATTTTTTTCTTGAATTAATAAATCTCCAAATTCCCCAATACACCATATACCAACTTGTATTAATGCATACTGATCTAAGTTTTCTCTAATAGAAAAAAAAAGCTTAAATACCACATATGAATGAAATTTGGGATTTTGTAAAAGATAATAAATAAAGTCATCTTTAATATGATCTTGTATAAAATTTCCAGCTAAACAGAATAATTTTATATATGTATCTAATAAATATTGAATATTTGGTGCATATTTATTGACAGAAACACAAATATTAGAAACAATATCGCTTTTAATTTCTATATCAGCTACTAATAAATAGTTTAATAATTCTTTCACCATAGTTTTTAAAGATTCTTTTGTAATAAGTGCAAAAGCAACATCCAAGGCTTTCTTTCTTATACTAATATCCTGATCTTTTAAACATTCTATAATAGTATTTCTATATATATGTAATGTTTTAGGATCTTTTTTTAATAATTTTTGCAAAGTGCATAAACCAACATATCTTATATTATTATCATTGTTCTGTAAAAATTTTCCTAAAACGTTTACAGCTAATACTAATAAACCAGGATCTGTAGATATATAGGTTATTGTTTTAACACATTCATATAAAATTGCATTTCCTACATTTTTCAGAGAATCAGTATTAGTAGCTACTTGTGCCAATATAGAATTTACCTCTTCCATATCATAGGAATTATTTTCATTTATATTAATATTATTTTTTACTTCTAAATTATTTTCTTTCGATAAATTATCATTAGATATGCTCTTACTTAATTCTTTTTCACTAAGTGTGTTGTTAAAGTGATTTCCTGTTCCTTCCATTTTCACATTGATATATTTTGTTTCAGATTCATTTTCATTAACATTTTCTTCTGAGTTTAAGTATTTTAATAATTTTAATATTTTAACTTGCAAAAAAGGATCATTTATACCATATATATCGTATTCTGCTCCATGTGAATATCCTGACATAACACAACTTTTTAAAATTTTAACAAGTTTATTTGTATGAACTTTTAAAATGTTTTTGTATTGAGGCCTTTTTTCTATTAATGTAATCATTAAACTAATTCCTGCACTCAAAACACCGTGGTTTCTATCATCTAACAAATTACTAATTTTATCTAAAAATAATTCTTCTATATCATTTGTTTTTTTTAATATACGAATAGCACACATGGTCGCCTTCTTTTTTATGTAGGGATTATTAATATTGATCATATCAAGGATTTCATGACTTAAAGAAGTACACATTTCACTATTTGCAATATTTCCTAAAGCACATAAAGCTATTCCATTGATATACTGATTACTATTTCTCAAATCATTCTTAATGGAATTTGTTACAAGCATTAAAATATCAGTATTTTCATCTAACAATATAGTTAATCCCAAATATCCAATTCTTTTATAAGAAAATTTATTTGACGCAATTAATTTTAAACATTCTATTTGTCCGAAATGAGTAGGATAACCTAGCATATTTATAAACAAAAGTTTAGCCACATTTCTATGCCTATAAATATTATCTTCTTCCTTAAATGCAGTTCTAATTAATGCACATTCTTTAGCAACAACTGATCTTTCTTCAGCCGCAGTTTTACAACTTCGTATGTTTCGAATTAACTCTCTTAATTTTATTGACATTACTTTATATTTTTTTCTTTTCTAGTTTTTTTTTTTTTTTTTCTTCCTTTTATATTTCTCTTTAAGTTTATATTTTTCCTTCTTTTTTCTTATTTCTTATTATTTTTTTTTTTCTTGTTATTATTTCTTTTTTCTTATTTCTTTTTTTTTTTTTTTTTTTTTTTTTTTTTTTTTTTTTTTATAAACTTTTTAGGCCACTATTTTTTAATATTTTTACGCAATTTTATATATCTAAAAAAAAAAAAAAAAAAAAATAAAATATTATTCTTATATATGTTAAATAAAACTTTAGAAATTAGTATTACATGATTATCCATAAAAGATTCATATATAAAGAAAATAAAAAATTATTCATATATATATATGTAATATTTAATTAAATGAATATAAAGAAAAATTATATCATAAAAAACATGTATCTTGTTGAATACCTATTTATCCATTGAAAAAAAATTAAAAATATATTATTTATATATGTTTTTGTTATGTCTTTAACAAAAAAAAAAAAAAAAAAAAAAAAAAAAAAATGAAAAAAGGATTACAAAATAATTATATGCTTAAATTGGTTATAGAACAATACAGTTAAAATTTTATTATTTATATTTTTAAAAATATGATTGTTATGCCTTTAGCCTATGTGTGTTAGTACGCTTTTTGAATAAAATAAAGAAAATTTATTTTTTTTTTTTTTTTTATACATGCTTATTATAATTAATGATAGCAATAGTTTTATTTGTAATAATTTTAAATCTATGTGTTAAGAATATGAATTTCTAAAAAATTAGAGAAAAAAAAATGTAATATGTAAAATATATAATAGATTAATATTTGAATATTCAAGAAAAAAAAATATATTATTCCTTAAAAAAAGTTTCATATTTTAATAATAAAATTTAAAAAAAAAATTGATATTCTAAAATTGTTTATTTGATTATATGATATTCTTTTTGAGTAGATAAGTACTTGTATATAATGTTAAAAATTATATGAATCCTATTTTTTTAATTTATATAGTACAAAGAAAAAATAATATAAAACTATGACAATTTATTTTTAATGTTTTATGAATAATTTTTATTAAAAAAAAATTATTAATATAAATTAATTTTTATAAGAATAATTCATATATTAATATATATTCTTTAATTTTTCAACAAAATAATAAATTATAATAAAAATACTATATATGTGGATATATATTAGCTTATGAAGGAAAAAAAGAAGAGAATTCTTTTAATGCATCTATTTTTTATATAAATCTTATTTTATAACAATAAATTATAATTTTTTTTTTTCTTATATCGATTATAGTATATATGAATAGAAGAATATAATTTTATTGTTATGTATATTCATTTTTACTAAGGAAACTTTTTATGGTTAATTTAAATAAACATATTTCAATATACCTCTCTTTTACAGAAATGAAAGAAAACAAATATATTGAGAAAAAGTTAATTATTTAAATATTAAATTACATATTCAATTAGGAAAAACTATCTAATATTTTTAGAAAAATTTCTTATTTTAAATAATTTTAAAATCTACCAATGCGAAGATAAACATGAAAAACAAAGATTAAAATGATAAATAATAGTATGATAGAAAAAAAAATAAACATATTTTTATAAGAGAAAAAAAAAAAATCATTATACTATTACTTTGTTTTTATTTTGCTTTTTCAAAATTTTTTCAATACAAAAGAAAAAAAAGTAGATAAAATAAAATTGTTATTACAAAGCTAAATGTATTATATATTTAATTAAAATTTTAGATTAAAAAATTATTATTATATAAAATTTCATTACAGTAATTATTACATTGTTAAAAACTTTAAATTTTATATAATATTAAAATTAATATTACTATAGCTAATATACAAAGAAAATTTTGTACATTAAAAAAAAAAAAAGAAGATAATTTAAAAATATTACATTATAATGATTATTTATATGTGGTAAAAAAATGAAGATCAATTAATAAGCATCATATGCTAGATATGGGTATTTTTTTTATATTTTTTAACAATTTTCTGAATAAGAAAATTAATTTTTATTTTGTATATTATTATGAATAAGTTTTTGTTTTAAGTTAATAATTTTTTTTACCATGATTTCATATTGCTAAATTATTATGGAAATTTTTCATTTTTATGTCTTTCCAAATATGTATTAAATTGCATATTGTATCATAAAAATAGTTGTCCTCAATATTATTTTGCATAAAAAGAAAAAAAAAGTGCAAATGATTTTTATATAAAAAAATTATTTATTTATTTATACAATTCATTATAAGCTTCTCTTTATTTAAAATTTAATTTTTTTAATTTTTTTTTTTTTTCTTTCTTTTTTAAATGGTATAAATAAAAAAAAAATTTTTCCTCTTAAAAGTATTAAAATAATTAAAATAAAATTAAACAAAAAAAAAAAGGGAAACTGTAGAATACATTCATGCGGTTTATAATATTTTTACATTTAATAAAATTTTCAAGATTAATAAATTAAAAAAGAAAAAATAATGAAAAAATTAAATTTAAATGATTATTTTAATTTGCAGTATTATAAAAGTGTATTTTTAAGTTTTTTAAAAAATGATAACAAGACAAGTATTTTCAATATGCCATTGAGAGATCATAATATAGATGATACAGTAATTAGGTCTTTTTTAAAATCGAAAGATTTATCTGAAAATGATAAAAAAATAGTAGAATTATATAATGATAAGAAAATAAGCAAAATCATGTTGGTTAAATATATTGGAAGGAAAGACAAAACGTGGTTTAGAGGAAAGATACATTTAATGTTAGTATTTTTATCTCCGATATGGATATTTCATATGCTAAATTTATCAAAAACACTTACGACAAAAATATGTACATCTGTAGCAATACTGTGTATTTTTTTTAATTTTTTTGCATCTTTTTTATTCCACAATTTTGAATGGAACCCACATTTTTTTTTTTTTATTGAAAAATTGGATCATTTTGGTATTTTCTTAATGATAAGCGGATCTTCATTACCTGTACAGGCATTATTATTCAATAAAGGGAAACTCCTATTATTTATATCACTTCAATCTATGTCTATATTATTTGGATTTTTGTGTATTTTTTGCGGTTGTTTTTCTTCAGGAAATAGATTTATAAGAACATTTACTTTTTTATCAGCAGGGTTCTTACATTCAGTATTTATAAAGGATTATTTTATTTCATTATATACTAGTGAATTAATATTTTTAGTATCATTAGCTGTTTTGTATGTTATTGGAGCTGTTATATATTCAATAAAAAAACCAAACGTCCTTCCAGGTATAATTATTATTTATATTATTTTTATATCTTTACATATTTAATATATATACATATATATAGTGTGTGTGAAGTCTTATCTTTATTAATTTAAATAATTATTTTTATTTTTCTCATTATTTTTTCTAACTTTTTCTTTAAAATTATTTTCATTTTTTTTTTTTTCAATTCACAGGTCTAATTGGGTTTCATGAATTATTTCATTTTTGTTGCTTAGGAAGTGCCCTTTGTACTTTTGCTCTAAATTGTAGTGTTATAAAAAGAAACACGCAATAATATTCGTGTTTAATTTTTCCTTCAACATTATTTAAAAAATAACACTTCAATTTTTCAATAAATGAAAACTATATATTTAAATTTAGTAATATTTAATGTTATATATTACTTCATAAAATTATAAAAAATTTATGTTTTTATTATAGTAACAAAAAAATATCTTATTACATACTATGAAGTAATTTTATATTTAATAATATTTAATTAAATAATTTTATAATGTTTAATAAAATATTTTTTATTGTATAATTATTTAGTACATATTTCTGTAAATGAATAAAATCACCTAGAATCATTGAAATACTAATTGTAGTATATATTATGTTTTAAAAAAATAGTTTTATATATGTGTTGAATTAGATATTAATGTAATTTTGATTTTTTTTATGAAAAAAATATTATTTATAATATATATTACATTTATTTTATATTTTTTTGATTATATAATTTTTGTAATCTTATTTTTTAAAGCACATTCATAATTATACTGAAAAATCTGAAAATGTATATATGTATTTATGTATTTTTTTGTAGAATTTTCTTTAAATTAGTTAATTCTTAAAAATATGGAAAATATAGGAAAAAAAAGAATTTTTAGAAAATAATAAATCACTCTATCATAAATTTAAAAAACAAATGTATTGTTTCTTAAACTCAAAAAAAAAAAAAAAAATGATTCTGTACTAATACAGATATAATTATATGTTTAGTATATAATAATCATTGAAAAAATTACATATATATATTTATTATATCTTCACTTTTCTTAGAATTTCCTACTTTTTTTTTTTTTTTGTTTTTTTAGAAATATTATACTTTTTACATTTTAAATATAATGTATATTAATTCATATTTAAAAAAAAAATTCATTAAAATATGGATGTGAAACGTTTATATGATAATTTATATTTCACAGAAGTTATAAAAAATTATAAAAAAGTGTAATATAAAAAAACAACAAATGTAAAAAAAAAAAAAAAGAAAAAAAAAAAAAAAAAAAAATTGAATACTAAAAAGACGAAATACTGATATTAATAAAAATCAAAATACTTAAATTAACAAAAAAACAAAAAAATAAATACAACAGAAATTAAAAAAGGAAATTAATGACAGAAATAAATAAGGAAAATATATCTACTATTATAGAAAAAACAAATAATTATCGAAAAAAAAAAATAATTAGAATAAAAAAATAATTGTACGTAAAATATAAATGTACTTTTTCAAAGTGTTTCAATATTTATGTGTTTACTTATTTTTTTATATATTTTTATTTATTTACTTATTTTTATAACCTTTTTTTTATTTTTTATCTGCATATGTTGTAACCTCTGGCATTTCCATCATTCATAGGGCGTGCAATTATCTGAACTTTTTTAGGACTGTGATACATAGGGTTAACATTTGGATTTACATATGTATTTCTTTTTAATGTAGGCATTTGAATGAATTTATTTGTTGGCATACAACTTATAGGTGAACAAGATGACAAAACTTGAGAAGGAGAACATGATGGTTGTATCATAGTTTTATTTACATTCATTTGTTGAGGTATAGAACTTTGGAATTTCATTACATTCGTTGGATTTGCTATAGTATTAGTTGGGATAATTGTTCTAAATTGAGATGAAGGATTATTTGTTATTTGTTCTTGTACAATTGTGGTTGCTGGTATGGGATTTTGATGAATAACTTGTGGTGTACCACTTGCGAATGTGGTGTGAGCAACTTGTTGTGTATAGTTATTTTCATAAGTCACTGGTGTCTGGAAATTAGAAATAGATTCAAAATGTTGTGTTTGTGGCATTACTTGAACTCCTGTAGGTGTCATTGTTTGAACTGTTGGAGATGGAATTATTTGCATTACTGGATTTCCTGTAGATTGTTGATTTAATAAATTACCATTTTGCTCTGGTTGAGATATTACTTGTGGGTATGGAGATGGTATGTTTTGCACAACATTGGTTTCATATTCATTGAATGCAGGATTTTGTTGAACATGAATGATATTATTATTTGGACTTACATTTGAATTTTGTGTTTGATAATAATTTGCACATTGAGTATCATTCATCACATAAATATTCGGTATTGTTTGATGAGAAATCTCACCTATACTATTATCTAATTGTATAAAGTTAGTAGGTATTGTTGGATTAGAAGTATTTATATTTCCTTTTAAATAACAATTTTTGTTATCATTTAATGACTCTCCTTTAATATTCATTGAACTAGGATATTTTAAAAAATCCTTTTTAACAGAAAAATTTTCACTAGCGTTATCTACCTGAATAGGTATTGTATCCATATTAATAGGATGCTGCAAAATTGGTGGATCATTCTTAATTATTATATTTGGTCTAGCATTATTTACATATATAGGTTGTGGAGATTGATTTTTAAAAATAACATTAGCTGGTGGTGGATTTATAACTAAAGGAGGCCTTTGTTCATTTGTCACAATGACTGTTGGTGGTTGTCTTACATATAACTGAGGAAAAAGTTGTTGATTTTTTAGAACTATAGGAGACATAGGATCAACATAAATTGGATTTAATGTATTCATCGTATTTTCTCTATTTTCTTGTGTATTTATAAATAATGCAGGTTGTCCATTATCTATTAAATGAAACATGTTATTATTTGTGATATTTTCTGGTTGTTTATATATATAATTTGTAGATGAATAGGATTTTTCTGAGTTTACTTCATTTTTATTAATAGAATTTTTGTCAGATGTTCTTTTAGAAGATGATCTATATTTTTCATCCATATTTTTTAAAATATTTTCATTTGCTGAATCTGATAATTTTCTAGAACTATTTCTATTTTTATTAGATTTCTTATTTTTTTCTGTGGATGTATTATTTTCATTTTTATCTTTTTTTGTAACAAATTCTATCCATCCCTCAAATTCAATTTCTCCTTCACTAGAATCATCATTGTGTGATGAGTTTTTTATTATTGGTTTACAGTAAGTTGAATCACCACTAGAAAATCTGTATTTTTTACTTGAGCTTCTTCTTCTGCACTTACTTCTATCCATTTTTTTTTTATTTTTTTTTTTATTTTTTTATATTCTTATATATATATATATATATATAAACATTAAATTAGCTCATACATAATTTAAATAATAAATTATTATTCAACTACTAATAATTTCCTTATAAACTATTTTTAAAATTAAATACTGTGCACATAATTTTTTTTAAGGAAAAAAAAAAAAAAAAAAAACGTAAATATAAAGGATATGAAATAATTAAAAACACTTTTTGTATTTATGTTTATTTAATATTGAATATTTTATCTAAGAAATTAAAAAAATTCTGTAAAAAAAAAAAATAATGTATGTGTAGATAATTTCTTTCCTTATTACTTTATTATAGTTTTTTTTTTTAATATATCTATATATTTTAAATTTCATCAATAATTCTTAAATTTTTATTAAGAGGAAATATATATTTAATTTTTAGTTTTAATACTATTTCTACTTTAAATAAAATATAATTTTAAAACTTTCTTTAAATAATTTTAAAAATTATTTTTTCAATTTAAACTAACCAATACAATACTAAAGTAATATTATCATTTCTTTCCCTAGATTTATTCTATTTTTTAATTTACTATTTAACTATATTAAGCTCTACACCATATAAGTGCAATCATATTAATAAAATAAAAAAAAATTCAAGTTTTTTTTTTAAAAAATTATGAAATTTATTCATAAAAAATAAATTTAAAAATTCTTACAATTTATCTCTATTTTATTTTATTTTTTTAAAATAGATAAACATTGTTAACAAATTAAAATTATGTATTTTTGAATTTAATAATTGTTGAATAAATGAAAAAATAAGTAAAACAAATATATACATTAATAATTAAATAGATACAACAGTTCTACGTAATGCAAAAATGTTGTAATTACTATGAAAAAAAAAAAAAAAAAATTAAACACATATACAGAAACACAATTTAACTAATATTTTTCTTACAATTTATAAAAAATGTTTTAAATAATTAAACAACAAAAATAAATAAAATATGGAATTAGCCAATAAAAAAAATATAAATTATTATTGTAAAAAAAACAAAAAAAAAATTTTACGATTTCTAATATTTTAATATATAAAATTTAAAAAAAATGCTTTTTTCTATTAAAATATACAAAACTGATTTTCTTTTTAATTTTGAAAAAAAATTGAGACACAACATAAATGTAATAAAAAAATGATTGCACTGCTAAATAAAAAAAAATATATCTTATTGAAAACTAGTTTTTTAATTTTACTTTTGTTAAGCGTTTAATAAAGTAAAATTGTTTTATATAAATATTTTTTTTAGTTTCCAATTTTGTTCTTTACTGCTATAGAAATGTGAAAAATAATTTAAAGAGTTGTAACTTATGAATTTCAAAAAAAAATTTTACGCATCATTATATTTATAAGCACATAAGTTAAAAAGAACTGAGAAGAATTAGCAAAAGGTCCAATTTTAAAAAAATGAATTTATATAGCAGTAATAATATCATATAAGAGTTTTAATAATTAATGTAGAACAGTGTAAATACAGAGAGTTAATAAAATGAAACATTTTATATAATTATTTATTATTTATATATATATATAAGAAAATTTCTTTTTATTTATGTGTGCAATTCTTTATGTATACGAAATAGTAATGACATAAGATGTTCTAGAAATATATGTTTTATTCTAAAAAAAATTATGATAGCGTATATTATATTTTTTTTCTTTGTATTTTTTATGTTTATGGATTAAAATTAAATAATTTTTATAAAAATAATAAATTTCAATTATGCATATTTAGAAATTATATTTTCTCCTATTTTCAATGTTGTTCCATTAATGGGTTTTTTTTTTTCTTAATTTTTATTAGTAATTATGCACACAGGTGTGTTAAATTTTGATTGAAATATGTATGTGCATTAAATAAAAGTAATTTTTTAATTTTAGAAAAGATAATAAAAATAAAAGAAAGAAATTCTGTCTTCTTTTTTTATACTTAATAGTATCATCATAATTTTATCAATAAAAAAAACCAAAAATAAAAAACAAAAAAATATAGATATTTAATTAATTGAATAATAAAAATATTACAAGAAATTATTTTATATATAGCTGTTTTCAAAAAAAATATAGGATTGATTTATTTCACACACAATGATAAAACCTTTTTTTTCATTTTTTTAGATTTGTTCAATTAAAAATAATATTTAGAATAAAAATTTTAAAAAAAAAAAAATTGAATCACATAAATTTTAATAAAAATTTCTATACTAACTGTAAATAATTAAAAATAAATATATAATAATTCTTAAATATTATAAAAATATAATTATATTTTTATATAAAAAAAAAATTATTACTTCTATGTACCTAAATTAAATGTGAAAATATATATATGGAACCAAAAAAGTAAATATAAAAAATTAAAATGAAGAAGGTCAGGATATAAGAAAAAAATTAAATTTAAAATATTTGACAATTTTTAATAACAATTATATTTTTAAGTTATTATATTCTCCTTTTTACAAATATAAATATAATGCAAACTATCATCTACAGGAGGAGCTATAAAAAAAAATAAAACATTGAGTATATAAAATAAAATTAATAAAATAACAATGAAATATTTCAAAATAAATTTTTAATTAACAAAAAATTAACCCACTATTCCTAACATGGGACGTTTTACTGTTTTAACTGTAACATCCCACTTATACTGGGATTTCTAAAAATAGTAATATTGAAATATTTGGGAATTTATACTATGTCATTGGTTGTTATAAAAAAATTCACTTTACGTTTAATTCATTAAAATGTAAAATAATTAAATATAGATTTTCATATTAACATTTATTATATTCATACTTGTAAATACCCTAGTCTATAAGTTGGTTGCGCATGAGATATAATAATAAAAATACCTTCAGGTCTAAAAATATTTTATTTTATATTATTTCAGTTACATAACTAATATTGTTTTATTAATTTAAACATATGAAAAATAATTTTAATTACTTTAAAGTCCTTGATATTTCTGATAACATTTCTTCAACATTTTTTAAGGAATCTTCTGAGCACTAAAAAAAAAAAAAAAAAATAGAAAATTTTGTCTGTTTTTATATTCTTAATTTTAACTATTAGGGTTAATATATACTTTTGCATATTATTTGAATTATAAATTAATGTATAAAAAAGAGAAAATATTATTATATTTTGAAAAAAAGAAGTATAGAAGCATTTATAAAAGTTATAAAAAGTAAAATTTTTAAAAATATTTGAACTTATAGAGAATTTTTAATTATCCTTTTATTTTTTCTATAATATATAAATGTTATTACTACTATTGAATCTAGACATGCTTTATCAATTATTAAATCAAATTCTTCATTTTTAAATTCTCTCATATCACAAACATTCATTAAAATATCTAATAAAAGTTTACGTAAATAATAAGTATATATACATTTTTAATATAAAAAAAAAGAAAAAAATAATAAATAAAATAGATAAATAAATAAGAAAATAAAAAAATATAATTAAATATTATAAAGGTGTAGTTACATTTTAAATTTGGTTTATCAACGTATATTTCTTTCATTTTTTTAATGCACACAGACGATGCGTCTATATTAGTTATGTCGGTATAACCACTGTCATACATTTCTTCACTAAATTCTAAATAAGAAAAAAAAAAAAAAAAAAAAAATATTAAAAAAACAAGGATTATATAATTTCTTATATATGTATATTTATAAATGTAATAATGTTGTTCTCTTTACTTGATGTTCCACATCCAACATTTAAAATTTTAGCATCATTTTTTATATTAAGTTCTGTAAAAATATGTTTTACACCATTCCATCTTTGATGCCAATCAAATTGCTCTTCTTCACTTTGAAAATATATAAATAATTATAACTTTAATTAAATTATAAATTCTTTATAATAAATTTGTAAAAAATTATAAATTATATATTACTTAGTATATCGATCATTCCAATAAGATATTTTTCCATACTTAATATAAAAAAAAAAAAAAAAAAAGTAGGATTACATATTTTAAACTATTGAAGCATATTTTAAATTTATGTATTTTCAAGTTATCATTAAATCAAAATAAAACATATCTAATATGTGTCCTTTTATATTTTTCTTTCATTTTCTATTACCACAGCCATAGTGAAAATAAGAAAGGAGTTGTATTCTTACACACAGCAATTATCAAATATTGGATTTGTGTTAAATAAATATGATTATTATCTGTATGAAAAACTAAAAAGATTCATTTTGTAAACATATGAAAATTTTATTTTTTACTTAGAAACATGCTAGTTATTCATTTAATATTTTTTTTTTTTTTTTTTTTTTATTATATGTTATTTCTTACATATAATGTTAAATATACCTGTTTTTATTTTGTAATAATCGTTTTTATTTTTTTTACTTTTTATTATTTATACGATTTTACGTAAGATACATGTGTTACAATACTTCATTACTAATAAAAAATGTATATTTTATATTTTTAATTATTCCAGAATAATTTACAGAAACGTTTTCATAATTAAAAAAAAATAAAATAATTAAATTTTAATTTTCTTTTATTAAAGTATAACTAATGTTATATATATACATATAATAGTAAACTTAATTGTATAAGACAAATATTCTTTTCTCTTTTTTAATAATATATGTGTGTATACATTTAAAATTTTTTTTTATTTTAGTTTTATTATTTTTTTTATTTTTTCCTTGATGATATAAAAAAAAAAATATTTAAAAAATATATAAAAAAGCAAACGAGAAAAATATATAAAGAAAGAAAATTAAAAAATATATCATAATTCAATAGAAGATAAAATAATTTAATATAAAATAATGAAATATAAGGATTAGCATTTAAAGGCTATATTTTACCCTTAAAAATATCAAATTAATGAAAAGCTAATAAATTAAAATTAATATATTCATTAATATGGCCAATGTATTTAATTTATTAGAATAAAGGTTTATAGGTTTTTAAGAACTTTAAAAATATTTCGAAATATATATATATTTTTGTTTATATGTAAAAATAATATAATTAATACCTAAAGATTAATATAAAATTTTTTCTCTATTAAAATAAAAAGAGTAATTTTATTTTTGTCATTTAAGTGATATGTATTACATAATAAAGTATCTGACTTATATATTTTTTTTACAAAAATGTACAGTTAATATTGTCATTTAATGTTATTTTTAAAATTTTTTTAATAGAAATAAAAAGTATTCTAACATTTATAAAATAAGATTAAATTTCTTGGCTAACAATATAGTTAAATTGATAAATTAAAAATATAAAAAACATTTCATTTCATATTTTTTTTTTCGATTAAATTTACATAAAATTAGGCTGTAATTTTCACTAAATTTTTTTTTATAGGTCCTGTTAATGGTATTTAAGCAAAAATATGTCATGATAATATTTTCATGACAAATAAAAATGAATATTATTATAACAGAATAAAGCCATATTTTTTTTAAAAAAAATTCCATGAGTTTTTAAAAAAAACCTTTTCTATTATGTATAAAAAAATTAACATATCTTCTTATAAATATATATTAATGAATATCTATAAGAAAAGAAAAAAAAAAAAATAATGTAACAAAATATAAACAAAATTTTTTTTTTTTTTTTTACCTGGTTCTATATTAAATTATTATATATATATTTTTTTTATATCAACTTTTCATTATTATAGAATAAATCAAGTATTTTATTTTGTTTTTTATCTATCTTTTTTAAATACTCTTTTACCTATTCATAAGTAAAAATAATATTGATTTATTCAGTAATGTATTCTTTAATGTTTCAAAAAATAAAAGTTTATATATATATATATATATTTTTCTTTTTTTAAATAATTCCATATTTTTTTTATTTTCTATGCATGCCTTTTTTTTTCTTTCTAATATTAAGTTAAAATTTTAAATTAATTTAATGAGTTTTGTAATTTTATTTTGTTCTTTATATTTCTAATATTTATATGTAAACAATATAACTCTTAAAAAATTTTATAATACAGGTAAAATATTTATAAGTACATGTGAAATTCTATTAAGTGAAATCATATAGTCTTTATATTAAAAAAAACATGTATATTTTTATTATAATACTTAATGAATTATTACATTCTTCAAAATCATTTTTATTTTACTGTTTTTTTCAGTTGAATCTATTAATCCTTCTTCATCCATTTTGTATAACATATAAAGTATATTATTTTTGAACAACACAGTAAAAAAAAATGTATTTAATAAAAATAAGACAATATTTTCTTTATTATTTTTTGTTTTTATGAACATCAATTAAAAAGTATTATATATAAATATTTAAAATATTTAATCTTTGACATTAATTTTTTTAGTTTTTTCTAAAAATTCCAATAAATTGTGAAAAAAAGGAAAAAAAAAAAAAAATAGTTTTTCTATAAGAAGGCATATTTTTGTTTTTATATAAATATTCAATAACTTTATTAGTATTTAAAGATAACTTTTTTTTTATTTTTGTGTGTGTATTTTAAATTTTATGTAGTGATCATTAATTTAATTTTTTTAATTTGCTGATAAGAATAATTTATTGTATTATATTTTAAATTAAAATTTTGAAATTAATTTTCAGCAATTTTTTCCTCTTTTCATTTTATAATTTCATACATATATACGTATATATATATATATATATATGTTATAATTTATTGTGCATCTTTGGCAAATAATGCATAATTGTTATTTAATTTTTTTATATATTTTATTTATTTTATATAAATTATTTATTTATGACACATTTCTTATAGAAGTGTGAAACATTCTATTAAAAAGGAAAAAAAATGAAAATGTCAATAAAAAAAGAATGAATAAGTTTTTTATATAATTTATAATTAAAAATATATTAATAAAATTTAAATGGAAATTACCATAATTCATTTAATTATTTGTCTTTGAAATGTAATGTTTTTTTTTTTTATTTTATTTTGTATTTTTTTGTTTGTGGTATACATCTCAAAATTTTTTTGAATTAGATTATTTTATTAATTTATAATTATTTATATAATATAATTATATAAATATTTTTTAATTTTCATATTTAAAAAATATATTTTTGGTGGGTAGTAATTAATAAAAATTTTTACTTTCCCGAATTTTTAATATATATATATATATTTTTACAATTATTTTATATTTTTTTGTCATAAAAAAATAAATTTAAATGATTCAAATATTACCATTTTTATATTTGGGAAGAAGTAATGATGTAGACAATGTTGAAATCCTTAAAGAAAAAGGCATAAAAGCATTCGTTATATGCTGTACTTATTTTGAATATCCTGAACAAAAGGTTCCTGATGGATATGAAAATTTACGAATTGATCTGGAAGATATGGGATTAGAACCTATTTCCTCATATTTCGAATTATCAAACAATTTTATTCATTCATTTATTTCAAAAGAACAGGCTGTTCTTATTTATTGTTGGTATAAATTTTTTTAATAAAAAAACATAAAGATAAATAAAAACCTGCTTTACATATATTTTAGTGTGCATAAGGTTTTTTACTTAGCTAAATAATTTTTTGTATATATATATATATATATATATATATATATATATATATATATCTATATATATATTTTTTTCTTAGTCATGGAATAAGTAGATCATCTACAATAGCAATAGCTTATTTGATGGAAAAACAGGTTTTTTTTTTTTTTTAAGTTTTAAATTTTTTTTGAATTTATTCTTTTTTTTTTAATTTACATTTGTGTACTTCTTATTAGCAGAATTTTTGCCTTAATGAAGCATTCAACTTTATAATGAAAAAAAAAAAAATTTGTCCTAATATTGGTTTTATAGAACAATTATGTGAATATGAAAAAAATTTGAAAAATAAAATTACTTTTTCGTCGAAAAAGTATATAAATTGGTTTATTTCAGAAATGTGTGATAGTAATGTAACTGTAGATTTTAGTTTTTAAGTTAAAAATATACAAGGAGTTACAGAATATAAAATAATATATAAATTTTATTATAATTTTTTTTTTTTTTTAAAAGAATTTTTTAATTTTCCTCTTTTTTTTAATGAAACACAATTTATTACTAACATTTTAAAATATCATTTATATTTATTTTTTTAAATTTTCACATAGATTTTTTATTTATTAAAAATAATAAAATATTTTAATATATATATATATAATTTTTACATATATGTTATATACATATGTTTGAATGAAAAATATTTATTATAATAAAATTTTTTTTTTAATTCCCAAATTGTCTATTTATAATTGTTAGGATGTAACAAAAACTTATTTGAAAAACATATTTTTTTTTTGCTATATTTTTATTTCTTTATATATAAAATATTTTTATGTATACATATTTATATTTAAAATGAAGAACTAATTTTTCTTTTTTTTATTCGTAAATATATTTTTTTTCTAGAAATTTAAACATTATTTAAGTGTATATAAATTTGATGTTAAAAATTTTTTATTTAGATCTTTTTTTTTTTTTTTTTATAAATATCAATGAAAATAAATATTTATATTTTTAACATTTGCAGAACATATTGTGTTATTCGAAGGATAGTTATATATTAATATTCTTGTGACTTGAGTAAAGTTTTTTAGAATTTCTTTTTCAAAATAGAATCAATACATTATTAATATCCCCTAGTTTTAATAAGATGTAATATTTAAATCCCTTTTCCTTTTAACATAATTTTTATTACTTTAAAAAAATAATTTTATTTTTTTCTTATTTTTATATATTTAAATATAAAATGAAAACATTTTTTTCCATTAAATAAATAAACTTATATGATTTTTCTAATTTAAAACTTCTTTAAGGAATTACACACTGATTTTTTATGTATATATTATATATAATTGAAAAACAGGTATACCACATGTTATCTATTATCTCTTTTATTTTTTAATCCAAACAATTTTGTTTCAATTTTTAAATTAGCATATTCATAATGGTATAATTATAGATAAAAAAAAAATTTCTTTAAATAAAATAATAAACATAATTAGAAGGGAATATTTTTCTATAAAGTTTAAAATTCTAAATATAACACAACAGCTACATATATTTATCTTATTTTATTTACCTATAAAATCCTTTTTTATTTTTATATAAAATGTAAAAAAAACTAAGTTTTTTTTTTATATTTTACATTTAAATATATAAATTTTTATATCACTATTTTTATTTTTAATTTTTACCTTCTTTTTAAAAGAATTTATTTATAACTTTTTTCATAACTTTTTTTTTTTTTTTTTTTTTTTTTTTTTTGTCTAACTACATATTCCTTAATACAGTTTCAAATTACACATGTGAAATAAAAAAGATAAAGATATGAACACTTGAAAAATAATAATAAAGTAAATATATAGAAATAAAATTTGCATTTTCATAAAAAAATATTATGTGTGTCTAAATAAAATTATTATAAGCCTAAAAATAATAATGAAATAAAGTTAAAATAGATAAATTGAATGTATCTTCTGATGCTAACTAATCAACAAAATTTAATGGACTAATAATTTCTAAATATATATATATATATATATATATATATATATATATATATATATTTAAATAAACTAATTTTTTAATAATAGCTTTTTAAAAAATGCATTATTTAAAAATAAGATTTCTCTCATATGTTTTCTCCTTATTAGAATATAAATAAAAAAAATTGATTGTATCCTAAAATATATTAATCTATTTAATAAATTTTAGAATCTTTTTCATCAATTCTTTGTAATTGTGGTGAAAAAAAAAATAATAATGGTTTTAATTTTTTCTTATATTTTAGCCATTACAAATTATTCCAAATCCTTATTTTATTTATATTTTCTTAACTATTTAAAGAATATAAATATTTTTATAATAAAAAGAAAAACTTACTATTCACAGGAATAAAAATTTACCATGAAAAAACGTCTAAAAGACTCCAAAATTTATATAAAATTTGATTAGTTAATTTATAATATATTTTCTAAAATATTTAAAAAATAAAAAGAAAATTGAAATAGAAGAAAAAAGGAGAAAAAATTTAGGTAGCAAAAAAAGGAAAAAAGTTTTAAATGAAAGACAAAAAAAAATACACTTTAAAATAAAAAATAACAGATTATCTAAGATCAAATTGAAAAAGAAAAAATGAAAAATTTGATTTAAGAAGTAAAAAAAGAGAGAAAATAAAATAAAAAAACAGCTGGAAAAATTATATTTGGAACATATTTAGAAAAATTTGGTGATTTAATAATTTTTTTTTAATTGAGATTGTATATAAAAACATATAAGAAAAAAGTTAAAAAAAAAAAAAAAAAAAAAAAAAAAAGATTAAGAAAAAATAAAAAAAAAAAAAAATAAAAGAGAAAAAGCAAATATAATAAAATTTATTTTGTTATGACTAAATGATGTTATACAAATAGAAAAATTTACAAATTTCACACAAGAATGCAAGGTTACATTGGAGGTAAAATTTAAAAAAAAAATATATAATCATAAAATAAAAATTTAAAGAACTACTAAAAAAAAAAAAAAAAAAAGAGCTTAATATTTAGAAAAAAAAAGTTTTATTTTAAATTCAAAAGTGAATTATTGTATATATTTATTTTATTTATTTTTTTTGTTTTAAGCTTTATAAATTTATCTTTATTTTTTTCTATAGTTTATACTTATTTTTTTATTTTTTTTTTATATACTATATATTATATATTGATTCTTTAATTAAGCTAATTATTTAATTATATTTACTGTTTTACTTATACATTTTTTTTTTTTTTTTTTTTTTTGTTTTACATATATATATTGTTAATTGGCAGAGAAACTAGATAATTTTAAGCTGTACAAAAGAAGATGGCTGATGTTATTTTATTTTTCCTATTGTTGTATGGTTGATAATTTAATTTGTTTTACATTTGCTCCAATAAATAATGTTTGTTATGAATTATATGGGGTTTCAAATAATATATTTCCACAAGTATATTTTATTATTTATTCAATATTTTCAATACCTTTATCTTTTTTACTAAGTGAATTTTCATTAAGAACAAATGTAGTATTTAGTTCTTTATTGCAATTTATTGGTTGTTTTTTAAGATATTTATTTTGGGATAATTTAAAACTTGTTATGTTTGGTCAATTTCTTTCATCAATTGGGCAAATTATTTTCGTTAATGCTCCACCAGAAGTATCATTAATTTGGTTTCCAATTAATGAAAGAATTATCTCAACGAGTATTTCTATTATTTCTAATGTATTAGGAACAGCAATAATATATTTATATGCACCTTTTATAGTATTAAATAAAGAAGATGTAAAAGAATTATTATTTTCCATTTGTCTTATAAGCTTTATTGGTTCTGTTATGGTAATTTTTTTTTTTGAAAGTTCTCCACCTGTTTCTCCTTCTAAGACTGCTGAAGCATTAAATTTAAACTTTCATAAAAAAACAAATAATGAAAATGATAATTATTATTTAAGTTTTGATAATTCAGATGTAAATCGAAACAAATTAAGTATAAAAAATTTTGGAAGGGAATTAAACCGTTTTTTAGGTGATTTAAAGATTGAAGTAGCTAATATATTATCAGAAAAAGAGATTATAAAAATATTAATAATATTTTGTTATTCAGAATGTTTGATTAGTAGTTTTTCAGCTGATATGTCTATTGTTTTAAAAGAAAAATCAGTGAATAAAGGATATTTCGCTATGTCTGGATCATTATTTATTTTTAACATTGTATTAGGTAGTGCCCTTTTATGTTTTAATGCTAATAGTAAATATTTTAAGAAGTTAATTATATTATGTGTATCTATGATAATGATTGTATGTGTTCTTTTAAATTTTACTAATAATAATATAATGATTATCCTTATTATAAGTCTAATTGGTTTTTGGTCTGGACCTATTCAGCCAATATCTGTTGAAATGGCATGTATTACAGTTTACCCAATAAGTTCAAATTTGTGCACTTCTATTCTTCAAGTAGTTTCATTTACAGTTAGTGCAATTTTTATATCTGTTTTTTCATATATATCAAAATATTATAATATTAGTATTTTGGTTTTTTTTTTATCCTTTTTAATGTTGTTAATTAGTGTAAACATGAAAACTATCAAAAAAAAACCTATGAACGCTTTAACTTTTTCTATTAGAAGTGGCCTTATAAAAAGAAATACTTTTCATACACACAAATTTGTAGATTTTTTTAATAATAATGATAATACTGATGAATTATTAGAAAATTATAATGATTTATCTATGCTTCCATCAGACTCAAAAATGTTTGATGATTATTCTAATCCCCCATCCTTAATAAGATTCTATTCTCATTTTTCATCTTCTCCTCGTCATTCAACAACTAATACATCTAAATATAGTGATATAATGGAAGAAAATGTTTTCAAAATAGATGAAACGAAAAATAATAATATAAAAGACTTTTATAAAATTCACCTAAGTAAAAAATTAAATATTCAAAATTTAAGAAAAGAACTTTTATTTTATGATCATAAAATGGAAATATTAAATAAAACAACTAAATCATACTCAAATATTAATTACGATGATTACAATACAATTTGTAAATATGATAATAGAAAAATGAATATTTTGACCCATAATTCTTTTTAATTTTAAAGATATTTATTATTTTTTTTTTTTTTTTTTTTTTTTCTAATTTTTTGAATAAGCATAAAATTTACAAATATAATTCAATTTTTATTTTTTTCTTGTTTTTTTATGTATTATTTTATTTGTTTTATATATGATTATATGCATAATACTTGTGCATATAGAAATTATTTGTTTATATTAGGCTTTTAAAAATATAAAAAAATTACTTATTCCAAAAATAATTTTTAGAAAACATCTAATTGTAATTAATTATGAAGTTTTATTTCATTTTAATTCATAATGCTTCTATTATTTCTTTATTTCATTTTTACCATAACATGTAAAATTCTATGGAAAAAAAAAAAAAAAAAAAAAGACCATTAAAATATAGATTTGTTAACATTTTATTATATTTATGTTTTAAAAGGAATCTATGTAGATTAAAAGTATTCATTATAAAACGTAAGAAATTGTAATAAAACAAATATTTATAAAAAAAAGTTACCACAATAATGATAAACATATATAATTTTAGAAAAAAAGAAAACAAATATATATATTTAACTGAAGTATTATACACACCTATATTTAGCATTATATATGTATTGTATAGAACTTTTGCTAAAGAAATTTAAAAGAAAAGAAAAATTAAAAAAATTTTTAATAACATTTTAATTTATTCTATTTACGTCTAAAAAAAAAAAAAAGTTCTTGTATGTAAACTTTCTTTTTTCTTTCAAAAAAAAAAAATAATTTTTACCATATTCAATTATTTTGATCAATTTTTTTTTCAATGAATTTTAATATATAGACGATATATACTTTTTTTTATTTTAAAAAGTGTAATTATGTTATTATCAGAAAAAATATTATAATTTTTTTATTTCCTTATATTAATAAAAAAATAGAAGCTTTTTTCATAAAAGATAAAAAGCTAAATGAATATCTTATATTGATTTTTACGTAACTAATAGAAAAAAGAGATATTTTAAAATATTACATGTCTCTAGACAAGATTAATAATTTAATTGAAAAAAAAAAAAAAAAAATTAAAATGTTTTATAGACAATATTTATAATTAAAATTTTTCTATATATGAGTTAAACATAAATTTTTTTTTTTTTTTTTAGATTGTAAATGAAGTTTAAAATGCATGAATAAAAATATATTTTTAATAAAAAAAAAAAAAAAAAAAAAAGGGACATTTTCCTTTTTCCTTTATAAGTTAGAAAGATAATATTAGAAATAAATTTGTACTTTTCTATAAGAAAAAAAAAAAAAATTTTTTCTTATGTTGTATTTAAAATGAAATTGAAGAAATAGATTATTTTTATATTATTTTTTTTTTTTTTTATTTTGAAATGAATATATATTAATATAATATATATATTATATATTATTAAAAGAAGTAATATAATAAAAAAAAGTTCTAATTTTTTTAAAAAAAAAAAAGAAAATAAGTAGAATTATGAGTAGATTAAATTTAATAAGCACAAAAGAAGTGTCTGAAATTGTTAGCTGGTACACTCATGTTTGTGCTGGAACTATGCAAGGATATCGTACCACGGAAGAAGATGTGACTTTATATTTTCATGATACTTTTTATTTTTTATATAGTCATTCTCTACATTTGATATAAATATAAAATATATAAAAATTTATAAAAATATATAATAGTTATGACCTATTTTTATTATAAATTAAATGAATAGAAAGATTATTGTTATTTTTCATTTTTTGTATTTCTAGTTAAGTATTACATTCAGATGAAAAAAACAACAAAGTTTTTTTTTTTCTACCATATAATTAAAAAAAATGATATGAATCATATATCCAAATATATATACTTACATTTTTATATTAGGTAACTGTTATTTTAGCGTCTCTTAAAAATTTTCCATCATGCAGGTATACTTTTTTAAATTTAATTTTTTTTAGAAATTCTTATAGATGATATGTATTTAAATTTTTATTATAATTACTTTTTTAAATGAACTACTATCCTTTAATTTTTTTTTTACTAATTATAATATATTTTTTATTTTAAAATATATTTTATTTATTTCATTCGATTTTATTCTTTTTATTTTTTTTGAAAATTTAGAATGTGTACTATATTTGATGGGTATATATAAAATAATTAAACCACAAAGGATATAAAACATTATTAAATAAAAAATATTTATATATACATTTAAAATCTTTTTTTTTTTTGTGTAATAAATGAAATAAAATTTATAATAAAATTTGAATATTTTAGCCATATAGGAAAAGAAACTGCTTTATATTGTGCACGAAATATAGCTAATTTTATCGGTATATATAAAATGAGGAAAATATACTATTAATGTAAAAGTGTACTTATATTGTATGATTAAATATTTAAAAAAATAAAAAGATATAATTATTTAATAATGTTTATATTTTAAAGGTAACTGTGAATCTTTAGATTCTCATAATATAGTAAACGCTTGCATTCAGATGGACAACGAAATTTTAAGTATGTAAACTTCTATTTAGCTTATAAAATACATTAAAAAAGAAATATATATATATATATATAATTATAATTTAGCATGTATCCAATACTCCATGATAAAGATTTTCATTTGATATTCTTATATTCAATATTTTTATATTTATTATATAACATTTTTCTATTATTTAAGTTGAATAAACATATTTTTTCTGTCTCCTAATTTTACTTAAAATTTATGTATTCTTTTTAGATAGTAATTTTGCTAATAGCGGGTCAACAGGTAAAATAACTAGAGTTTTTTTTATAAATTTTGTATGAATAAAACAAATAAAGAAAAAATATATTAAATAAATAATTGAATAATGAAAAATATAATTAAACAATTGCCTAACATTTTGTTATGATTCCTTCTTTAGCAATCATTGCTATAATTGAAAAAATTGTGCACGAAGATTTCTTTAAACTTTATATATGTAACTTAGGTAATAATTTTATAAATCATAAAATATAAATTATGTTATTTTAATTTATTTTTATTTTATATTTTCTAAATTAATAAATTGATCAAGGAATGATGTAAATAATTTGCATTTTTTAACTATACATACAAGTATCATATTTTTATTTTTTAATATATTTAAAATTTATAATGATATTTTGACACCATTATGAATAATAGTAAATATAAATTTAAATAATTATAATAATTTTTTATATCATTAAATTATTGAAGGAGATTCACGTGCGATGCTAATAAAAAATGACGGTTCATTTGTTTCACTGAGTGAAGATCATAAGCCTTATAATAAAAAAGAAAAAGAAAGAATTAATAAAATTGGAGGATTTGTTGAAAATGGTAGAATACTTGGATATATAGGCGTGTCTAGATCATTCGGAGATAAAGTGAAAATTAAAAATAATTAACTATATATTATTTTAAAAAAAAAAAAAAAATGATTATTTTTTAATTTACATATTTTTTTTTTGTTGCATTTATTTATTTATATATTATATTATTTTTTTTTTTTTCCTGAAGTTACTTTTAATATTCTAGGAATTTGTACATTTTCAATGTTTGTATATTATTTAAAGTCATTTAATTCATAAATTTTTTATTTTTAGAATTATAAAAAAAACTGCAATTTTCCATATAATCCATATGAAACAATGATAACTTGTATACCAGATATAAAAATATTTTATGCAAACTATGATGATATTCTATTTTTAGGATGTGATGGAATATTTGAAACGTTGTCATGGAATGATGTAGCTAAATTTAGTTATAAATGTATTAATGGATATACATTAAGTGATGCTGTAATAAACATTTTAGATTATGCCTTATTATCAGGTTCTAAAGATAATATAACTATTCAAATAATTAAATTTTTTAATGAAAAGATGGACAATTTTTATTTTAGAGAAAAATTGGTACCAAGCATTTACATACATAATGAGGAGATAACAAAATATGAATTTTATGGAAATTTTCTGAATAAGTATCATATAAATGATAAGAACATTATAAACAACTTAGTAGAAAGTTGTGCTGAAATTAAGGGTAAATACTGTTCTATAGAACCATTTCTAAAAAAAATTAGAGAAAATAAAAATGTTCATATCATATTAAATAGAAGGAACAAAAAAAATATAAAACATTTGACTCTACCTATCCTTCAAGAAGATCTTATAACAAACAATGTTTTTAATAAAATGAATCAAACCGATTTTAATAAGATGATTGAATTTTTTATAGAATATGATAGAAAAAAAATGTTGAATTAATTAAAAAAACATAAAATATAGGTATTGTAATAAAAATTATCTTAAAAAATTCAATAAATAAATTATCGATTATGCTAGTTTAAACTAAAATAATATACTTTAAGTGATGATAAAACTTGTGAATAAAAAAAATGAAAGAACATATTTTTTATAAAAATGAAGAATAATATCATTAAAGAACATAAAGTAATTATCATTTTACGGTTTTATAATTTAGTTCAAAGTATATTAATTTATTTTATATAATATACTTACAGGTAAAAAAAAAAAAAAAAAATCAGCATATTATAGGAAAGATTGTAACATGAAATAAGAAAAAATATATATACAAAACAAATAAATAAATATTTTTTCTAAGTTTCCTAAACATTATAGTTATTAATTTTAAATCAATCTAAAACTTAAATAAGTGATAAAGATAATTTAAATTAAAATATTATTTAAAATAATATATTTGCTTTACCTAATACATTATTTAGCAGATTAAATTATAAAATAGTACTCTAATAAATTACAAAACGTTAAATAGGGGAGATGATGTTTTTAATAAACAAAATAAAAATAAAGTATGATAATATGAAAATAAATATAATAAAGAAATAAAGAAAAAAAAAAAATATTTATCTATGCATTATGACAAATTAAAATGGAAAAATATAAATGCTACTTTTACGAAGTATTTATTAAAAAAAATAAAGAAAAATTAAGAAAAACATAAGTTAGTAGATAATAAGACAATTTAAAATTTTGTAATTAAAACCTATTTCATTAATTTTTTTTTAGTTTTTTTTTTTTTTTTTATTAAACATCTTGCTTATTTATATTTTAAATACTTTTTAATTTTTATTCCCTTATAAAAACCCCTAAATTTATAATACTAATATTAAGCTAATTCAACATGAAATTAGCTTTTCTTTTAATTATTTTCAAGGGAATAATACATAAAAGTTTATATACATTATTACAGCATTATGAAAAATTCTTTTTATTATTCATATTAATATAATACTTTTTTTCCTTTATATTTGTTGTTAATTATTAAAACTTCTGACATGTATAATAATATGAATATTTTGTTTAATTGACTAAATTATTATAGATTAAATAAAAATTTTACATATGAAACACTTTTGATTCAAAATGGAAAATATATTTTTATAAAATATAGAATATAACTGCTTCACATAAGGAAATTATGAAATTTAAAAAATAGAAAAATAATTCTAAAATTAGTCTTTTTTTCAATAATATCAAATAACAGAAATATGTACATAAAAAAATACATAATTATATTTTTTTTTCTTTCACTTTCATGAATATTCTTATAATGTTTTATTTAATGAATATTTCATTATTTGCTAAACTAAATTAAAAAAAAATATTATTCAATTATTAACAATTTATATAAATGTTCCAACATACTTTTATTTCATTAGAAATATTACACATTTTAAAGTAACATAGATGAATGTAATGGCAAATTAGTTGACACTGCATTTTAAGAGATTTAAAAAAAAATACTTTATAGTTAATAGTTATCTTATATAGAAATATAAATTTTTAATTAATATTTAAATAATAAGAAAAACCCATAGTTATTTTATTTCTTTTTAAAAAAAAAAATATTATAATGAGTAAATAAATATGATTTGATTTTTCCTTTAGATGTTTCAATATGTTATGAATAAAAAATGTAAATATATAATCTGAGAGATAATGTATATGATGTTAATAATAATAAAATATTTAATTTAATAAAAATACTTTATATATTTTTTCTCAGTACATTTTAGCTTTAATTATACATTTGTTCAATCCTGTCTAAATTTATTCTTTTGTTTGTTTGTTTTTTTTTTTTTTAATAAAATATCACAATTATCAAGAAATAGATTAATACAAAGAAGATTTTTTATTCTTTTTTTAATTTATTAAGATTATTCACACAAAATATGAAATTTTTTAATAGTAATCTAAGAAAAAAAAAAAAAAAAAAAAAAAAATATAGTATGTGTACTTTTATATATAAATAAGCATGACGTGTTCATAATTAATTTTAATTTTTATTAACATTATAATATACACAAAGTATATATGTTAGCTTTTTTGTTATGATATTACATCAGTAGAAATGACATTGCTTTTTTATTAATTTGCATTATATTTTATTAATTCAAGAAATTTGCACATATAATTTTTTTTTTTTAATAAAAATATGTAGCTAACTCTTTATCTACTGCAATTAAAAATTATTTAGATTTAAATATCGTTTTCTTCATTTATTTATTTATTTATTTATTAATTTATTTATTTATTTATTAATTTATTTATTAATTTATTAATTTATTTATTTATTAAATATTATTTATTCTTTTTTTTTTTTTTTTTTTTTTTTTTTGCTATTGTTGTGTAAACATATAAAATAATTTTCATTTTATTTTATAAAATTTGTTAAATATTATAATTTATAAACGGTTAAATTCATTTTGAAGCATTTTTATAACTTGTAAATATTTTTGTTGAATATAATTGTTTATTGAATTTCCCATCTTTTGTTTAATTAAAATTTTTTTTTCAAAGAACTGCTTCAAAAATGCAACCCTTTAATTATATCCCACAAATTGATAATAAAATGAATGTTGTTCCCACACAACCATTTCAAATGTATTTACCTAATCACAATTTAGTGTTACCTCAAACTTATCTTGACCATACACAACAATTTTGCCAACCTATATTTTTTGAGCCATTGCCACCAGTTTATGTCAAAAACCAATTATTGCCTTCTCCAATTTTGGTTCAGATGCCTACAACAGTAGTTGTTCAAAATGAATCTCAACCAGCAATGGTACTAAATCAGCCTCCATCTAATATTGTAGTTAAAAACAATCCACCAACATCTGTTTTTGTTAAACAATCTAATCCTAACGTTGTTGTTAAAAATGAGGCAGCACCAAATTATGTACAAAGTCTTGAATCATGTCAAGATACTATAGTTACAGATATGAATCGTCCAATGATGGCAACTTTCAATAAAAATACTCTATAATTGCGAAAATTCATTGAAGAATTTTGGAATTATAAAGTCATTTAGTACGTTTGAACCAACTCAAAAAAAAAAAAAAAAAAACAGACAAACAAATAAGAAGAAAGAATAGAAATTAAGAAAAAGAATATTATATACATATATTTTTTTTTTCTTTCATTTTTTATATTTTTAATACAGAGAAAATATATATATTTAAATATGTTCTTATGATAAATATAAATAAATGTTTAAACAATTTTATATGAAATTCATTAAATATAAAATTTATGATTTAATTTACTCTACTATCATTTTAATTGTTCTATTTTGTTATATTTTGATTAATTTATTCTATTTTTTTTTTTTTTTATTATTATTCATTCATTGATTTACTTTTTAAAAATTTCCAATTTGGTAAAAAGAAGAGCTTTATGTTCTTAAAAAGCTATAACTGTTATTATAAAACAAATTTATGTTTTAAAAATGTTTCTATTTTTATACATATGGATAATATTGTTAAAAATTAAAAGATACAAGAAGATTCCTGTAAAGCTCTTTGGATATGATATCTCAATATAACTTAATATTTATTTTTTCTTATTTTCAAATTTATCTGAAGCTTTCTTAAATTAGAAGGATAATATATATAATTTTATAATATTTTAAAGGTTGAATTTTCATTCCCAATGTAAAAAAAAAAATTATTAATAATAATATTTGATAGACACTTTTTCATATGAAATTTATATAAATTAAAAAGATAACTACACAAATAAAACCTTATAGATTATGTAACAAGGAAATACATAATTTTTCTGTATAAAATAATGGACAATCAACATTTAGCTAATGTAATTAGATATAGGATAATGAGTTAAGTGTTAAATTATTATATATTATTTTTCATACGAATGAAAGGCCTTATTTCCTTTCCTATGATTTTCATAGACAGAAAATTATTCCTTATTTTAAATATTTTTGTACTGTAAAACAAAAGACATTTAAATGATATAAGAAGACGATATATAATAGTATAAAAGTATCTCTTTTTCTTTAAAATTTTTTTATGATTTAAGATAGATTTGAATACTTATAATTTTTCGAATCCAAATTTTATTTTTTTAATTATAAGAATAGTTCTAGAAAAACAAAAAGTTGTATTTATCAGGAAATTAACCTACTATTTTCTTTATAGTATTAACATTTTTTTGTTAAATTATTGCTTCAAAAATAGCAGAAGAAAAAAAACTATTTTAAATAATTTATTTTTTTTTTTTTTGCAAAACTATATAGTATCTCATTTTAGAAAATTATTAAAATAACAATTATAGCTCTAAAACAATATTCTAATTTCTAAAATACTGGTTAATATTGTAAAACAGTTAATATAAATATTAATGAATAACAGGTAGTAAAAAAAAAAAAAAAAAAAATACACATAAAATATATATAAAGAAAAATTTTCATTTTATTAAAAATCATTATTTAGTCTTCTAAAATATATAAAATAAAAAATTGCATATTTTTCAATTTATTAAAAATATAACAAAAATTTTGATACATTTTCTCTAAAAAAGTTTCTATTTTCTTTTTTTTTTCTTATACACTCTTAAAAAATTTTATTTTATTAGTTTTATTTATTTTTTATATAGTTTATTCAATGTATATATCATAATTATGCTCATACTCCCAAAATGTTATTATATATAAAATGAATATCTTTTTTTCTGTGAAAACAGGATAATAGCTAGTTACACACGTAAATACATATATTTTTTTTCATCACTATATTAAAATAATATAAACATTTAGAGCATATTTAAATAATTATCACTAACAAATATTAGAGTAGAAAGCTATTTAAATTAAAATTATGCATGTTCATTATAATACATTATACCAATTTTTTTATGATTATTAAAATTTTCTTATATATTTGTTTTGTTATATTTTATTTTTAGATAATAAGTTAACTGAAAATAGTTTTTTCATGAATGATTCCTTTTTTTTCATCTTTCTAAAATTTTTAATTGGGATTAATATAAGCTGCATTGTTAATAGAATATGGCATTGTGTTGTAATGTGCATATTTATTTTCATTATCTAAAGCAGTATAATTAAAATACATATTATTTATAGGGATGTTTTTATTTGTATATGCAATATTATGATTGTCATAAATGTAGGATGGATCAACGTGATCAATACATTGTGAATTATTTAATGCATTTATATTTTCATTATTTCTTTCATCCATTATATTTAAATTATGCATGTTAATTTCATTTAATTTCTCATGTAATCCAACTGCCAATTTTGGATTATTGTAAAATTCATTTTGTGGTTTCTGAATGATGACATTTGGATTTTGCTGTCTAACTATTATTGGCTGTGGTTCATCACTTTTTAAAATTATATTTTGAGATGGTAAATCCAATGTTATTGGTAATTTCGGTTGACTATGGATAATTATAGCTGATGGTTGTCTTACAATTATTGGTTGTACACTATTATTCTGCACCATGAAGTAATATAAATTATCCATGATTGACATGTAAAAACATATTAAAAAAAATATCCAGACACAAAAAAACAAGGAGAAAACAATTAATATTAAAAAAAAAAAAAAAAAATAAACGATAAATAAAAATAAATTTAATAAAAAAAAGACAAAAAAAAACTCTACAAAAAAAAATTATTTCAAAATTAAAATAACTATTAACATGTATTTTTTTTCTTTTTTTTTTTTTTTTTTTTTTTGTATTAATATTTAAAAAATAAAGAAAAATAATTTAAAACTAATATAATTTTATTATTTTAATACAAAAAAGAAAAGTTAAAAAATTTTATTATATTTACACAACTTAATAAACCGAAAATTTATAAACACTTTTATTTATTATTAAAATTGTTATATTTCACACCTATATCATTAAAAAAAAAAAAAAAAAAAAAAAAAAATTAAAAAAATATATTAATCCATGACTTATGTGCTCTATTCTAAAAAAAAGTAAACATTATATGAAAAAAAATTATCAATACAAAAAAGGAAATGCCCAGAATATTTTAATGTATTTCTATGTAAAAAAAACTGAAGAAAATCAACATTTATTTGATTATATTTTTTTGAATTACATATAACTACATTTTACATATTAAACTTTTTTTCTTTTTTTTGAATTCATAAAAGAATACATTCTGCAATATATAAAAAATTGTAACAAAAATATATTAAGCTCATTTAATAAAAAAATACTCATATAAAATTTAAGGAGGTAAAACATACTTTTGAGAATTTTATATAAAATTAAATTTTTTAAAAAACTTAATGTTTTTTTGCTATATTTTCCAAAAAAAAGAATAATGTTTTTAATTTCATTTGTTATAAACAAATTTTTATAGAAATCATATATAATATGAATTAGTCCTTATAATTTAATTTTTTTTTCCATAATATAATCCCAAATTTAATGTCTAAAAAAATGATAGGACAAGTTCAAATTTTGTTTGAAAGATAATAACATCAATACATAATTTTATTAACCATATATTTTGAATTAAAAAATAATAGATGAATTAATATATACATATGTTTGTATTTATATATAAATGTTTTTTTTTGAAGAACATAAAGTTTTTTAATAAAAAAACAAAAAAAAAAAAAAAAATATATATTTTAAATTTTTTTAAACATGCATAGTAAATTAAATGTAAATTGCATAAAGATTTTTTATTTGTATATAATAAATTTGTAGTTTAAGGATTTCTATTGTATTTTATATTCTTATTGTAATTATATTAAGTTTTTTTGTGTTATCAAATAAAAAAAGAAATAAAATAAATCCATAATTTAAAAAAATGCGATTTTTTAAAATTATGTTTTAATCATTCTAGGTATTTCCTTTTAAAATATTACAATTTATATATTAAAGAATATTATATTTGTGGCAAACATAAATATCTGTGTGTATCTATTAGTGTATATATAAATAAATATATATATATATATAATATACTTCAACTCCAAAGAGTATGATAATTTCCTTCACGATCAATTCTTTTATAAGTATGTGAACCAAAATAATCTCTTTGTGCTTGTACTAAATTAAGAGGTAAATTTTTTGATGTAATCATTTCAAAATATGCTAAACTAGCTGAAAATGCAGGAATTGGAATAGAATATTGAGTAGCTAATTGAACTATTTTTTTTAAAGAAGGTAATTTATTTTTAATTTCTTCTGAAAAATCCTTGTCTAATAATAATAATTCTAATTTCTTATCATTTTTAAATGCTTTTGTTATTCGATCTAAAAACACTGCTCTAATTATACATCCCCCTCTCCATATCCTTGCAATTTCTCCTAAATCTAATTCCCAATTCATTTCATTAGAAACCTGTTTTAAAAGAAATAATCCTTGTGTGTAAGAAATAATCTTGCAGCAATATAGAGCATTTAAAATATCATTTTCAATAGTGTTTATATCTTCACATAAACAATTTTTCGTTTCACTGTTAAAATTTAAGTCGGCTTTGGTTCTTAACTCTTTAAAAGTACTAATGTTACGTGCATCTAAAGCAGCACATATAGTAGGACAGGGGATTCCTCTTTCTATTGATTCAAGCATAGTCCATTTTCCTGTTCCTTTAGCACCAGCAATATCTAGAATCATATCTATTACATAATTATCAGTAAGTTCATCTTTTTTTTCAAGAATTTTTGAAGTAATTTCAATTAAATAAGAATTCAATATCCCCTCATTCCATTTTTTAAAAACTTCAGATAATTTTCTATTATCATAATTTAATATATTTTTCATAATAATATAACTTTCAGATATTAATTGCATGTCTCCATATTCAATACCATTGTGTACCATTTTTACATAGTTTCCTGAAGAACCTGCTCCTATATAAGTAACACAAGGGGAATCTCCAACATGAGCTGAACATTTTTCTAAAATATTCTTAACACAATCATATGCATATTTAGAACCTCCTGGCATAAAAGAACAACCATACCTTGCTCCTGCTTCTCCACCACTTACTCCCATAGCTAAATATTCAACTTTTTTTTCTTTACATAAATTTATTCTTCTTTCTGAATTTTGATACCATTCATTTCCACCATCAATAATTATATCTCCTTCCTCAAAATAACTTAATATGTTATTTATATTTTCGTCAACAGCTGGACCTGCTTGTATTAATAGTATAACTATTCTTGGTTTTTTTAAATTATTAATTAGCTCCAATAATGTTTTATAACCATATACAACTAATTTTTCTTCTTTTGCTCTTTTCATTGTCTCTTCTGTTCTACTATATGTTCTATTATATACACCTATTTTAAAACCTTTACTAGCAATATTTAAACTCAAATTTTGACCCATAACAGCTAAACCTATTAAGCCTATATCACACTTATTTTCCATTTTTAAATAAAAAAATGTTTAAATATCAATATGTAAAAATATTATTTAATGAATATTTATTTATGTACATATAAATTATATGCACATTTGAACTTTATGTAAAAATAAGAGATCACTGTATATATTATATCTAAAATAATTTTTGTTTATACTGTTATAAAAAAAATATATTCATATATATAATTTAAAGCATACAATTTTGTATAATTATAATAAATTTTATAAATTTTAATTAAAAATAAAAAAAAAAAAATTTACATAAAGTGAAAAAAATACTTGACAAATAACTAGTAGCATTAATTTCATGCATAAATAATAATTAAATTTTTTTTTTTTTTAAAGATTATGTTAATGACTAATTTTTATTAAATAAAATTTACTTTATTAATTTTCATGAAATAAAATACATTTAATTATATATTCGTTAATCAAATTTATTAAATTTTATCATTTTATTTTATAAATGAATGATCAATATTTTATATGTTATATATTTTTAATTGAAGTACTTTTCAAAAAATTTAATTATTTTAAGAATCTAAATTCTTTTGAATCTAATTTTTATTGACACTTTTATATTTTATACAATATTAATATATAAAAAAAAAATTTTTTTTATTAAGAATAGCACAATATATTAAAACATTATTTAGTACATGTGAAATATAAAAAGCTTTGTAAAAAAAAAAAAAATATAGATAATTATATTACATTTTTATTTTTTTTTTTTTATATTAATATTTTTTGTTACCTAAAAATATAATGTTCAATATATGTACATTTATGTATATATATGCAATAATTTTTTAGATAAATAATATCTACATATAAAAACTCTAGAAAATAAAAATTCTTCAAAAAATTTACTAAAATATACATATTTCTTTTTTTTTATATATAGAAATATTTACTGTAAAATATGTTGTAATAAAGAAATAAAAAAAAAAATAAATAAATAAAAATAGAAGTGTAAGAAAAGAAAATACAATATAATAATATGTCATGAAAAATATAATTATAAAACTATAAAGAATATGAAATAATTTTGAAAAATAGGATTGACTAGATAAGTTTTAAAAATTTCAAAAAAATGTAAATATACTTATATTTAATTTTGTTTTACTACTTCTAACAAGAAAATTTTCATAAATTCTTTTATTTTTCATTTTATATATACGTAATATAAAAATGGTACTACTAAGAAAAAGAAAAAAAGATGTTTTTATATATGAGGGATTTTAAAATTGATATGTGATTTTCATAATATTGTCCTACTTTTTTTTTTTTTTTTTTTTTTTTTCTTGTTAATATAATGTTTAGAGTTATTAGTGTACTAAATAAAAATTTTTTTTTAAGAAATAATAGTAGATTTTGTTTGTGTTTAAGTGCTCTTAAGGAAAATATAAATAGTTTTAAAATAAATTTTATTAATTTAAATAAAAAAACACATAGAAATTATACCACATTATCACAAGAAGCGGTAGAAGCAATAACAAATCTAAAGGAAACCGTAAAGAAGCAAGATAGAAAAAAAAAAAATATTACAAGAGAAACTCTTAAAAATTGTCAAGGTCACAAAAGAAGATTTAAATTATTTGGTGATAGGGAGGAATTTCATAATGTAGATAGAGATAAAAATAATTTAATAATAGAACCAACTGATTCTTTTCGAGCTGTTATTACCACTTCAAAAAATAATGTACATATTCAAGTTGTAAATAAAAGTAAAAATTATAAAACTATATTTGGTTCCTTTGCTGGGAATGTAGGTTTCACTAAATCATTACAACAAAGTGAAAGATGTGCTTATAGAATAGGTGAAAATATAGCTAAAAAATGTAGAAGACTTGGAATATTTTCTATTGATGTAAAATTTAGAAGAATTATGAGAGTTGAAACAATTTTACAAGCAATGTATGCGAATAATTTAAATATAACACATATAATACATGAACCTAGATTGCCGAAATGTGGGTTAAATGCATCAAAGCCAAGAAAAAGAAGACGAGTCTGAAAAATGTATAAACATATTGATAGAAGACATATTTTATATATATTCTTTTATTTAGAATTATACCTTTTTTTATTTATTTTTATCTTTTAATATGTAAAATTGATAAAAAATATAATATACAGAAAAAAAAAAAATTTGGTAAAATCAAAGACATGCAAAGTTTTTTTTTAATACTTTGTTTTATGTATTATTTTGATAATTATTTTGAATTTATATAATATGACATTTTTTAGTTATTCTTTATTACTTTTTATTTAGTATGCGTATGAATTTTTTTCGAATATTGTTTATATTTGTTTTATTACTATCATTTTGATAAATTACGTTTTAAAAAATATATCTTTACTTTTATATTTTTTTTAATTTAAAATAAAAAAAAATATATATATATATGAAAAACAAAAAATAATAATATAATAATAATTGCAAATTTTTGTGATGGTAAATATAAAAAAAAAAAAAAAATAAAAATAATAAAATTGGATAAATTAAAACACTAATAGCCAATTTTGTATAGTATAATTTCAAAGTGGAAATAAATAGTTGTATCAAAATACTACCAACTAAATTTTATGTTATATATATAATTTAAAAAAGAAAATAAAAAACTTGAAATACTTACAATATAAAATTATACTACATCATTTATATTATTGTATTTTCTTTTTATTTAAAAAAATAAAATTAAAGCCAATAAAGGATGTGTATGATATTGGTTCATCATTAAAGCTTGAAAGTGAAAGAAAATATGAATAATAAAAAAATTATTCAAAATCAAAAACATCTTTATTCTAAATTAATCAATTTATAACTTTTTCTCTGTAATTTTTAATGGCATGTTTTATAGCATCTTCTGCTAATAAACTACAATGGATTTTAACAGGGGGTAGATTTAAATGGGAAGCAATATCATCATTTTTAATTTTTAAAGCTTCATCAATTGTTTTTCCTTTTATTAATTCTGTTGCATATGAACTACTAGCTATAGCTGACCCACAACCAAATGCCATAAAACGAGCATCTTTAATTACATTATCTTCAATTTTTAATTGTAATTTTATAACATCACCACAAGAAGCCTTTCCAACTATGGATGTTCCGATATTTTTCTCATTTTTGTCAAATGACCCAACATTTCTTGGCTTATTAAAGTGATCCTTTACATTATCACTATAATTACGTGTGTACATATAATTATTCATATATTTACCCCTCAAAAAAAATTTATATAAAATTTCCTTTTGTTTGCATATCTCAATAATTTTACCAACCATTTTTTCAAATTTCTCCGAAAAATATATATAAATATATATATATATGATAAAAGTATAAAAAAAAAATCTTTTTGATACTTACTGCTTTTTATATATCTATATTTTTTATATATACTAAAAATGTTGTAATATTAAAAGAATAAATATAAAAACTCCGTATTTGCTTTTTTTAACATATGTAATTCAGTTTAATTATATAATTAATATAACCAAAATTATCACAAAAAAATTGATGCTAAAAAAAAAAAATGATATAATACTTTTAAAAATTTTTAATTAGAACAAAAAGTGAAAATTAAGTTAATAGTATCAAAAAAAAAAATTTTTTTTTTATATAAAAACAAAAAAATAAATATATAAAAATATTGGAATTAAAAAATTTTTATATTTCTTTTATATACAAAAAATAAAATAAAATAAAAAACTTTATCTTGAAATTTTTTTATATTTATATTAAAAATTAATATAATTTAAAATATTGAATTTAATTTTTTTATTTATGTTCAGAGAAAAAAAAAGAAAAAAAAAATTAAAAACAAAAATAATTCTTTGATTTTATTTTGTATAAATCTATGAAAAAAAAAAAAAAAAATTTTTTTTTTAAAATAAATCAGGGCTCATTGCAATTAATAAAAAAAGTGAAGTTTAAAGATTATTTTCAACATTATTTTGGAAATCTTTTGAAATTGTAAGAAGTGTATGATGTTTTTTTTTTTTTTTTTTTTTTTTTTTTTTTTTTGGGGGCTCAAATTTATTTTCTTTAAAAAAAAAAAAAAAAATATATATTTAATTAAATTTTTATTGTTTTAACATCATAATTAAATGAGGCAATAATGCATTAAAATAATAAAAAACAGTTTGTTAAAAACTTAATAACTATATGTAAAAATATAATTTAAAAGAGTTATAAGGCCAAATAGTTTAAAATATTATGTACATTAGTATTAACTCTTTATCAATCATTTTATGTTTGGACATATATAAACATTTTAATATATATAATGTATTTACATATTTAATTATATATTAATATATATACCGTTATATTGAAATAACCACATATATGATATAGACTCTAATTAAAGAAGCTGAACTTTTTTACAATACCTTATGTTTTTTATTTTTTTTGACGAGAAACATTTTTTTATGTTATTCATTCACAAATAACTACTATATATATATTTTTTTTTATATTATTTTCCTTAATTATTTCTCCTAGTTTTATCTCTCATATATATGTATTAATTTTTGTCATTTGTTTCTTTCACATTATTTCGTTAATATAACTAGAGGGTGAAATTTGTTTTCATAAAGAAATTTGTAGAATATTTAAAAGGTCTTTTTTTTCATTAAACGCAAGTTTTATAGATATAGAAAATTAAATTTTATTTACAGGGAAATAAAAATATAAATTTATTTTTTTCAAATATATCAACAACATAATTAAATAATGTAATTTATAAATTATTTTTCTTTTTATTATTTTCCAGAATTTTGAAGAAAATATATTAGATCTTTCCTTTTCTTCTATTTACAACTTTAACAATAGAAAAAAGTACATTTTTTTTTTTTTTTTTTAATTTTACATGCTTCTGGTAATGTGGACAATTAAGAGTTATATAATTATTCAACAAATATCATATAAAAAAGAAAATTAATAAAAATTAATTTATATAACTTTATATATATTTAATTGAAAATAGTTGCTTACAAGTTTTGAATTATAATCTTAATAAAGATAAATTTCATTACCTTGTATATGCATAATAAACTTTACAAAAATATCCAAAAAATTTTATTATATATATTTAAGCAAGTATATATATAATTTCAATAATAACACTTATTATTTTTCTTTTTTATTGTTGAAATTTCTGAATAATAATTATAAATGGAAACAAAAAAAAAAAAAAAAAAACATACATATAATATTATTAATTTTTTTGAGTAGTAAAAATAAATATGCAATAAAAAAGGAAATGAAAAAAAAAACTAGATTAAAATCGGTTCAGTAATTTCCATTAAATAATCTATAATGCCTTCATCATATTCTGTTGGATTTTCTTTTAATAATGGTAATAATGTTTTTCTGATATTATCATGGTACTCATTAATATCCCTAATTTCCTCCTGATTTAAAAGAGAAAAATCTAACAATTTTTTTTCATAAGGATAAACAGTTAAATCATTAAAGGAAAGATATTCTGTATTGTCTTTTTTCTTTTTAACAATTACATATTGCATATTTTCAATTCTTATACCAAATTTATTTTCTAAATAATAACCAGGTTCATTAGAAAGAACCATGTTTTCTTTTAAAGGGGTACCAGAAACTGGAGAAATTGAACAACCTCCTTCATGAACGTTTAAAGATAGACCAACCCCATGCCCAGTTCCATGACTATAATCCATATAATTTTTAAATAAATAAGAGCGAGCCATAAAATCTAATGCAAGAGAGTTTGTATAAGATGCAAAAATAACTTTTCTTAAATGTAAATGTCCTTTTAAAACTAAAGTATATGCTTTTTTTTCTTCTTCTGTTGGTTCTCCAAAATGTGTAGTCCTAGTTACATCTGTAGTTCCATGTAAATATTGTCCACCTGAATCTAACAAATAAATATTTGGAGAAATTTTCGTGTTACTTGATTCTGTTGATTCATAGTGAATTATTGCTGCATTTGGTCCTATTGCTGATATCGTAGCAAATGAAGGAAAGAGAAAATTCTTTTTAGTTGATCTAAAATAATCAATTTTATTTTTTAAAGAAATTTCTGTTTCATTAAATAATTCTTTTGACTTTTTTTTTTCGTTAACCCAATGAAAAAATTGTAATAATGCTAAAGCATCTAATATATGTGCTTCCTTCATATTCTCTATTTCAATATCATTTTTTATTGCTTTCATATTTACAATTGGTGAGTTTTGTAACAAAACATTTTTTTTGTTAAATAACATATAAATGATCAAATTAATAAATGGACTTAATGAAATATCATAAGATATTAGTTCTGTGTTGTTATAATTATCTTCTGTTAAATCTATAACAGTTTTACTACCATTTATATCCTGTAGTTTTGTTGAGATGTTATCCCTTAAATATTCTATTACACTTTCATAATCTTTTATAATAATGTTATTCTTATTTAAATAATCTTTAACTTCCTCTGTTAAATTATTAACAATAGTAAATAGAATAATTTTATCAAAATCATTTTTCTGTCTATTAAATTGAAACAATAAATACGAATAAAACAAAGGAGAAAATTTGTAATCATAACCACGTAAATTTAAAAAATAAGCTATTTCATCTAATTCCGAAATTAATATATTATTTACGTCTTTAATTTCTTCGATAAAAGAGTACTTCATTTTAGCAATTTTTTCAGCGATAGATGACCCATTGAATGTTAAATCATGTATGAACACACTTTTCGTATTTACTTCAAAATTTTTTATTTCTACTAAAGAATTTTCTAATATCAGTAGATTAATATTATTATTTTGTTTTAAATAATCAAAGTTATTACCATATATAACTTTTTCTTCAATTTTTCTATTGGTATATTTTTGAGAAATGCTTTTTCTTAATTTTTCAAAAAAACGAACACCAGTGTTTTTTCCATCAAAAGCAATATTATTAAATTGTAAAGAAGAAATAGTATCATATATTTCCTCTCTATTATTTATTCTTATAATTTTTAATGTAAAAATATCTTTATCTAATTCTTTATTTGCTTGTAATTCATATAATGCATTAACATATAATATTTGTTCATCTTGTGTTATTATTAAAGTTCCATCAGCTCCACTAAAATTACTTAAAAAATAAATCTTTTTATCTTTATCATTTATTATTTCCGAATTATGTTCATCATTGTTCATTAATATATATACATCTATATTATTTCTTTTCATAACAGTTTTTAATTCTTCTAATCGGGTTTTATGCGGTTTTATATTGTGATCTTCAGCCATAGTTTCATTAATTGTGTTAATATATGATTTTCCAATATTGTTTAAATTGTTTGAGATAGGTAATCCTTTTTTATCTTCCTGATTTGCACGTAAATTCAAGTTTTCAAAAACTTTTTTAAAGTATTTTGCATACAAAACATTGCACACTTTGTTATTTAAACAAAATTCATTTATTTTATTTTGGGGATATTCATTTATATTATTTTGAGATTTAATTTTTGAATTTAAATAATAAGCTGCAATAAAACCTTTTCCTTTTCTTCTATTAATAAAACTTAAATGGAATACCATTAAAAAGAAAAATACATACAAAATAAATTTTAAATGCATATTTAGCAAAAAAAAAAAAAAAAAAATAAAAAATAAAAAATATTAAAATAATATAAAAATATTAAAAAAAAATTGTGTTAATAACAAATGGATATTCTTATGCAATGCATGCAATATAAGATTTTCTTTTTTCTTAAAAAACATTGAAGAATATAATTATTCAGTTTTTAAACAAATATTTCTATTTAAAAGAACTACGTTTTAAAAAAAGGAAGAAAATTATTATGATATTAAAAATGGAAAAATTAAAAATTATGATTAACAAGTATTGTTGCAGATGTACTTATAAAAATAATTAAAACATAAATTTTTGTTAGAATTAGAATTAATAAATCAAATAAAATGGTTTTATGCTTGGAATTTTAATTTTGTAGAAATCTTAACTTTAAAAAATAAAAAATTAATAAAAAATTTTAAAAAAATAAAATCTTTTATTATGACTCAGAATAATTGAAAATTGAAAATTATAAACTTATAAATTTATAATTTCTAGTAATATATATTTCTTTTATTAATGAGTGCATTCAAACAAAAATAATTTAAAAAATTTATCATAGTTATACTAACATAAACAAGCCTATATATTCAATTTTATTAGAATGCTTAAAATTTTCTTAATAATAAAAAAAAAAAAAAAAAAAATTGTTAAAAAAAATTCTAAATTTTTTAGTAAAATTTCTAGAATATTATACAAAAAAATTAAAAAAAACACAACCATAAAATGAAAAGGACATAATACAATAAGAAAAATGAGCTTTCTAATACACAAAAATAAAATATATATATATATGTATTTATAGGTACACGGATATTTAAAAATATAAAAATTAAATGAAGTAAAATTAATTTATTATTGTATTTTTTGCTATATTTTATTAATATTGTTTTTACATATAAAAGGAACATAAAAAAAAATAAAAATAATAAGACTTCATAACTGATATCTTGTGAATTTTTTTTTTTTTTTTTTTTATAATTATAGAAAAAATATAAGAAACATATCAATTTTTCACTAAAAAAAAAATAACCACAGTCATTTTAGAATTATAAGTTTGTACTACATTCTTATCATGTATAAAAATTTCTTTTTTTCTTTTTTTCTTTTAAGCATATATATATATATATATACATATATATAATTTTATGTCATATGAAATAAAAACATATTAATTTATTTATTATAGATATTTTATTCTTTTAGAAATTTTATTTTAAAAATATATGAATGTTTCATATATATATTTTTTATAAACTTCATATACAAATATTTTAAATATTAATACTAATTTTTTTTTTTTTTTTCTCTTAAAATATTATTATAATTATTAGAATAATTTAAATGTTTGTTAAATTTGTTCATTAAATTTCTTTCTATATAATATTTATTATTTAAAAAATTATGGTCTTTATTATTAATAAGAATTTCCTTTGACTTTTTTTTTTTTTTTTATAATAGTTAATATTTTTATTAAAAATAATTTTATCACTTAATTTATAATTTTTCTTATTTAATTGGGATATTTTCCTGATAACTTATTTTTATTATTATTTGATATATTTATTATGTTGCATATTCGTTGTTTATTATACCATTTTTTTTTTTAAAACAGTAACATCCTTCCCTTTAATCAAAAGGTTTTTATTTTGTTTTTAGTTTACAGTTGTCATAGTACTTATTAAATGTATCAATGCTTAATAGGTTATTTTCATTTTTTATTTCATGAGATTCCAGTGATATTTTTTTTATTTCATTATAAGTTAACATAGAATGACGTCTAAATTTGTAATTATTCTGATAAAGCACTTTATCTAATAAATTTAATCTAGTTTCTTTTATTTTAATTTTATTACTGTTTCCCTTATATACACTTTTAATATCAACATAATTACCTGTTATATAATTATTTTTATCTTTTAAACTATTACTGTTATTACCTTTCTTTTTAATACTACTTTTATTTTTTAAATAATTATAATTATTATTTACTTTATCATCATTTGTATGAATAGTTCTTATATATTTCTTAAAATTGGTTTTACTATTATTATTCTTATTAGAAAGTATATGACACTTGTTTTCTTTTAAATTAGACTTATCTCCTTTATTTTTATCAAGTATATTTATTTTAATATGTTTTTTTTTGTTGTTTATTATATTTCTTTTGCAATTATTTACATAGTTATCATTATTTGTATTAGTAGAATCATGAATTTTATTGGTAATATTAAAATTATTAGTATTGCTTTTTCTGCTGCATGTTCCTTCTAAGGATTTTTGTTCTGTAATATTTTTATTATCCTTACTAATATTGAAAATGTTGAGATAGTGCATATCTTTTTGTTTATTAATTATTTTTAATAAACTATTATTCAATGAATTATTACAAGAAGAGGTAACTTCATTATTATTGTCATCTTTAATATTTGAGATCAAAGGAATGTTGTCCTTTTTAATCAATATAAAATTAGAAAATAAATAATTTTTTTTTGACAATATTCTAATAGATTTATTGAGCAAAAGATGAAATGCTGTTTTAATAAAATTTTTTTTTTCATTTTTTAATTGATTATATATGTTATTTTTATCTAAATTAGTTATTTTACATATTTTATTTATTATAAAATCATTATAATAATCATTATTCTGAAAAATTATCTTATATAAACATGTATCACAATCGATTAAGTTGCATCCATTATCTAAGTTATTTAAATTTATTTTCAAGTTATGATTAGTAAACCATATGTGATTTTTAATATCATTTAGTGAATATCTTTTTTTAAAATTTACATTTAACATATTTTGAATTAAATTTTTTGCATTTAAAGATACATATGGTTCAAAATGTAATATCCCTTTTATAATTTTTTGAAATAGCTTATTTAAATCATTATGATTAAATGGTAATTTATTGTTCAGTAATAAAAATAAAATGATACCTAAGGACCATACATCAGTTGATTCTGCTTTGTATTTATTACCTAATAAAATTTCAGGAGATGTATAAAAAGGTGATCCACATGATGTTGTTAATAAATTATTCTGATTAAAAATGGTAGACAATCCAAAATCAATTAACTTAACATTGTTATTGTAATCTAGTAATATATTTTCAGGTTTTAAATCACGATGTACAATATTGATTTTGTGTAAATATTCAACAGCACTTATTAATTGATATAAAATTCTTCTTGCTTTATTTTCATTTATATAATTATTTTTATAGATATATGTTAATAAATCCCCATTAGGTAAATATTCTAAAATCATATATAAATTTTTTATGTTTTCATGCACTTCATAGAATCTACATATGTGATTATGATCAATACTTTTATGTATTTCTATTTCTTTCATTATTTTATCATAGCTTATCATTTGTAATAACTTTTTTTTATTTAAAATTTTAACAGCCACTATTTCATAAGTATACATATGAATTCCTAAGCAAACTTCTCCAAATGTTCCTTTACCTATTTTATTTGTTATAATATAATTCCCAACCTCTTTATTATTATTTTTTACAACTATTATTTTATATGTTTTATTATTTTTTAATATATTTAAATACTCTTTTATATATTTTTTTTTTATTTTTCCTTTTAATTCATTCTTTAAAATTTTCCATTTATCCTTTTTTTGTGTCTTTTTTTCTTTTTTTTTGTGGATTATCCCTTTACTTTTTTCTTCATTTTTTTCTTTTGTTTTTACTTCTATTTCTTCAATTTCCTCTTTTTGATCATCATCACCTTCATCTTTATCTTTTTCCCTTTTTTGGATCAATTGATTTTTTTTTTTTAAATTTATATATATTAATTTTTCAATAATTTCTGTCTCTTCCAAATTTTTTTTAAAGAAATTTATGCTTACTTTATGCTCATTTATTTGACTAATTGTTTCCTCATTTTCTTCTAGGCATTTTGTTTCTGTTTTGCTATTACTAAATGCACTTTTTTTAATTAATAAATTGCCTTCTTCACCATTTTTTAAGTTTGTATTATAACCTATTATATTTTTTATATATCTTTCTTTATTTGCATATATATTTTCTACATAATTTTCAGGGGTTTTACACTCATTTTTGCATTGATATATATCTTTATATTCCTTTCCTTTAGAAATATTATCACATTGTAATACATGTTTCAATTTAGTTTCAAATTTATTCAATAATTTATTTTTATTATTTATATTTTGTTTAGATTTTTCTATTTCATTTATTGGTTCTTGTATCGTTCTATTTTTTGAACTTGTATTTTTTAAAAAGTCAAAACTTCTTTTTTTTAATTTTTCAAATTTATATTTACTTTTGTTTATGTGTAAAGTGTTATCTATTTTTATATCTTGAGTTTTCAGTGAAATACTTAATGAATTCCATTCTTTATTTTTAAAACTTTTTTTTTTTTTATATTTTTCTTTTAAAATTGAGTTTATATTGGTGATGTTTTTTGTGCTTGAATTAATTGTTTTTATGAAATTGCATTTAGTACTTTTGTCTGAAATGTGTTCACTACAATTTTGATTATTTTCCTTATTTTTATGAATTAATTTACATTTATTTTCATTTTCTTTTTTTTTAGTACAGGAAATATTTACATTTTCAAAATTTGTTAATAAATTTTTATCTTTCTGACATTTTAACATATTTAGTTCTTTGTTTTTACAACCATACCTTCTGTCATATATTTCTTCATTAATTTTACTAATTAATTTACATTTACTTTTTCTATTAATAAAATTTCCATTATTTTTAAATTTGTTTTCATAAGTTTTTTCATTGGATGAAAATAACATTTTTTTACTATTTTCATCTATTTTTAATTCACATATTTTATTTCTATTTAAACTCTTAAAATTACAGATATTTTTTTTCTTAATTTTATTTATGTATAATAAAGAATTAATATTATTTTTTTCTTCTTTCGATACATTTAGTTGCTTATTCAGATCATTTAAATTATTTCCTATTTTTTTTATTGAATTCATAGCTTTGTTAGATTAATTAATGTCTTATATGTAAAGAAAAATTTAAATAATTTTTTATTAAATATACAGATAACTAATGTAATTAAAAAAAAAAAATAATAATAATAAAAAACCCTAAAATATTATATTTTAATATTCTTTAAGATCTTTAACTTTTTTTATAAAAATTTCTTATAATTTAATTTTTTCTTACTTTATTATTATTCTAAATTATTTAGTGTTTTTATTTGTTCTTTGTGTATATCTTGATTTTTATACATTTTTTATTTTAATTATTACACAAAAAATATATAAGATTTTAAAAATAATATGAACTATTTTTATATTTCATTACTTTATTTTAAAAAAAGTTGAAATTAAACATTTTACATAAAATTAAAATATAATTTATTTTATTATAATTTTAATGAATTCAAAATAATATACCTTAAAAATTATTAATAATAAAATAAAGAACAAAAAGGTTTTTAAGAATAAATCTAACTGAAGAAAAATAATTTATGAATAGGTTGTATTTCATTAAAATTTAATGACAAAAATAAGTGATAATTAAATTATTACATATGTAAATATATATATTATATCTTTTTTTTTTTTTTTTTTTTTTTTTTCTTTCTATTAATGCAAACTGAATAAAAAGACAATCTTTGTAATTTTAATTTACTTTTTTACATTTAGTAATTTTTCTAATTCCCCAAAATTTTTTTCCATATATTCATATATTTTAAAAGTTAGTAATATAAAAAAAAAAAAAAAAAAAAAAGTCCAAATTGAATAATGATGAAAGTAATTTTATGTAACTTTTTAATTATTGATTCTCTACTAAAAAATAAAATAGAATAATATAGAATAACTCTTATAAAAATTATAAAAGAAATGTAAAAAAATATGAGAATATGCATATTAAATTTTTTAACTTTAAATTATAAAAAAGATTTATTTTTGTAAGATACATTAGATTAAAATAATTATATTTTAAAAATAAAGGTATACTACTAATTATAGAATAATATAAAAACCATTTTTTTTTTTTTTTTTTTTTTTTTTTTTTTTTTNAAAAAAAAAAAAAAAAAAAAAAAAAAAAAAATTTAAAATAAAATATTTAATTATTACTTATTTTGAATATAATGAATATAAAAAAATATTAAAAAATAGATTCAAAATTTTAACAACATTTAAATATGAATATTTATTAAGAAAAAAAAAAAAAAAAATAGTTAAAGTATAAAACGAAGAAATATAAAAACTTTCAAATATAGAAAAAAATCATAAGATTTATGAAACAAAAATTATATTGAAATATGATAATTTAGAGAAAAGGGAAAAACATAAAAGGATAGAAATAAAAAAAAAAAAAAAAAAAAAAAGAAAAAAAAAAAAAAAAAAAAAAA